ATTTATAGGATTTATGAGATTTTCATATTCCTATGAAGCAGAATTTAATCAAAAACTTCCACATGAGAAGACGAAAACTTTTGCTGTGGTCTTCAACTCGACACTTACATATCGACGACATTTTATTAATTAATAGTTACTTTCATTCATATGTCGACTCGACATATCCCAGTAAACTTGATATAAAAGACACCACAGAGTCTGCCAGATCTGTTTAATATTTGGAGGTTTTACTGACTATAGACGAGAAGGGTTCTGTTTCATAATTGGATGTTTTATTGACTATAGACGATAAGAATCAACTAACAACTAAATTGTATGACAAACGAGATGACTACAGCTTTTCCATCATCAACTTTCCTTATATATGTAGTTATATTCCACAATCACATGCATATGGTGTTTAAGACTCCAGACGTATTTGAAACTCAAGAGCATGCTCTGAGTACGACAAATTTTTAAACCGAGGTAGGCTACTAACAGATAAATTGATGTTGCAGGGATGTCAACCGCCTCGTTTAAAATCAGCATTTTGTCAATTATATGATCGTTATAATGACCTATTAGCAAATATAAACTATCATTGGGTTGTATTTTGACTGACATATTTCATACCAATTTTTGGGCCGTTGTTTTAATACTGTATTTGAGTACGGAATGTTCTGCCTACTTGATCAATACATAGGACTTACGGGGATGCTTACTCCTTCCAGGCAACCTGTCCTCTACGTCTGGAATTTCTGAGGGTTCGTGTTTTATGCATTGTTTACAGATTTGTATTGTTTATTAGGTTTTTTTCTGAGATCGATCACTGTTCGCTATTCTCACCTTTTACATTGAAAACTGATCACTTATTTTCATCTTTTTCACACATATAAATATAGTTTTGGAGGAATAGTGCTACCTATATGTGTAAGGTTGGATCCATTCAGGGCTTATGATATTCGTTGAAACGTAAACATATGTGATGTGTATATGAGGAGAATGAAGCACAAGGTAACTCTTGTATTACATGTAGCAGCAAGTAGCTTTGTCGCTTACAACAGATTACCACCTCATAAACAACAGTAGATGTTTAATTCTCGATTAATTTACATTATTCCTTAAAGAGACACCGTGACGGACAAACGTGAAAATTGAAAAAAGTATAATTTTTGCAAGACACATGCAAATTTTATTCAATTCTTTAAAGCATTAGGTTTCAGAAAATTACAGGTGTCAGAATATAAAAAATCTACTTTTATGGAGAAAAATATAAGTAAAAATAATTTTAATTTGCCTCAACACGAAAATATTGCTTCACTTCTTCCTCTTTAAGGTACGCATGCGCAGAAAAGTTGAAGAAGTTACCATGGTGTCAATTCCATAGATATAAATGTCGGATGACCGAGAATTTTGATATAATCTTCAAAAAAAAAAGATTATCAGAACTTATTCCTCAGTTTTGATTGCTCCAATTCAATGTTGTTTACAAGTTTCACGCTAGAAATAAAAGACACATGACCTTGACATTGACGATAACAACCACGCCATAGATAGTTAGATACGACTTTTCTTTTTCCGGCACTTACATTTTGCAGTCTTTTCTTGCTTTTACCGTGCAGTTGAGATCTCAAAACTTCGCCTTATTCATATTTCTCATAAATCTTTAGCTTTATGATACAATTATCTTAAAAGAAACACATGATATTGACTCACTATGTAACTTTAAAGTTTCCTACGTGTTATATATCATTTCATACATTTAATTCAAATGAAAACCTGACATTATAGTGTAGCGTAATGCTGGAAAAGAAAATTGCTTGGGTTGATTGCTTCAAAATCAAATGGTAACCTATTGCCAAGAGGAAAGCCCATCAAAGTGGACAATAAATCATCGAATGGAATGCATTTACTCAGAAATTATGTCAATAGGGGTTAAAACGTTTGTAACTCAAACAGTTTTAAAGCTTGGGTAAAAAAAAAATGAGAATACACGTTGACAATTAAGCAAAATGCGAGGAAAATCCAAACTTAAAATATCCCTTTTTTTTGTTTTTGCTTGACTTTTATTCCAACATTAATTTCCATTTTCAACAGTTAGTGTTTTGATCATTTTTCGGCAGACGATGTTTTATGTGTAATCAATACCACTACAAGAAAATTAAACGAATATCTATACAAAATATGTGTATTTCTTTCATCTTTTCAAAAAATGTTTTAAACATGTTGGTTAACTCTATTGCAATTGAGGTGATTAATTATTGAATGATTATAATACTATAGTATAGTAAATACATACGATCTTATGTTTCAATTTGCTTTACCCATTCACAACAAAGGACAGCTCGGTATAAAAATCTGTCCGAGAAGAATGAACAGATTGGTTGTGTATTTGAATCTGTGAAAAAATATTAACAAAGAAAGGACTGATGGAGCCCAGAAGCCTACCTGTGTACAGGGAAGCTTTATAAATATTAGATGATTTAAAATGATCTTACGGTATTGATTAATGTGTAGAACTGAGAGAAAAAGCGAAAACATTAACAATACAGTTGAGAAACCTCATTACAAATAAATATATACATAAAGGTAGATAGCTGACTCCATTGAATTTAGATTGATAAATGAATAATTGATTAAAGATCTCACAAATCCTCTCATATATACATGTATTTTTATTTAACATTTTCATTAATTGCCATATGCATATCCTTTTTAATGTATTTTCTGGCATGTATTTAATATGAAATATTTTGTTCATTGTATCAAAACCATTGTAATCAGATACTGACAATAATACAAAGCTACGAAACGGTGCCGTTTGGGGTACCCCACTAGAATAAATAATTAATTTGATATTTAATTAATTATTATGAGTGTCACACAGGATGACTTCACTTAATAACATATGAAAATTGCAACAAAATAAATTTTGAAAAAGATTATTCTTCTTTTGAAATTCAGGAATGGTCTTTATTTTAGCTGCAACTCCAAGTAATAATAACAAATTGAACACACCCGTGAAACGTAAACTGTTTTTGTAAACAGCTCTGTTATTGTTAATGTTTATGTTTCACGGGATGTGTTCAATTTTTTAAATTCTGCACACATCACTGAGCATGTACTGCCAATACTGGTGAGTTGGTTTTGCTTTCTCACATTTCTACTCTGAATTTTCTGGATTATAGTTTTAATATTTTTCATTATTACACAACAAAATTTCTACTTTTCTTAAGTATTAAGGATAGCGTTTACTTTGTGAAAGTGCAAGGATGTGTCAATCAAACACGTCCCGAAATTCGTAGTTTCAATAATTTCCAGATAAAATAAGTTTTTTTTATTTTATTTCCGTGTGAAATGCTATAGCAACATATAAGTCATGATATTACACAGAAAATTTGAGAAAATATTAACATCAAATCTGTGTCTAAGCCCCTTTAGTAAAAAGTTTTTATTGATGGTGGCGTTTAGTTGAGATTCTTGGGCGGCGTTTAATGGTATCCTGATGCACTAACACAATTGAAGAATATAAAATTTTAGTAAAATTATATTTTACCAAATAAATTAGGTTTCAAGCAAGCAGAACGTCATGAAACAATTGAGATTTGGAAGTGTACGTATCCTGAAAAGTGTAACCGCATTGATAATTCATTCCCCATCAAAAATGACTATAAAACAGGTTCACTTTTCTTCTGTCTCAAATAATTTTTCCCAATAAAAAAATACGTATGTTTTTGAAATACAATCGCAATAGACGCAGTTATTTTGTTCACACACACACCCCCTCACACACACACACACACACACACCCTCACACACACACACACACATTCCTTATATTGACTCTTCATTCTTATTCTTCCTATCCAGTTCTCTGTTCTCAATCAAAAAATCTATAACCACGCCTACACGAACTTCATTTTGAGGACCAAATTCCCCTGGAGTAGTTTTTACTGACAAAAAATTTGCAAATGTTTACAAGTACTTTGTTATGGATATTATTAAGTAAATCTAAAAAAAAATCAATGCTCTCGTGGAATTCTATTACTATCTAACGACTGAGGTTGCTTGTAAATAGGTATCAAATTTGTAATCGGAAGAATGATACTTATTAGTGAATGGATTACAACAGCTTTGGGATTTCTTAAAAAACAAACAAATTGAGGATGTGTTACAAGTAAAATTCAAAAGGGAATGAGAAAAACCATTTTCGAACTCATTTTTATATTAAATAATTGTTTGAATCTCGGAAGTATTCATTTCTTTTTTTCTCTTTTCGTTCCAAAAAGCAGTACCTTTACGATTTTTGAAAAAAAGAATCAATAAAGCTTGCTGTACCTAGGTTATAAGTTATGTAATTATCCTCGTTTAAATTCTATACGTTTTTGTGATATGAAAAAGATACATGAATATACATGAATATATAAATATTCTAACCATTGATCGATGGTTCACAATTTGTCAAGTTAGAATATAGTGAAGGAACTTAGTAATATTTTGTGCTTTGCTATGTGAGTCACTAGAGATGATATGAATGGATAGAAATTAAAAAAAATACATGTCCTTTCTTCCGAACAGTGATTCTTGATGCAAAGAAAAATGACTTATTTGATAAGCATGTACGGCCAGAAAACTTAAGTTGGAATTTCCTCGAGTAAATGATTTTGTTTGGAATTACTGTATGAACGAAATTACGAGATTGACGCACGTTTTTTGGTATATAAAATTCAGAAAATCCTATTGAAAGGACTTGATTGGTTAATCAAGGTGGTAGATAGTTTTCTAAAACCTAACAATGATTTGACAAAAACAAAGTGTCCAAAGACCTACTCGATAGCGTGGCCATTTTGGCCTCAGCTAACACTGGAATTTCTTTGCAAAGAAAAGCATGAATGAAAAATAATATAAAACAAAAATATAGAAAACTGTGCATAAGTCAGACTGAAACCACTGCATACTTGTTTATGAAAAAAAAACTTCCAAAACTAGACTGAAGACTGAAGTTCAAGTCTCGTCTAATGTTCAGAGAAAGAGGTAAATTTTTTACGGAGAGGACCCCAACACTACCAGCTGGGGACTTACATACGGAACCACCATCACGGCAATTACGAAACAAAGAAAGGCTACCTGAAGAAATGTGTGTCACACCAGAAATAGAGAAGGTAGTAGACACCCAACATGCTGGGCCGATGTCAATTTGTACCTGTATGGGAAACTATCACACGCGATAGATACATCCTTAACACTGTAAAAGGATATTCATTAGAATTTGCTTCATTACCTTTTCTATATTCAGTGAGAAAAACTAAACTAAATGCTGCTATGGCAGTTGCTTTAGACAAAGAGTTATCAAAGCTAATTGATAAAGGGGTAGTGGAGAAAGTTTCTCACTCAGCTGATGTGTTTCAACGTCCAAAAAAGATGGTAATTATCGAGTTATTTTGAATTTTAAACAATTAAATGTAAACATCGATGCTTATTTCAAAATGGAAAGATTGTATACATCTTTAAGAAGGATTCAACCCAGATGTTATATGCATGGGTTCTGTGGACCTAAGTGGTGCATATTTCACTGTTAATGTAGCTTTTCCTGACCGAAAATATTTAAGATTCATCTGGAAAGGAACGCTTTATCAGTACACTTATTTACCAAGTGACCTTCCTAGTTAGCCCAGGATTTTTACAAAGCTTCTGAAGCCTTATATGCTTCACTTAGATCTAAAGGATAAGTATCTGTTGCAAATATTGATGATTCCTATTTACAAAGAGAAACATATGAACAATGTTTAAAAAATATAAAAGATACAAAAAGAACTATTTGAACAATTGAGGTTTAAGATCATTAGGGAAAAATCACTGGTTGTACCTACACATGAAATTGTATTCTTTGAATTTGTTTTGAATTCTAAATCAATGACGATAAGCCTCAATCCAGAGAAGATAAAATAATGTAATAATCTCTATCAAACGTTCTGTTCAAACAAATGCATTCGAACAGACAAGTTGCAGAACTACTTGGATATCTTATTTCCTCCTCAGTAGCTATTCCTTTAGGAATGTTGTACCCAAAATACTTGAAAGAGAAAAAAAAACGAAGCCCAAATGTAACAAGAGTAATTCTGATTCAAAAATAACATTATCAGCAGAGTCACTTCAAGATTTAAAATGGTGACCAATACATATAAATAGTGGTGTTAAAGCTCTCATTCAGCAAACAAGTATCAATGCAACACTTACCACTTAAGCATCAGGATTAGGTTGGGGGCAGAATACAATGATATTTCTACAGGAAATTGAAGTGAAACAGTACTCTTCTAATATTTACTATTTGGAATTACATGCAGTTTTTCCTAGGCCTAAAAAGTTTTCATAAAAAATTGTGTTATAAACATGCCTAAATTGTGACAATTCCACCATTGTTGCATATATTAATAATATGGGTGGTACAAAATCAACTGCATATAACTAAATAGCTCTAGAAATATGGACTTTTGTGCATAGAAATAATATGTGGTTAACAGCGGTTCATTTACCAGATGTTGAAAATGTAGTGGTAGATAGGGAGAGTAGGATGATTAGAGATGAAACAGAGTGGATGTTGAACAAAAAAGTGTTTAAAACTATAACTTGTGTATATTTCAAACACATACTGATTTATTTGCATCTCGACTAAACAAACGGTTATAATATGATAGAACTGTTACAAGTGATAACTTTGGATTCTCAGGTTTTATCTAAACATGCCACAGTAAGTAACAATACAACCTAATAATGTTGAATTATCTGTTGAAACTGATTGCTGTAATAAATTTGGTAATCTTTACAATTTATTAATGTTTTTAGTGGAAGTTAACATATATTAGTTAATTTCAACTACCTTTCTAAATGAAGTGCTGTGGCCACGCTTTAAATCTTTCACGTGATCTCGATACTGACGTATGCTGATGGAGAAATTAAAAATTAAACGATACTTACCAAGATGTTTGATTGTAATTCTCCAAAGTAAACGTATTAGAGATCAGGTGCCACACCTCACCCACCCATTATTGAGAGTTTTTTGTGGCCACATCACCTTTAAAGTTTGAATTCTTGCGTTTACTTCGGAGAATTACAATGAAACTTCTACTTGGTAAGTATCTTTTAATTTTTAATTTTTTTTTTCACATGACGTTATACATATACTGATAACACATGTACTGATATCAGGTAGTTTAAATGTCTACAGTATTTGATGTAAAACAAAAAAGAAAGAAGAAAAAAAAGATGCCTTTCAAAAATTCACAATAACAGAAGTGACTGTTAATCACATTGATTAATAATGGGACCAGATGTTTCATTAATGCAATTAAATTGTTCAAAAAAGGCTTGTGAAATGCTCTCTCAAATCTGGACTAGCTCCCGCTCAACTGCTTAAAAGATGTTTGTGTTTCTTTCATTTTGTTTGGGTCTAAAATTAGCTTTGGAAGTCAGATTATACCTAGAAAGTGGTGCTTCATCAAATCTGTCCAAAAAGTAAATAGCATAATATCATTGTTTTGTGATCGAATACAATTCAGTAATTTTGAGCGAAGATTTAACTATTCACAACTTGCTAAAATATATAGACATTTTCTTTAAAATTAGTATAATAGCAGTCTATGTGTCTTTCAGTCATGTAGTTTGATTTATAAAAGTCGGGAGATCTGTAATCGTCAGGGAGCTGAACAACCGCCAAATGTAACACCAGTGTAAAAACAAAAGGAGGATGCATTGTCCATCATTGATTTATCATGCATTAACATATTTAATATCTATTGAAAAGGCTGCTACAATAAGGATGGTATAAGAGGGGAAAAAAATCAGGGGATACAGCATAAAAAAAGAAAACGACCAAGGTTAACATGAAGGGGAAATGGTGTGTTGTTGTAATTCTATGTTTAGTGAATAAGACAACATTAACAGGTTGGTAAAATAATGCTTAATATCAAGAGTTGGAGAGTTTTATTTTCTATATCAATTATTAACAAGATGATTTTGTTTTCGCTTGTTAAAACATCCATGACTAATTCTGATTTTGGGACCTCTTGAAAGTGGAATCACTCTATATGATCCCTTATTGTGCTCTATCCTACCCCGTTGAAATTGATTCAATGGTTCTGTAATTGAAGTTAAAAATTGAAAAAATTACAGACGACAGACATATAAACGAACGACATACACTTTTCAATCAGAAAAGCTCATTTTAGTCTTTGTTGCTTGTGAGTTAAAAAGCAATGTACTTAAAGAATCTAGTTTAATTTCTTTCCAAATATTTCATTAAAGTATTTAAAAATAAGTTTAGAATGGTAAACAAGGCACTCTTTAGAAAATATCAGTGAGTAGACCGTTATTGCACAGTTAGAATGCCACTTAATGGGTAGACCGTTTCTTGTACAATTAAACTGTCGCTTAGTGAGTAGATGGTTATTGTAGAGTTAGAACGTCGCTCAAAGGTAAACCATTGTTGTAAAGCTAAACTGTCGCTCAGAGGGTAGATCCTTCTCTTGTTAAGTTAGATTGCAGTGGTTGTTCAGTGAGTAGACGTTCTTTTGCAGTTATACTGGCATGGTGGCTCAGTAGGTAAACACTTTTTTTTATATTTAAACTGATACTCAGCGTGAGAATGTTTTTTTACAGTTCCTGTCGCTCGGTGAGTACACAGTTCTTGTACAGCTATACACAGATACACTGTCACTCCGAAAGTAGACTTTGTTTGAACAGTTAAGCTGCCTCGGTGGCTATGTCGATAAATCGCTCAAGTAGAGTTAAGCCACCGGGATGTTCAGTAGTAGACCATTGTACAATTACGGACATACGCAACGTAGTTTGAACTTTATTGTCTTTTCCCCTGGGGTTGAAGAGTTTCGATACTTAAAGGAACTGTGTGCTACATTTTAATGTCTATACATGTATATGCTGTTGTACGCTTCTTCTAAAACAAGTTTGGATAAACAAAACATCTAGAATATACGTTTAGTAATTTTTCCATATTTTTCTTTGAATTATACACAAATTTCCATCAATTGATATCTTTTCTAAACCCCTGGTAATGCATGCTGATTTTTTCTCTACGAACATCTGATGGTACTATAATCTTAAATTAAGAATATCTTGAAAAATTATCAGTAGGCAAGGTACGTTGCGTATGACGTTAAACTGTCGTTGAGTTAGTAAACCATTCTTGTAGAGCTAAGCTGCCACTCAGTGGACAGACCTTTCGCCTTGTGTTAGGCTGGTGGTCATTTTCACACTCAGTCTAACGGGTCTTTCGGATGAGACCTGCAACACTGTTTCTCCGTGTCACGTGTCACTTTACTGATGCAAATCCATCGCATCTTGACATTAGTGAAAAAATTCCGATGCCTCTAATAAATGCATTTCGAACCTCAGACCTAGTGGTAAAGAGGAAAATAAATAGGATTTAGTAGTTTTGGAACCATAATTACTTTAGTCTAAACAATGAAAGTTAAAAAAAACTCAGTGGTTTAGACGTATAGATGACATATCGTTATAAAGGTAAAGTTTGCAATGTACATTTATATTTTAAAGTGGACGACTGCAAAACATCTACTGAAGGTTTAGGATACAGAGGAAGGAAGTCAGTGACCAGTACCGGTAAAACTTGTCAGAGATGGGACAGCCAAACTCCGCATTCACATGATTACGCTGACCTACTTCCGGGGAACGCCAGCAAACACGAGAATTATTGCAGAAACCCACTTGCAGAAAATGTAGATGGCCCCTGGTGCTATACAACAGATGACGATACGAGATGGGAGCTATGCTATATTCCCTTTTGTGGTAATTCTATCCCGCTTAACAGATGTAATACTCATTATTTGTTCGTGTCATTGGTTTAGCATTTTTTCAATAATTATTTTATAGATTCGGATGATGAAAGTCATTTTATATCCTTTTAGTCAGAATATCAGATGGATTTTTTTTAAAAGATTAAAACAAATTTGTATCTTTACAACTCAGATTACACGAAGATTGTGACTAATTGTTTATAGGTAAATTGTCAAATTTGAATTTCTTTAAGTGGTGATACTATTTTGTGTATTCATACAAACATATATAATAATTAATTTTAATTCAAAATAGTAATATTGCAACCTATATATTGCAAAATGCAACAATTAACAAAGGCATTACACAAAATACTACAATACCCGTAATGCATATTAGTTACATGTATATGCTATATATTTACAATTTTATTCGAAAAAGAGAAGTACATCTATAACACGGAGTGCTATGGCGTATCTGGCTAAAGGTTCACATTTCTTCCTTAAATTTCCACACATTTATCCCTGTCTCTTCTCAGGTAAACAAGAAGTATTATTTCGATTAATGACCTTCAGTGAAAAGTAGTCTATCGTACATGGATGAGAAATTACAAATACAATGTTATAAGAATTTCATATGTCAGCTTTAAGTGAATTTATGGCTTTCAAAACTTATTAATTCAAAAAAGAAAACTAATGTTCATTTTGTATTAAGAAGAATAATTTTCCAACAACTATGAAAATAAAATGATTTTTTCGATTAAGAATGTAGAGAGACCATGAAAGGGGTAGAATACAGAGGAACAATGTCTCAAACAATGGAGGGTTACGACTGCCAGAGGTGGGACAGTCTAGTTCTTCCCGATTCTTATTATGCCAAACAACTAGAAGGAAACATCAGTGAGCATGAAAATTATTGCAGGAATCCGGGAAATTCCGAGGATCTAGGGAAACTTCCCTGGTGCTTTACTTCAGTGCCGGATGTGCCATGGGGCTATTGTAACATCCCGTTTTGTTCCAAAAGTCAGTACATATTCATATTTAATTTATTAATTGTTTTGTTAAAACTATTTCATTTGAATAAGTCCTCATATTTACACAATAAATAATGCATACAGGATTCAGAAACAAGTTGTTACAACTTATGTTAATCCGTTTCATTATATTAACTTTCAACTATAAACATACATTTGCCTTTGCTTCATTGCAAATCTAATATATATAGAAACAAAAATTTAAAAAGGATTGAAGAAAAAACAAAAAAAAATTGAACTAGTATCTGAACTAATATTTTGGAGAGATATCATTACATAAGTACATACCCTTATAAATATAACGATCAGAAATTAAGGAGTAAACAATCTATACATTTCAAATTCAACAATTAGGCCACGAGGACGAAAACTCCGATAAGATTGAACTTAAAATCTTTTTGATGCAGAAATAAAATGATTTAATTGTTTAAAAATTTAGTACTAAAGAATAATTCCCAGTAGGATCTCCATATAAGAGATGTTTAAAGCACATGTACTGGTCCTAATGAGTTAACAAATTTTTTTCATACTTCATTGTAGTTAGAATAATCTAACTGTGTCTCAGGACAAGCCCTTACCACAGTTAGAGTACGTCCCATATACTTGCAATGTAGCGAATTGGAGCGGATCAGCTCCAAAATGATTTTGAAGTATACAAAAGGAGTTGCATTGAAAATAACAGATCAATTAATTAATAATAAAAATAATTAATATTATTGCATATATAAAGTATTTACTCATATATAGCGTTCGCAAAATAGTGTATTATGTTTTTATTTTTATACATGAAATATGGAGATAACGAACAGTAGTCAAACTCAAAGTCCATTAAAACAATACAAATTTACTAAAATATCATCATACACGTTTGGCTGTTTGGTCATTATTTAGAATATTATAACACTGTCTACTAACTTTATGGACAATCCTTGTATATGACAGTGTTTAAATAAATCGTTTTGTCGTTGCTATTATTAACGTAAACGCTTCAAATATTTCGATATTGATATTAAGTCCATAATTAGGACTACCATTTAATAATAATTCATATACAAGAGAGATGGTCACAATTTATTATTGGCCGCAGCAGCGGCTGATCTATTTGTGGTTGTGTTAGAAAGAGCACATGGAGAAATGAGACGTTATTTCTTTATTAGTTCAGTAAAACAATTCTTTAATGATTACATGTATAAAATCATGAGTAAAATATTTTAAGACTTGCTTTAAACTAAGTCTTAATTGTTGCTATTATTTTTCAATTTTATGGTTAAAAATGTCGATGTACACTCTTAACGCACAAATTTGTTTTCAAAGTTCGTTGATTTTGTTCCCAATTTTAACGCAATTTAAATTTTTTTTTTCAAAGTGCGTAATTTTTCAAAGTGCATTGCCACAGAGCATGCTCTTGCGTATCGAATTAAATGAGAGATATACACCCCATATGCATGTGATACATGATAAGGGTATATTATATTGCTGCATAAGTAAGAGAAGTTGAGGAATGAACTGTTAAAGTCATCACGTTTATCATAAAGCTTTGTTGATAGATTACCATTAACGTCTTTTTCTAGTAAAGATGTGTCAGACTCTGTGGTATCTTTTATTTCATGCTCACTGGTATATATCCTGTCGACATATGAATGGAAATAACTATTGTTATTTGATAATACGTCGTCGATATATCTAAATGTCGATTTAAAGGCCACAGCAAGAGATTTCTTTTCCTCATGTATAAGATTTTGAATAAATTCTGTTTCATATGAATACAAAAATAGGTCTGCTAACAACGGGACGTAATTGGTACCCATGGGAATTCCAATAGATTGTTGGAAGACCACATAGATATTGTTAATCAGAAACTCAAGCATCTTTTTAATATCAATTTCAGAGTATTTGTGTGTACAATCAGATTTTTTTTTAACAAAATAATTTGCAAACGACCTTTGAAAAGGTAAGTAAATTTACGAGTTCCATTTTTATTGAAAAAGCGGCTGTCAATGATGTCAAAAAGCCTGGACTTTAATGTATCGTGGGGAATGGTTGTATATAGAGTTGAAAAGTCGTAAGTTTTTATGTTATCGATTTTGGTAAAATTTTGTGATTTCAAATTTTCCAAAAGTTCTTTGGAATTTTTAAGTATCCACATCTGATTTACACCACTTCTCGAATATATTGTTGCACAGTACTCCTGAAGTTTCTCCTTCAATGCTGCTAATATTTTAGTGAGGAGGAAAGAAAGAGGCTTGGTAGAACATTTACTGGAACCCGCTGTGCGTTTTTGTTTGTAAGGATTTGTTTTTAAAGTTTCGGAATCCAATATAAATATGGTAATTCAAATTCACTTTGGTTGTTGGGAATATTAAAAAATATTCAAAACAGGCAAATAATTTTGCAGAATTTCCTCCTTAGAAAGGGAGCTATGGGAATTAGTTGGATTGCCACCTGTAGAATTAAATCCCAGTTCTTCTAAAGTACAATTAAAATAATGAGCCTTACACACTAAGACAATGTTGTTACCGGCTTTGTCAGCTGGGACCAGTACATACTAATCGTATAGTCTATCTAATTCTTTTTTCACTTCTGAATTATTGAACCCAGATGGATAGATGGTTTTCATATTGCCCCTCAATCGCTTAATGCGAAGTAAATAAGCAAAATCGTTACAATGTACTTTAATTAAAAAAGATATTCTATACATGGCAATACTCGCATTTTAAGAAAAAAATATAAACAAGGTTATTCATTTCTAATACAAAGTTTTTGTTGCCATTGTATGTTTTAAAATTTGTACATAATTAACAAAAAATACATGAATGTAATGTACTTATTTAGGCCTTTTTTACCACTTTCAGCTAATTTATTTTTTATCTTTACCATTGTTACGCTTTCATTGAATAATTTTGGGTTGAATCCAATGGCTAAATTATGCAAAGGTGTGAAAATTGTAGACTTCTTCAATTTAATTCAATAAATTGTATTTCATAAGGTAATGCAGAGTGTCTTAATGACGAAAAAGGTGTAAAGTACTTTGGTACCAAATCAACAACCAAAGATGGCCTAACTTGTCAACGCTGGGATGTACTAGAGCCACATTGGCACAGTTTTTCTAAGGGATTTATGGGACTCAATGCCTCTGAACATGAGAATTACTGCAGAAACCCAGAGGAGGACGAAATGCCCTGGTGCTACACCGTTAATTCTACTATACCTTTTCAATATTGTGATATTCGCTTATGTAAGGAAAGTGAGTACATCGCTCATTCTTGAAAAAACATCCCGAATTTGTCTCCCTGATCATTTCAATAATGAATTAGTAAAATGATTTAAAGAATATACTTATCTATTTTTTCGGAAAATAAAATTATTATTATTTAAAAATACTGAAAAACACTGGTTAATAAATTTCTGACTTAATTACATTGAATTTTAATAAGGTCTTGTTTCTTTTATATGTATATATCTGTTTGTGTGAGGGTGTGTATGTGTGTAAATTCGATAATTCTCTTCTTCATTTATTGCTTCAAGGTCTTTAGAGTTTAAAAATCACTTTGTGACCTTTGTCTTGGCCTTAGCTTTGACAAACCTACCGTCATATTTAAAGTCGTAACGATTCATTGGAGGGTTTTTTTTCTATAAATCAGAGGACTGTAAAGACACAGAAAACGGCGTGGGATACAGAGGAAAGCGAGATACTACTCGGGACGGGATACTTTGTCAGCGATGGGACAGGAACACTCCACACAGGCCACACGGCACTATAAATTTCCCTGGATCATCTTTGTCTGCACAGGAAAACTACTGTAGAAACCCGCAGAACGATATATCACCCTGGTGCTACACAACGGATCCAAATATACGCTGGCAGTATTGTGATATACCTTTTTGTTTAAACAGTAAGAATATCTACATTCATGTAGGATTCTATTTCTTTTTCTGTATTCTAATAACTGCACTGGACAAAAAAAAAACCATTAAATGTTAAAGAGGAGAAAACTGTTGCATTTTAAAAATGGTTTCGTTCTTAGATCAATGGTTTTAAAGTGAGACAGGAATGTAATGTGTATTTTATGAAAGTCAATAGTCATGCACAAGAAAAAGATTTCCAGGGTTACCTTTTTAGCTCACCTGAGCCTAAGGCTCGAGTGAGCTTTTCTGATCAAAGAGTGTCTGGCGTCCGTATGTCGTCTGTAGTCCGTAAACTTTTCACATTTTCGACTTCTTTTCAAGAACCACTTAGCCAATTTCAACCAAAAGTGCCACAAAGCATCCTTGGGTAAAGGGGATTTAGGTTTGTTCACAGGAAGTGCTGCGCCCTCATTCAAGGGGAGATAATTAAGAATTCTTAAAAATTTGGTGGTATCTTTTAATAATCTTCTCGAGAACCTCTGGGTAAGAAAAGATGAAATGTATGTGAAAGCTTCATTTCATACTCTAGATTCATATCATAACCCCCGGGGGTAGGGCGGGGCCACAACAGGGGGTTTAAGTTTTACATAGAAATATGTAGGAAATGTCTTAAAAATCTTCTTCTCAAGAACAGCAAAGCCATGATAAGTCATATTATAATACAAGTATCCTCAGGTAGAGTAGATTCATGTTTGTTCCAATCATGGCCCCTGGGGGTAGGGCAGGGCCACAACAGGGGGCCAAAGTTTATCACAGGAATATATAGAAATATCTTTAAAAATCTTCTTCTCATAAACAGCTCAGCCATTATTACTTATATTAATAAAGAAGTACTCCCAGGTAGTGTTGATTCAAGTTTGTTCAAATCATGACCCCTGGGGGTAGAACGGGGGCAAAACAGTGGATCAAAGTTTTACATAGGAAAAAATAGGTGTAATGTTAATGGGCATTCGAGTAAAACGCATTGAAAACTTCAAATAATGGAATGACCTGGCAACCCTTGGAATGGACTAGCCAAACCAAAGTGTATATAATTCAAAGCTTTGGGAAAGTCATTCAGAAGGTAGCTGAAGAAGTTCGATGTGGAATCAGTAATGTATGTGAACAATAACTTAATGTATGTGAACAATTACTTAGTGTATGTGAACAATAACAATGTATGTGAACATTAACTTCCGAAAATAAGCCACATCTACCGACCGATTTCAAAACTTTACGTTACCTGCAAGAGGAAGATATTAATCTATGTGAACACTCAACATATTGTATGTCTTTCTTTGGGGAAGGGAATTCTAGGCAATAAATTTCAGAGGACTTATGGAACCTATCTTTTTTTAGATGACAATTTCTAGAATATCCATTGGTTGATAAGTTCTGAAAGCCCCATCATGCAACTCTAAATATCGACAGACCTCCTCTAAAATTCAATAAAATGTTACCAGTAATAAAGACAACTTCTTGTTAAAAATAATAAGAAATAAATGCTAACTCTTTTCTGTAATTCTTCTACCTTGAAAACAATAAGCTAACTGTTTCCCTTAATTGGAATAATTAACATGCAAATAGACGCACAGACATGTACGATCGGAGTGGCCAAATTCATTTTATTCTGAAAAGAAAAGTTTTTCTTTTTCAAAGCATCATTCAAATGTGACTTTTCGGATGGAATTTGTGGACTAGAACAGAATGATACATTAACAAGATGGGTGTTGATTGGATCAAGGAATGGTAGGCCTAATCATAATTAACCTGTATTAACATTTATTAATTAGAATTCAGATAAATCAAACATATTAAAACTTAAAAAAAAAAATTCCGTTTTCTTTTCTTTCTTTTTTTTAATTTTAAGATGTTCTTTTCAGATACGTTTGGGGAAAAATTGTTTTATTATTATTGTCCCCCGCTTTTCGCAAAAGCAAAACATAAAATTCCAGTCTGTCAGTCTGCCTGTCTGTCCATCTGTCACAAAAACTTTAACAATGGTCATAACTTTTGAATGAGAAAAGGCAGGACTTTCATATTTCACACGTACACTACCTGTGACAAAATACTATGATTTTTGACCTCGTGATCTTGACCTTAAAGTTTGACCTATTTAAAAAAAAAATAGTGATAACTTTTGAATGAGAGAAGATAGGGTTTTCATATTTTACACGTGTATTACCTGTGATAAGACCTTTCCAAATATTTTATGATTTTTTACCTCATGACCTTCACCTTGAAGTTTGACCTACTTCTCTAAAATATTATCATTGGGGATAACTCTTGAATAACATATGTGCATTACCTGTTACAGGCTTTTCCGAATGTACTTTGGTTTTTGACCTCTTGACCTTGAAGTATGACCTACAGTACTTTTCATTTTTTTTTAATTTTGGTCATAGCGTTTGAATGAGAGAAGATAAGACTTTCATATTTTATATGTACTTTACCTGTGCCAATACCATTCAGATAAAATATATTTTACTTCATAACATTGACCTCCAACGGGACGTAAAACAACATACAATCAATCAATAATAATCTTGACCTAGAAATTTGATTTACTTATTTAAAATTTTATCTTTGGGCATAACTATAACTAGAAAAGACTGGGCTTTCTTATTTTTTTTTCACATGAGCATTACTTGTGATAATTCCTATCGGATTGTATTATGATATTTGACTTTATGACCTTGAATTATAATGTGCCAAAAATAACTGCATCGCATCCACTAAGACACGAAGGCGGGGGACCATAATTCTTTGAATTTTATTATTATTTTTATTCAGTTATTCTGTTTAATCGTTTTTATGCCAATACAGAGTTTGTATTTCGTCTGTCGGCACAGCCATCCGGATCACTATCAAACTTGCCTACATTGAAATCACCCCTCTTACGTTCTACCTACACTGGAGGCTGTTTGCAGCTGGAATATCGTAGCAAGGGTATTAACCTTGTAATAAAAACCACCACTCACACATTGACTAGACTTCCAGAAAGTGTAGAGTGGAAGAGAGTAAAAGTGAACATACCTTTTCATCCTGAAAACTACGAGGTTTGATATTTTTTCACAACATATTTTATTCAAACATCCCTTTTTTAAAAGATATTTTTGAGTTTGCTATAAATTTACCTTTATGATTTTCTCTTAGGTGTTAATTGTACCATTTTCCACCACATCTTTAGTTGAAGTGGGCATAAGGTTAATCGATATTCAAGAGAAGACTTGTCAAGGTACCTATTTAAAAAATCAAAATGATATTTTTGATTAAAATAAATGTATATTTAAATGTTGTAATAAATTTCCAAGATTGTTTTGCCTGTCTGCATGATGGCCTATGTATTGAAAGGGAGGGATTTTGTGATATGAACCTGGATTGTCCTGACTCCACTGATGAGGAAAACTGTGGTGAGCACATTTCGAATTTTTCGTCTGTAGTTGAGTTGTTAAATGAAGTCAATAAAATAAGTTTTTCCTACAATTATTAGCTCTTGAGTGTTACTATGAAAACGTGTACAAAGGATACCGAAAAGAAACAAAATATCTCCACCGATGCATGGAAGGTGCGGAAAATACATGCAGATTTGATGAAAGCAAAGAAAAGCTAGGATGCTTCGTGAATTCTGAACAGAGGTGGGAGGAATGTAACGTTCCAAAATGTGGTAAGACTCAGATGTATTCGTCGTTAAAAAGGTAATTAGTCCTAAGATAAATCAATACTAAATGACAGTGAATTTCAAAATCGATAGAACAAGAATTATGATCTTCAGTAAGCAAAATGAATTTACGAAGAAAAATTACGTTTTCATATAAAAATACGAAAGAGTGAAATATTGAAACTACATATAATCTTCAGTTTACATTAAATAGCTAAAATGAATACAATAAAAATAAATATAATAAATAAATAAAATTAAGAATAAAATTTTGAAATTATGATAGGTCATTAAGGAAAAAAAATTCTCAAGCAATGAATAAATTTTGTCTACATTCAAACTGTGAGAATTTTATTATAGACACTGGATTTCTAGATTGCAAATTTGAAAATGACTTGTGCGGTTGGAAACAGATGCAGCATGGAATAAAATGGAATCGACAAATAGCAGAAAATACGGGTAATGAGCATATGTGTATCAAAAATTATGTTACAGATGAGAATTTTTTACATCTAGAAAAATACTGCTAAATTTAATGTTATTTAAATGCTGGAATATATGTATATCATTAAAATAGGCGAAATGTTTGCATTGGCTGAAAGTAAATTACATTTGAATGAAGATATGGAGGAGAGGGCTGTCTTATACAGTACACCACAACCTTCATCGTCTAGTTTTGGTTGTATAACAATCTCATATTCTGGAATTAATGTCAGTTTGAACGTATTTATTACACAAGGCACGACTATAACATCAGATAAAATAGTTTTTCAGCATCAAATAATTGAGTTGAAAAGTTTTGCTATAGCAACTTTCCAGACTCCTTTTGGTACCCCTTACATGGTAAGTTAAATATTTTGCACAAAAATAACTAAGTGTTAAATGTAACACAATGAAGTGAAATATACATAATTATTTTATCTTTTTAATATTGACACACCTATTGTAGGTAGTGATTGTTGCAAAATTTCAAGCTATATCACCTGGATTTTTAAAACTAGAAAAAATAAGCCACGAAAATGGAATTTGTAAAGGTTTGTTGTTATTTTAAAATTAGTAACTCAAAGATTCAAAGCAATGTATTTCTTAAAATTAATATAATTGCAAGTTGGTTCATCCTCTGATTTCAAATATCCTTTAAAATTTCGTGATAGCAAAATCAGAGATGAATGTTTTCTGTTATCTAGATAAAGGTCCTTGTGATAAAACCGAATTTCAATGTGATGACGGGAGCTGTGTACATGTTGACAAAGTTTGCAATAGGAAAAACAATTGTCCAAATAACGAGGACGAATTTATGTGCAGATATAACAGCTCAGAATGTGTTCAAATGAAAAATGAGTGTATTCTACCTTGCCCTTCTCAATGTGAATGTCAAGGTGTAATCTTCAGGTGCCATTCTCCGGAAAACATCCCAAAAGAGGTCAAAGTACTTGATTTTAGCTTAAGCAGCTTTGATACAAGAAAATTAAGAAATTTTAGTTTCCTCTTACATTTAAATATTTCAGGATGTTCTATAAACGATTCCACAGTGAAAAATCTAGGATATCAATTAAGATCATCTAATCTTCAAAATCTCGACCTCTCATTTAACAATCTTCGGCATTTGAATCAGAATACTTTTGGTGGCATGATTAATCTATTATATCTTAATATTTCACACAACCAAATTGAAAGTTTTGAGATTTTATTAATGAGCTCCATTCCAAAGTTACGGTATTTAAATCTTCGAAACAACAAAATAGAAATAATTCAAGCTAACGAAATGGGTAATATCTTCTATCCTAAACTTAAATATTTGGATTTAAGAAACAATAAAATAAGAACAATAATGCCTAAATCTTTGTACTTGTTAGGTTCAATAACAAAATTAATTTTAAGTCACAACACAATTACAAATACGGAGCAGTATTTTACAAACTCAATGAGAACGCTATCTGATTTAGATTTAAGCTCTAATTTGATAAAAGTAATCACGAATAATATGTTTTCGGGTTTAAGCAGACTCCGAGATTTAAACCTAAAAAACAATCAAATTGAAATTTTAAATGGATTCTCATTTTCATCACTAATTTCTTTACGTACACTTAATCTTGCCTTCAATAAAATCCATACAATACACAGAAAGGCTCTGGAGAACATGGTTTTACTCAGTACCTTGAACCTCACAGGAAACAGATTGAGAATTCTTGATTCCGCAAGATTCGTCGCCCTAATAAAGCTTCAGATTTTGGACTTATCACACAATGGAATTTATTATTTGAACTACAATACCTTTCAAAGACTGGAGGAAGTCAAATATCTATATATACATGGAAATAACTTAAGCGTGTCAAAAACTATGTTTCAAGGTCTTTGTAACCTTGAATGGATGTCGACAGACTCATACATTATTTGTTGTGCCAAACCATTGTCTGTTGATGCATCAAAATGTATTTCTCCACAAGACCGAATCTCCTCTTGCGAACAGTTGATCAACGTAAGATTCCTTGCACAAATGATATGGTACATGGCCCTTTTCTCGTTGGTAGGAAACAGTTACGTAATTTATTACCGCATTAGAAGCAGCGAAGAAGGAAGCACTCTGTCACAAGGAATTTTCATTCTGAATCTAAGTTTTTCTGATTTATTGATGGGTATTTACTTGTTCATTATCGCACTAGCAGATATGGAATATCGTAACGTATACGGATTTCACGATAGCCAATGGAGATCCAGCATTACCTGTACAGTTGCTGGATTATTAGCAATGCTTTCCAGTGAGACATCGGTACTCTTTGTATTTCTCATTACAGTTGAACGATACTTAGCTTTGAGGTACCCGTTTACTGCAGGACTTAAGAGGAGGAAAAAAGAAATTTTAGGCGTTACAATAATCGTGTGGCTCTTTGGTATTATATTTGCAACACTTCCAATTTTATTTTACCATGACTTTTACAGCAGATCCACAGTATGTATCTCTCTTCCTTTAACTACAGAGAGGTTGGAGGGTTGGAAGTATTCTACATTTGGTTTCATTGGCTTTAACATATTGATTTTCATGGCTATACTGATTGGACAGATACTGATATTCATAGAAGTAAGGAAAACTGGAAAAGCCCTAAATAACGACAACACTCGAAGAGAGATTGCTGTGTTAAGATCTCTGACATATGTTGTATTATCCGATACGTTTTGCTGGATTCCTATTATTTTGATTGGTGAGAATCTTCTTTTTGGAAAGGTTGTTCTAAACAATTAAAGTTGAAATGCTATTTTTAAGATTAATCATAAAAACTTTTTATAAAACATCCCACATTCTTTATTAAAGAATGCTTATTTAATTCAAGAAAATGTGTTTCCAGAGAAATTGTTTTTGTATTGTATTGTGTGCTAAAATTGACATATGAATATTTCAAGAAATATATGTAAACTTTGAAAACGTACATAAATACGCAAGAAGTAGCAATTTGAAAAAAAAAAACAAATTCATTTTAGGAATAGCGGCATATGCGGGACTGGAAATTTCATTTGATATATATGCATGGGTTATCGTTCTTGTGCTACCAATTAATTCTGCTTTGAATCCAATTATATACACCTTCAGCTTGATATACAAACAGGTAATTTATCTTTGATTAATTCTTTCATGTGTTTCTTTAATAATTTAAGGATTTCATTGATAGTTCTAAATTTTCTACATTTTCTTTTTTACAGAAACAGCAAAGACAAATCAGACATAACCATATCTAGAGGCAATATGAACAAGATTTGAATCCACTCAGTGCTTAACCTCGTTATTTTCCTACTGAAGAACCATGAACATGACACGTAACATTTCATTGTATTACCGTATTATCCATGTTTATCTTGATCCCTTTCTCCCCATCAGGTTAATATATTTTAAATTTAAGTGTCTCATATTCTTTCTGGAATGTATGTCTATGAAAAGAAGAAGACTAAAACTTTTATCTGATTTGTTTTGTTCAGGAGAACGTGGGTTCATGAATTTATATCAATTTTTCAAACGTCATGCAGATCCAAAAGTGAAAAAATTAGTGACAGACATCAAGGCATTTAAAGAGACACAAAACAACACCTAAACGTACGAACAAACAAACAATATGCTTGTAAATAATAAAGGATCTTTTTTTTAAAAAAAAAAATAATAATAATTCACTCTTTCATTGAAATTATGAAAGTTTAGCAATTCACATGTCATCATGAATATTAAAAAGCATGACTTTGTCTGCAGCTATTCGCTTTTTAAATTAACAAATAATAAACTTGATTTATTCTCTTTCAAATGAAATATTGGAGGAGAAATTCTTGAGAAACTTGAAAATATTACTTTCTTCCATATATATATTAAACAACATTGTTAGGTGAAATTCAAATTTGATCACGGCGATTTGCATATACTTCCCGGGGAAATATGCAAAAAAAATTTCAACATAAAAAATAAATTTAAAAAATGTTTCAAAAAAAATTCCATTTGCATTTATTTAAAAATTAAGAGAAAATGTTTTTTTCAAAAAAGGCTAGTGTTCAAGTTATTCATAAAATGTTTCAGGGTATTGTTTTCACCAACATAACGGACTGTTTTAGGTAAAATTGAGTAACCACAATATATACCTGTATTTTACGTAATGTGCCTTACATCTTTTTCTTGTAAAAAAAACTTAAATGCGAAACCACTAGACAGGAAAGACAGAAAATTAAATCAGACAGGATGAGAGAAATACTACATGATTCATTTTTTAAATAACAGAACGAATAGCTGATAGTTGAAATTTAAAATACATTATCAAAAATAATTTATACATATGTGGGCTATTCATTTGTTTTTATCTTAATTTTCCCATTTTTATTTGAATAAATTGACATTCATTAAACACCTGGTTTATTTTTTACAGCTCTGTACTGAGATAACATTTGATTTTTCGATAACGAGATTATCAACACATTTAATTCTTGTCATGAACTCCATTATTACATTGTAAATAGACTAGGTATATGCCTGTAAAACTTTCCAAAAATGGAAATATTGTCTATGTTTAACAACACAGTAAAGTGTCATTGCCTCTCTATCTGTTTTGATGCATTGGATAATATTTTTTTAATTACTGTACGTGTACTTAATACAGTTTTCAGGTTTTAGCACTTTGTAAAAAAGGGGAGGGCATATTCATTCTCACCGCCAAAAAACTGAACAAGTATAATGTATATTATCCTGATAACTCTCAAATCATACAGAGTCAAAATGTGTATATCTACGTTTGCGTTGGATTTGGTGAAATAATACAAGTCCAGCACTTTATAGAGAAATCTTGTAAGGTTGAGGTTTTTAATCGATTTACCTTTACCAGATAAATTAAATCATTTGTAATTAGAACATCTTAAAGGTTCTTCATGTGGAAATAAGGCATGGATGTGAACGAGGAAAGAGGAAACGAATGTAGACTACAAACTTTGTCCTGTGTAAGAAATACAATGATTAGCTCTATATAAATAAATTACAGCTTGTTTTCTGAACTAAACCGTATAACATTTTTCATCAAATATTTCCAAATCTGGTTCTTATTTTACAGCTGCAAGACAATGAATGACGAGAGAATATTTAATTATAAAGAAGAACAATGTGTATAGTGTGTTGCATATGTCTGGAGGCAGATTTTCATTCCAGGATTTCTACGTCCGAAGTTTTTCCATCACTACAGTAAATATAACACATAAATCAGAATGTAGGACATCTAAAACACAGGTTAATCAGGTAGAACGCCTAAACATAAATAAATCAGAATCGATGAATCTTAAATATAGATACAGATCTGTTCCAAAAGTGAAGATAATTTTATTTTTTCTCTTTATATATTTTAATGAAAAGCACATATAGTTAAATCGCTGGAAAATGGTCAATTTTTGTCTAATTTCATTATTTATTTCAGTACTTAAACCAGGAAATGTGTAGTTATCTTTTTTTCTGAAAGATCATTACATATTCAGTTTTTAGAAAAAGATAGTTCATCTTTTACATCAGTTCTAAAGTTAGATCAATGTTGACTATATAATTCATTGTGCATACTAGCATATGACTTAAATTTTCATGTCGCACTTAAGTTAAGTACAATATTTTTAAATATCGATGCTGATCAGATAAAAACTATTGTTTTTATCAAATATAACAATTTCTTGGATTATTGAGAAAGAATCTGGGGGGATAAGACGAGCCATGTGCCCATGCCCATTTTTCGGCTATGCAAGAACATTTATTGGAAAAAATCTCTCAATTGTTCGAATTTACTTAAGCATTTTAATGTTTACCGTAGTTTTCAAAATGATATTTATATTCTAAACAAGCTAAACAGTTGACTTTCATTTACTGTCACAAATGTCTAACATGGGTAAGGACTTCTATTAATTAATCTGCATATTGAGTGTTTACACTTATTGTGGAGATATTATGAAAATGTTAACATCGTATATAATGATAATGGTGATCTAGAAGCGCTTTTATTTAAAATAAATAAAACGGGAATAAAAGTATTCAAATATCTATTATTATTTTTATCCGGCATTTTAAATAATTTACTGTAAATAAGTTCATTACTACATGTATATATTTTATTTCCAGTGAAAAATATGTTATTCCTATATACATTTTTATAAAGTAAAACAAAATTAAAACCAAAAAAAAAAAAAAAATCAGAGCATGACTCGAACACTTTCCTCAATAAACGTCCCATTAAAGAGCTCATCGCTAACTACTAGACCACAGAGTCACACTAACATTTCCATTTAAATAGCATACAGTTCTCTATATTTAGCAAGCGTTTTTGGACTTAGAATTTTTTAAGACCACGGTGAAAATTTAAGTAAGTTAACTTAATTTTTTATGTAGAGTGGGTCTTCATACCAAATTTTTGCAAGTGTAAAAAGCAACATCTTTCCATTGCCTTTCATTAATCGTTCTCAAAAAAATGGTACGATGACCCACTCTATTTAAAAAATGTAGTTATATCATCCAATTTATGTCAGTTTCTGTGAAAATTGAGCGTGATGCCATTTTGTTGTGTTAATCAGAATCATTTTCGCTGTTACAGTATTCAGGTTTTGTCAAATTTATATGCAAATGGTAATAAGCATTACATTAATTCAACAAAAAGTGAAATTTTTGTAAAATGAATTTATTGATTTTTTTATCGATCGTTATGTAGGCATATGGCTCGGCTTATCCCCCCAGTTTCTTTGTGGTAAAATCTGTCAAGAAATGTTGTCACTCCAGTGATTTTACAAAATGTTGTTTTCAATGAAATATACAGAGAAAAAATAAAATTATCTTCACTTCTGGCACACATCTGTAACTCAAAACGAAGGACTTCTAAAACATAGATAATTTAAAATGAAGGACAACTAAAACAAAGATAACTAATGATGAAGAAAATCTAAAACACAAAATTAATACTACAGAATCATTTTAATTCCTGGGGGTCAATGTTTGTGGATAACCAATATTTTATTAGTTCTTGGGTAACTCGAGTAGACACCAAAGATTCGATGAATTGCTACTTCGACAAAGTTTGTTTGTGGGAATGTAAATTCATTGGTAGGAGTAACCCATAACCCACAGATAAATTAGAATAAAGAACACCAAAAAACATAGTACACAGATAAATCACCATTAAGAACACCTAAGCACAGATAAATCACCATAAAGAACACCTAAACACAGATAAGTCACCACAAAGAACGCCTAAACACAGATAAGTCACCACAAAAAACACTTAAACACAGATAAGTCACCACAAAGAACACCTAAACACAGAAAAGTCACCATAAAGAACGCCTAAACACAGATAAGTCAACACAAAGAACAGCTAAACACAGATAAGTCACCATAAAAAACAACTAAACACAGATAAGTCTCCATAAAGAACGCCTAAACACAGATAAATCACCATTAAGAACGCATAAACACTGATATGGCACCATAAAGAACACCTAAACACAGATAAGTCACCACAAAGAACACCTAAACACAGATAAGTCACCATAAAGAACACCTAAACACAGATAAATCACCACAAAGAACAACTAAACACAGATAAGTCACCATAAAGAACACCTAAACACAGATAAATCACCACAAAGAACGCCTAAACACAGATAAGTCACCACAAAGAACACCTAAACACAGATAAGTCATCATAAAGAACACCTAAACACAGATAAGTCACCACAAAGAACAGCTAAACACAGATAAGTCACCATAAAAAACAACTAAACACAGATAAGTCTCCATAAAGAACGCCTAAACACAGATAAATCACCATTAAGAACGCATAAACACTGATAAGGCACCATAAAGAACACCTAAACACAGATAAGTCACCACAAAGAACACCTAAACACAGATAAGTCACCACAAAGAACACCTAAACACAGATAAGTCATCATAAAGAACACCTAAACACAGATAAGTCACAACAAAGAACGCCTAAACACAGATAAGTCACCACAAAGAACACCTAAACACAGATAAGTCACCACAAAGAACACCTAAACACAGATGAGTTACCATAAGAACACCTAAACACAGATAAGTCACCATAAAGAACGCCTAAACACTGATAAGTCACCACAAAGAACGCCTAAACACAGATAAGTCACCACAAAGAACACCTAAACACAGATAAGTCACCATAAAGAACACCTAAACACAGATAAGTCCCCACAAAGAATGCCTGAACACAGATAAATCACCATAAAGAACACCTAAACACAGATAAGTCACAACAAAGAACGCCTAAATACAGACAAATCACCATAAAGAACGCCTAAACACAGATAAGTCACCACAAAGAACACCTAAACACAGATAAGTCACAACAAAGAACACCTAAACACAGATAAGTCACCATAAAGAACGCCTAAACACTGATAAGTCACCACAAAGAACGCCTAAACACAGATAAGTCACCACAAAGAACACCTAAACACAGATAAGTCACCATAAAGAACACCTAAACACAGATGAGTCACCACAAAGAACACCTAAACACAGATAAGTCACCATAAAGAATGCCTAAACACAGATAAATCACCACAAAGAACACCTAAACACAGATAAGTCACCACAAAGAACGCCTAAACACAGATAAGTCACCAGAAAGAACGCCTAAACACAGATAAGTCACCATAAAGAACACCTATAACACAAATAAATTACAAAAGAACAGCTACATCACAGATAAATTACTATAAAGAACATCTAAAACAAAAACAAATCAGAATGAATGAGAATCTATCTTAAAATTACATTTTTGTTGAATATGTGAGAATACAGTTGAACTTCGTTATCTGGAACACTGATATCTCGAATACCATGCATATGTCGAAGTAATTTGCATGTCCCAACCACTTATTCTTTAAGTATTTTACCCTCGATATCTCGAATCCTCGGTATCTCGAAGTTTTTTCTCGGTCCCTTCGAGTTCGACATAACGAGGTTTGACTGTATATCATACTTTTCAATTTCAGTGAATAATTTTTTAAAAAAAAGAATTTTACTAGTAGCAATATTTGTAAAAACAAAAATCGATAAAACACCAGATATAGGTTGACAGTCATTATTTGTCTTAAGAGAATATAAAAAGAATGCAATTTGCAAGCTTAAAAATATTTTTTAAACAAAAAAAAAAAAAACAATCAAACAAACAAATCTTGAATGAAATCTCTTGTTGAACTGGCTGATGCATTCTTTTTTAAAATTGGGAAGGAAATGCCAATAAACAAGAATGAAACATTAAGAAAACACCGAACCATTATATACAAGGGGGTAGTCAAACCCTTCATTGTAATTATAACTCCTGTACAAGCCATGTTTCAAGTTCTTGTCCTAAGTCTGAAAAGATGTATTCATCTTTGTCATTCTGTGGACAACGAATTAAATAAGATAAATCAAATTTTAAAGTAAATGTTTTCTTCTTCCACCATATGTATTGTATTTATAAAAACATTTTTAAAGTAGTTTGATCTTTATTCAGATTTCACATTTTACGGAGTTGTTGCAATAGATTTCTGAGTTGAACCTCACTTTCCTGAATGTGTATGAAATGTAAATATCTATAGTTTTAATCATTTCATGCAATATATATATATATATATATATATATATATATATATATATATATATATATATATATATATATATATATATACATATATATATATATATATATATATATTCATTTTTTTTTATTTAATTTTTTTTTTTTTTTGCTTCTGTTGATTGAGTTCTCTGTCAACAGATAAGACATACAGGAACTCTTTCATTTGAACACGATCTCGCAAATTTCCTATGTATAATAATCATGAATCGCCTGAAATGGCATTATTCGAAGCATTTCATGTAGACTCTGACTGCTCTAAATAGAAATTAGTATTATTCTGCCCGTCACTGTCTGTTGAAGACTGAAATTTGCAGCAGAATCCTCCACATCGTCTCTGGAGTGCTTGGAAATTTTCCTTCCGAAGTAGATCCACCATAGAGTTTGCCATTGCAATCCTGGCCAACAGTAAATCTCTTGAAGGATTTTCTTTATTCAACAGTGCAGCATATCCAAGTATTAAGAACTTAAAAGACAATATTTGAAGAATTAAAATTCTCTTTTCCCCTCTGAATATTTGGTTTCTATTCAAGCTAATTTATTGCTTAAGTTGATTTTTTCTAAAAGAATTGATTGCATGTTGATTTTTTTTAATCATACTGTTATTTCAGTAAGTTGCTGCTGAGGCAAATTAATGACAACCCCATATTAACAATCTATCTATTGGTGAAGTTATCGAGTCGCGAGAAAAAGACAAAGGCTTTTTAAAAAAAAATCTTTCTGAATAAAGTACCAGCAAAGCTATACAGCAAAACTCGGTTTTAACAAAGTCACTGGGACCTGTGAAATTATTTCGCTATATCCGTAATTCGTTATATCCGTATTGGGAATTCGTTAAATCTATATAGCTAGGGATCCAAGACTTCGCTAAATCCGTGAATTTGCAATATCCGTGTTCGTGCTAAACGAGTTTTACTGTAGTTTGTTTTAAAAAAAACATTTCAATGAAATATGAGATCATAGGCGATACTTTTAATACTTACAATTTGTGGACTCCAACATTCGCCTGAATTGGCATTATTTTAAGCATTTCATATAGACTCTGACTGCTCTAAATAGAAATTAGCATCACTCTGTCTGTCATTGTCTGTTGAGGAAACTTTGCAGCAGAATCTCCCACATCGTCTCTGGAGTGCTTGGAGATTTTCCTTCCGAAGTAGAATATAGATCCAGGGATCAATCACAGAGTTTGTCATTGCAATCCTGCCTATTAATAAATCTCTTGAAGGATTTTCTTTATTCAACAGTGCAGCATACCCAAGTATCAAGAACTGAAAAGGAAAATGTTTGAAAAATTAAAATTGTGTTTATTTCTCGTCTCCCCACTGAGTACTTCGTTTTTATTCAAACTAATTTGAGGGTTCATCAGTTCATTTTTTTTAAAAAGAATTGATTGCATGATTTAAAAAAAAATTACATTGTTTTTTCAATAAGTTCTTCTAAGAAAAATTCATTACAACCCAATATTAACTAGCTATCTATTGGTGGTGAAGTTATTGAGTCGCCAGAAGAAAGTAGTCTTTTTGAATGAAAAACCTTAGGTAAGCTATAGTTTTTCTTTAAAAAATCTAACATTTCAATGAAATATAGGATTATATCAGGCGAGACTTTTAATACTCACAATTTGTGGACTCCAACATAAGGTGAAAACAATCACAAACACTAGCAGTAAAATCATGTTATATATGGTGCTTTGTCTTTTTCTTTGATCGTTTCTCTTTTCGTTGACATTTTTGCAAAGTTTTACCATTACAAAACAATTGAGGGAAATAGTCGTAGACAAAACAAAGAGTCCAAATATTGAATATATGTATGAATTAACTCTGTCTAAAGTAGAGGTTCCCACAAAATTCATGAAGCACCAGGAACCTGGATAGTAAATAACATTGGAACCGATTCCTATCAGAGCTAGACTAGAAATTACCGTGCCAAGAACCCACACAAAAATTAATATGATGTTTGCACGACGCTCCCTCTCAATGACGTTATATTTGAATGGATACGAAATAGCCATGAAACGATCCAAAGACATTGCACAAACAATCATAGCTGAAGATGTCAACATAAATGATATGATAAACGCACTGTAGTCACATAAAGGTTGAGGAAAATCGTACGTAAAGTTGGAGAAATATCTCATCATGATCGGTACACCAATCAGTAGAATCCCCCCTCCATCTGTCAAAGCCAAACCCCCGACAAGTCTGTAAAATGGTTTCCATTTATGCCTCTTCCTGGATAACACTAGAGAAACCACTGCTATAGCGTTCCCTGCTACCCCTAATACAAACTGAAAAGCTGGAGGGACCATTGATTCCCATATCTTTGTCACAATAGTTAAGTTAGTTATGTTTGAAACATTCAATTCCGACTGCATTTTGCAAAGTGAAATTTATAGGTAGAAGACGTACATACAATTGTACTTGTGATCACATAACATTTCCTGTTCCTGTGTAGTTTGGTTCTAGGAGTTTAGAATTTGAAAAGTGAAATGAAGCAAGCAATAGGGAATGGACCCCATATTTTACTCGCACATTACATCAAACATCTAATAGAGTAAAAGTATGAACTATATATAGTAAATGTTGACTGCTGTACCATGAAAACAAACATTTTTTAATAAAAGTAATCTGAATAAGCTTTCATAATTACGTATATAAGTCCAACTATGAAAGAAGTCCAATATACAATGTGTGAACGCCTTCTAACGCTCCACTGGTATAATGCTTTTGTTTAACAAAATTTCTTTGTTTTGAAAACTATTTAATATGAGGTGTTTCTGCTTTGGATACCAATTATTGGTCACGAACAACCTCCAAGAATAAACAAGAACGCCTTTAAAAGAATGTTTTAAAAAGTTGTAAGATATGATCACATTTGTTTTTACATTTCTTATATCAAAGCATCTTTGCATTCTACAGACTAGAAATTATTTGAAATATGAAATGACAACTTTTACACGATATGAATATGTTTGAAAATACATGTATCACTGAATATCAGATAATTACTGGTTACAACCTGCATGAAAAAGGAAAAAGGAATGGTTTACTGCTCAACTGGAAGTCTGAATGAAACATGGGTATTTCTTTCTTTTTTTTAAACTAATTTAATGCCAACTTTGGGAGAATATCATGTTCTTTTAGTTTGCTTCAAACATGATATTGTAATTATAGGAGATTTAAGTACCAAGAATCCTCTAAAAGATACAAAGTTTTGGATAAATATGGTAATCCTTCGAGAAGCTTGTTCTTCATCCTTAATATATTCTATAATTATACTAACATGGGAAGTTCGATAAAACAGAATCATGTTGTAATTGATGACATTTTAATGAAGGGAAAGAGGTATATTTTGAATTAGCGTAAAGTTTTCCTTAAAACTTAACTCTCAGTCATTAATTCTTTCCTGCAATTAATCTGGTGTGGTGATCGGTTCCAAGCACTGATAGACTTTTCAATGCAACAAGACATTAATAAGATATGTTCCCCAAGCTTTTTCTATATTTCTGACTTACAATACAATTATTAAAGTAGGTCAATGTTTTCTTTGTCTCTTAAATTTATTTTTACTTGCTACTCGTTACTATGATAAAATGAAGGAATGCTGATCCCGATTAGGTAGTTACCCACATTTTCTTAATGAATAACAGACAGATGAACAAAGGGTCTTTAATCATTAATTTAGAAAAGGCATTTATGGTTAAATGTGAGTGTCAGACGTCGAGGAATTTATTCACTGTAGTTAAAAAAAGCCCATTATTAAAGTTTTCACGGACTGAAGGGCAGACAGTACCGAAGAAAATATGCCCCGATATTCGGGGGAATAAAAACGACACCGAAGGAATTTAGTTATTCCGGAATAACAATTTGTTTTGTTTGTGTGTTGTTTAACGTCCCTCTCGAGAATTTTTCACTCATATATATGGAGACGCCACCACTTGCCGGTGGAGGGCTACAAATTTATTCCTATACTCGGCACTTAGGGCCAACACCTACCGCAACAAGGGACCTCGGTTTATACGGTCTCATCCGAAGGACCGGTCTCCACGTCCCGCAGTGGGTTCCAACTCGCGACGTAACCGTCAATTAATCTAATATGAGATTTGACAAATAGGTTGAGGATATCAACTGTCTCATTTGAAGTCAACATTTCGCAAGTTTTATAACTGATACAATGACCTTGTGTACAAATACAATTTATCAGTAAGTTTTTCATACAAATAACATTCTTTACACACTGAACTGTCTATGGATTTTTCCTTTTGCCCGATGATGACAAGGAGCACACGGCAGGTATGACCGGTCGACAAGTGATGCTTGCTCCTCCATGGCACCTTATCCCACCTCTGATGTTTTTGGAGGTTCTATTTGCTCTGCTCCCGATTTGTATTGTTTCATTGGCTTTTGAGCTTGATTACTGTTCGTTATCTCCATATTTTATCCATCCAATCTTGAAATCCTCTTAGGTTTCTCTGGGTATATGAATATAGGACTGTTTTTAAATGCACAAAATGACGTAAAAATGTATTTATTACTTAAGACAGAATAAGTAAAGATGTTCGAATAAACTGTCGATTCCCCATGTCTCTTTAAATGCTGGCGTAAATATGTCTTTCCTCTCTAAATGAGTGATTTCAAGTTTGTCACCTACAAAATTAAAGTTTATTTTATTAAAAACAATACCATTATCAACTGAGATATAGAAACTAAAGGTTTGAACGATATAGTTATTACCGAAGAGATCTTTGATATTTTGCTCCGATACAATACGTGGAGGTCCTATAAATATAAGTAAAAACAGCCTAATCATTTATTGCAAACACAGTTTGAGCACTATTTGTTTTAAAAATTCTTAAATCATCGTGAATCAAATTTTATACCTATGTAACCAAAGTGGGATATTAAATTTAAATTACTTTTTTAACGCATTAAGCAGCACATTATATCCCTCATAATCATTGTTAACATATTTTATAACCACAGCAGATACCTCCAAATTTTGTTTCATCATATTCCAGAGTTTCCGCCAGGTACTGACAGCCCTCTCCCATCAGACTCTTCATAAGCTCGGCATACCTGTACAAACATTCCACCTGGCCTTTTAATATCTAAATTTGCATTCCAAGTACATGTAGATTGTACACTTTTTATTGGCTCATGGTAAAAAAGGAAATTTGAACTGTAATTTTATCGATACATAAACCAGTACATAACTTTAAAATTTCAGTCTTTGGGTATTTCTCTCAATCAATCATTGACACTTGAATTGAATCAGGAGAAGGAATGGCCTGAGAGGAACATTTTTATTACGTTTTATCATTTCGTTTCAATTACGTTTGATAGTCCTCCAATTCTACTTTTTTCCTTTCGTACTTTAGATAGATTTATACTGTAATTTTGATTCTTGATGCACGGGCTTCGTCGATAAATCTAGAATTCAGTAGCATTGGTACAATTCTGACTGCAATGATGCTGTAAATGTTATAACTACAATCACTTACTCTATTATAAATTTAGCATGAACCCAGCAGGTAAGCTAGACGGATCAGCGGCTGAGCTGTACTTATCTGAGCCATAGGTACGAAACTGTGCGGTTATATACAACATACCTCTGTCTATCCTTTTCTTCGATTGCCACTAGAGAGCCTCTGTCCCACATTGCGTCCATTAGCCCCTCACATGAACTAAAAAAAATCGTAAATAAAACATTCCTCATGATAAATAACTAAAGATAAGGCTTTATAACATCATAGACAACTGCTTTTTTTTCCACAAAAATGGAACTCGGAAATTTTCGTATTTTGTGATTGGTCATTTGCTTACTTGTTAAATATCATACTGATTCTACACACAAGTACATGTACTCTGAAGTTGATATTAAAAGGATGCTATAGTTTCTCATTGACAATATTTATGTAGTCTTTGGAAACCAGGTCCTCCAACAGTATGTTGGAATTCCGAGAGGCAATAACTGTGTTCCTTTGTGACCTGACCTGTTTTTATTTTCTTAAAAAATAACATTTAATCAAAAAAAAAAATCTTCCTGATGACTTAAATTCGATATTTAGATATATTGACGACGTTTTATCAATAAACAGTAATTATTTTCATTCATTGTCGACTCGATTTCTCCCAGTGAACTCGAAATAAAAAAAAGTAACAGAGTCTGAAACATTTCTTTCACATCTGGATGTTTAACTGACGATTTAACTGACGATAGATGTTTCTGACCAACCAACAACTAAAGTATATGACTAATGTGATGACTTCAGCTTTTCCACTGTCAACTTCCCCTATTTGTGCAGTTATTTTTCCAATATCATCAGTCCTTTATATGACGTCTACGTTTCCGCACTGATCTGATAAGCAAGATCAGGTTCTGAGAACAATGATTTTTTTAAACCGAGGCAAGCTACTGACAAATAGGTTGATCTTAACAAGGCTTTTAACGATCTCGTTTAAAATCAGCATATTCTGTGGTCGATAAAATGATCTTGCTTGCAAATACAACATACTGTTGGGTCGTATGTTTACCGGCATGTTTCATACCCATTGTCATCCCATTGTTTTACACTGTTTTACCTGATCGATACAGAGGGCTCACGGCAGGTATGACCGGTCTATGATATATAGAGATAACGAACACTTTGGAACCTGATTCCATCTCTGGTATTTCACGTTTTGCTCTTTTAACTATTCGTATTTTTTACTGGATAAATGAGATTGATTGCTTCGTTATCTTCACCTTTTACAAATCAAAAGGTGTTAATACAAATTGCTTAGTTCAAATACTCTCTGTCAATGCAGGTATAATAGATTTCGTCTTGCATTTGTTTTCAGTTTGTATTTTGAAATCGGATTTGTTTCCGCTTTCAATTCTTAAATTATGAATTATATACATGTACATGTAATATATACATGAACATGTTATATGTTCTTCTTAATTTTATCAGTATAATCACTCTATATTTTTACACTTTAATAGCATGCATTTTTGTGCCCACTTAATAATAATACTTGCTTTTAATGACGTAAGTTTGCTTCACAAAAGTTAAGGAAATCTGTATTACAGTTTGCACAAACCTGTCATTACTTAATACATCTTTTAAACGAAGCTTTCCTTTACAAGCTATCCTTATTTAATATACATTTGTACATGCTGAGAAATATAATTGAATAATAATAATCAAAGCATTAGAAGAAGTGGGGTTTTTACTGTAAATACACTTTTGTGTTTGTTAACATTTTTTTCTTATGAATATAGTTGTATACTTTAGCCTACCTAACCTAATTTTGAGAAATAAATTTGATACTGTCTGTTAAAGTTGTTATTTACCTATTGAACTTAAACAGATCACAGCAATACAACTTTATTCGTTTGTCCTCGCTCTGAAAAAGAAATGCAGAAAATATTTATACTTTGTGACTTTGTTGTTATTAAAATTTATTCCAAATTTTTAAAAATCAAATCAAGAAAACTTCAATATTTATGATTTCAATTCATTTAATCCTTCATTTTTACAACAATTTTTTTTAATTTGCAAATTCTATGGTGTATGAATATTCATTGTAAAATGATGTATAAAGTGAAACTGACAGTGAACACTTCTCCCTTTCCATCTGGTAATTTTGATACAGTATAGCTAATATTATGTTCCTCAAAGAATTCTTCCAATGCCTTTCTGGCCAGTTCCACTCCTATGACTGTGTGGCCCAGCTCCCAAAGCCTGGTCAGTGAAATGAAAAAAATAGTTCCTACAACTCAAGTCTATGAACTATATTGTTATTGAAGACAATAATTTGAATATCTTTTCATATATTACAATATAATCTTATATGTTACATTTTCAAACTCTACCATTTAATATCCACTGTTTTGCCACAAAGAGGAATAAAGATTTTGATATTCTTCCTTCCATTTATCAGTCGGTCAATATACTTGGAAAGAAATCTGTAAAAAAAAAAAAAAAAAAAAAAAAGAGTCACATGTATTCTACTTTTGTTGATAGATCAGATGCAAATTAAGATCGGTTCTATTAATAAACAGTAAAAACAAAGATATTCCAGTTTTATGTGAAGTCACACAGTGTACAAACAAGAAACAAGACAGACGTAAATATTTATTAAAAAGGGTCTTAACTTCATCACTATGGCTTACGTTATAAGGTCATTCCTGTCATATAAAACTTTTTTCATATATATTTTTTAGGCACAAATTATGTAAATTTTCATAAAACAACAAAATTTGAAATATAGATTTAAAGACAAATTAGGTAAAGGTCAAACTTGATTTAATTTTTTTAATGAAATAACGCTGATTGCTAACTCTAAACAAAAGCAACGTACGGATCTATGTTGTCTCTGTGAAAACCAATATCATTTTCATCCCATGCCTTTAACCAATCGTAAGGTTGCTCTGCCATGTCAATGATTGCTGGCAAGAAAATACAAATTACAAAATGATCTACTAGCGAAAAGTAAACATGCAGGTAACTGCATTGGCGTATATGTTATATTCAGAACATTTTGTTAATAAATGAAGCATATCGATACCATTTTGACCAGAGTCGAGCCTGTCTAATTCAATATATTTATGATACATTTAACCTTCCATAACAGGAAAAGCAAATGGGATTTCCCTCCACACCTGCCCTCCACCTCTTGTTATATAGAGTACACTATGTTATTGCTAATAAGATTTTTCAGGCTTACCAGGTCTTAGCTAATCAGTTCTAGAACTAATATAAACATTCACTTGCATACAATATTTCAACAAAAATAGCTTATCCCATGCAAGTGTCACAATTCAGAACAATCACCGTTTACATAAAAAAGTTAAACAACTAAATGCATAAATTGGTAAATCTAGACTTTACCTGGGAATTAAAGTCGACCTCTGGCGTCCAGACACGAGATAACTTGCCGTTTACTTTTGGCAATTTATGACCGGTTACTTGAATGAAGATATTCATTGTGGAAACCAATCAGAAACAAAAATATATTGTATGCGTTTCACACCACTGCCCCTTCAACATGTTCAATAAAGAATTTCTGTGCATGAATTGACTCGGGTATAAATAACACGTCATGATTGGAATTCAATTCCGTAAAGTAGAATTTCGTAATAACTGTCACATAATTATTATCTTGCTTCGTTCGATATAATAATAAAACACAATTAACCATTAAATATGTAACAATGAGGTTGAGATATTTCAGTTAAAAATATCAATTTGTTTTATATTAGCTTATCTGAATTAAAAAAAAAACAAGAACATAAAAACACACAAAAAGCAAATACTGTTGAATTTGCATTGTTCGTGGGGACATAATTTCGTTGTTTATGTTCCAGTCTTAAGATAGATTCACTGTATGTGTGTATTTTTCGCGGAAGGTCAATTTGTGGGTAAGGATTACTCACAAAATCCACGAATATTGATCCCCCATGAACAGTGATGATTCAACAGTATGGCATAGTTATAAATGCTGTGAAAATGTTAAAATGTTGCTAGTTTGCCAGGAAAAATAGGAGTATACTTTCAATTTGAATCTTCATATTACAATAATATCAACAGTCTGAAAGAAAAAAATTCATAAATAGGAATTTATTATATTTAGATGTATTATACATATAATTTTATTTTTTAAAGTAAGATTCTCTGTCCTGAGGGAGGAATGAGTTGAACCCCAAAATACTTTTTTATTGTTTGTGTGAATGATCTATTTCACTGATTCGTTTAATTCATTTTTCAGCCTCAAATCTACTTAATATGTCTGTTGTCTGACTTGTCTTAATATGTCTGACCTTTGTGTGTGTGTGTGGGGGGGGGGGAGAGAGAGAGAGAGAGTTCCTTATCTTTGACTTGTGTTTATTATTTTACTTATATTTTCTTTTCAATGAATGTTATCTGCTTAATTTATGGAAAGTTATTAAATTGGTTCCACCTAGCCATAATTCTTGCTGCTACAAATATTTGAATACCTCATTTTAATCTCTCTATCATCACATCGCTGCAATATCTTCAATTAGGTAATTTGTTTACTGATTCAAGAATCCCATAATATCTCACAATTTATATGAAATCAAAAATGAAATTTAAAAAATACAATGTGTTGAATGTAAATCAATACAAAATTTCTATTTTCCCTTATGCCTTTTTACGCTTACGCTTTTCGTGTAAACAACTTCACTTAAAGCAATAAAAATTAAATAGTTGAATAAGAATTTCAATAACTGCTAACAAAATTTATTCGAGATTGTCTACATAAGCCTTTATATGGTACCAAAAAGTAGAAACTAATTACAATGACACAATCTCCTGAGCAGAATTCCTGATTACACAGAATATATGTAGCTTCACTGAAAACAATTTTAGCAACATACAAAATTTTGTATACATCAAATGTATTTCTTTTGTTAAGGTTCCATTGCAATAGTATATCATTTCACTTCAAAGTCAATAAGAACAAGTTTTCCTGTAAACTGTCTATTCCCCATGCTTTGTGTCTTTCTTCAAAGGCGTCGACTCTCTCTAGCTTGGTAATGTTCATCTTTTCACCTTTGAATACAATTTCAAGTTGATTATATTTAGCTGAATAGGCTGGAAATTATAAGATGAACAAACGTCCTTTTAAGAGCAATTCAAGAATAATTTTTATCAGGACAGTTTTCAGATTCATTTCCGCATTTCCATACAGCTTCCGTACTTGTTTGTAACCTGTGCCTCCGATGTTTTCATTGTAGACCTGTATGACAAATATACTATTAGACTACTTTTTAGCTCACCTGAGCCGAAGGCTCAAGTGAGCTTTTCTGATCAAAGAGTGTCCGGCGTCCGTCTATCGTCTGTAGTCCGTAAACTTTTCACATTTTCGACTTCTCAAGAACCACTGGGCCAATTTCAACCAAACTTGCCACAAAGCATTCTTGGATGAAGGGAATTTAAGTTTGTTCACAGGAAGTGCCGCGCCCTCTTTCAAGGGGAGGTAATCAAGGATTCGTTAAAATTCAGGTAAGCTAAAAACTAATTCTAACTCAACAGGCTTTGCCTCAAGTTTATTGTCTATATGGCAAAACATGAAATATATCAGTTTGTATGATTTAAAATTGCAGTTTAATAGCGATTCTCTGTAACCACTTAAACTTCTTTGCCACGCATGGTCACCGATTTTGATGAAACTTTGCCTATTATAACAACTTGACACCAGAAACATATATCAAATAAAATTTCGTTGCTATGTGTCTTGGTTGCCATGGTAACAGCCAGAAAAGTTGAAAAAATTGAGATTTTCAGCTACTTTGAATCTTTATTAAGCCTTAATAAAGACTAAGAATAACAAACAAACTATTCTCACAAAAACATGACACCTTGTTGCCACTTATGCTATAAAGAAACTATTTAGAATTTATCTCTAAGTAAGTGGTAACCATGGGTACATTTGGAATACATTTTAGATGCTGAAAAATGCTGAAAAACGCTCAATATTCACTAATGATGGGTGTTACATGATCAAACTCAATCAACAACCTAAGAAAAACAATAAAAATATTTGACCTTAAGTAATTAAGTATTGGCAATATTATTCTAAAAATAACTTTCATGGTTGCCATGGTAACACAGAGTTACCATGCAAAATCTGTTGCTAAGATTGGGTTAATGCTACTATCTTGAGGAAAAACAATAAAATTCATGACTGGCACATATACATCCTTAGGACCTTGCAACACCAACAACATAAGAAATATTGGGATTAATTGTTACTTTGCAGTGTAACCATGGAAACAGCGAACCAGTTGTTTAAAGTGATATTTTTTTGCTGCTTTAGGAATTTACATAGCTTTTAATCAAGAAACATATTATTTGACTCACCTTGAATAGTACATATCTGGTAGAACTAAAGTTGAATATCATATATTGATAAAGTTTGTTGAAAAATACAACACTGTTGCTATGGTTACCAAGAAGGGAAAATGTTCGATTTTGTTAATTTTATATCAATATTAAATTCTATGTGCTAGCTTTTTGCATCCAGTTAGAGATTGCTTGGTAGTCAAAATTGAAAGTCAGGTTAGTTGTTCATATATATCAATCATAAAAGTTTTTGGAATCTACATACAAGGGTACGTATCCAAGGAAACAACATATTTTTCAGATTTTTATGCATATTTTTTCCGCTAATTTCCATAGCAACGCTCCATTTCAAGAATTGAATTTGAATTTTTTGAAATGTGAAAATTAGGGTCACACCAGCGCCTTTAAAAATTGATCATCAGTTATATAGAAATATGCTTTTTAAAAAGATAGGATAAGATTAAAACACTAAGAAAGTAAATTTAAAATAACTTTGTGGTATCAAAACCATGACAACCATTGCTAACCTATAAGAAATATCATATTTCGTCCTTGGTATATGTTACAATGATCTCTTGTCTATTATTTGCTTGCATTTCAACCTATAATTTTTTTTATTCTTAAGTGTATGACTTTATAAAATTAAATAAACAAAATTATTACTTTTGAATACTTTGTTTCCATAGTAACGTATGTAATAGATGATTTACCAAACATGTTTATCATGCATTTAAGACATAAGGCCTTCAACTTTCAGAAACAGTCATTGCCACTTGTTTGCTTTGCTGCAAACGTTAACTGTGGGACTCTGAACATGTTGAAAAATGCCATTTTTCAAATTTTAGGACATGTTGCTATGGTAACCATGACACGTAGCAACCAATTTTTGCCTGATTTGAGTTTACGGTATCAAAGACTTTTATCATAGAGAGTTTGAAGAAATTCTGAGACTATGCGTGCCACAGCTCCTATATAAAAGTTAAAGTCATTAGAGAGAATGGCTCTTAATTACTTACCAAACAGTTCGTAAATTTGTTGATCTGGGACATAAAATGGTGGTCCTACAATAAAAATAAAAACGGAGTTCATAAATTATTTTCACAAAGCATTATAGTTTTTGAGTACTTAAAATAATAGAGTATTTCAAAAAATTATTCCCAGGTAAAAATTTCACTTTTAATGTCGCCCCTTCTGTCATCACTGCTGTGTGTTTGTCACAAAAACTTCAAAATTGGTCATAACTTTTGAATGAGAGATGATAAGGCCCTATCAAAAGTCAACATCATTAAAATTATAGGCAGGGCTATTATTACTGCAGCAAATGTATAAAGAAATCCCCAAAATATAACTAAATAAATAAATGTTTAGTCTGTATATACATAAAATATATACATGTACATATAATACCAAGGATAGCTAATGAAAGCTGAAAAGCTTATTTCCAATGGGGTCCTTTATTGCACCGATTTTAGCGCGAGTGACGTTGGACATTTCAGTGGGAGAAAACAGGAGTACCGGAGAAAACCGACGTGGCCGAACGGGCGACCACCTTACCTTTAAGTGCACTAACTACTAGACATATATATATATATATATATATATATATAATGTTATAGGATAATGAATGATAAAAAAGTGTATTTGGCAAGTATGCATACAAATAAGCTTTAAATATTATATACAATGTTTGAAAATATTAAATTGTACCTATTTTTATTTTTCATTTAAGAATTTTTAAACTATTTCATAAATAAGAACAGAATTGATAATAATTTTTTTAAAAAATAGAGTGTAAGAAAGGTGACTAATTTTAGTCAGATTAGTAGGCAATAAAGCAGATTGTACTACACCCACCTGGATACTTAGTCTCGTCATATTCCAGTGTCTCTAACAAATAACGACAATCGGGCGACAGAAGATTTAGGAGAAATTCTGCGTACCTGTCAAATGTACAACTCAGTGAAATACAGGAATAAATTACAAAATCAAATTAGCATGATTTTCTTGACGTTTTTAATAGTTTTTAAATAGTTTTTTTATTATACATTTACTGATTTTCCTATAAAAATTAGTTCGTTAGATGTTACTAACTTTTTAAAAATCATTTTGGACTTATCTCCATTTTGTCATGCGTTAGTCAAGTGAGCTAATGCCTAATCCTCTATATTTTACTTTTGTATCGGTATAATAAAACAGTTAAAAAGTATATCATTGAGGGAGCAAGATTCCAGTTCCCATCGAGCAAGATTATTTAATAGTCCTGGCCTGGGAAACTGGAATCTTGCTAACTCCCTTAGTGATATACATTAGCTGAATACTAATACACTGCTTATGCTTCCTAAGGGGGATGGGGTGGAGGGGGCAAGGTGATTTTGATAACTTTGAAAATTCCAAGGGCCAAGGGGAAGAAAGCGATGGGTTTTTCCAGTTCCGGACTGTTTTTTTTTTTAATATATTTAAAAACTAGCTTAATAAAGCTTATCTACATTGTAAATCAAAGAACTAAAAGTACTGATAAGCGGTAGCATGCTTCCTTCTGGTATTCACAATGAAAATATTTGTCCATCATGATGATATTAAAGTACTGTAGAGTACATTGATGTCAGACAAGGAGCAGACATACTGAATTTTGCATTATTAAATGCTAGTGAATGACAATAAAAAAAACTCCCACGAACATAGCAAAGTATAAAAATTCAATAAATAAGTATTAGGTTTATGACTTGACTACTTTATGTGCAAGGAAATTTATTTGTTTTTGTTACCGCTGTCTGTCCTCTCTATTAATGGCCACCATTGAACCCCTATCCCAGACAGCGTCCATTAACCCCTCACACTCCCTGAAATAAGCAAATTTTATATTACACGTTTCTTTTGAAATATTTGTTTCCAAAATGACAAACACTAACCAAAATAAATGTACCTGTTGAATTCAAAAAGATCACAGCAATATAATTTTATTCTCTTGTCTTCACTCTGAAAATAATATATAAAATAAAATTATATATATGTATATAAAGGTCTAAGATTGACCTAAGACTGATGCTTAAAATTTTTTGTTGTTGAATTGTTGCGTCATATCACTTGTTAGTTTTGGTTGTTTCGGAGTAGCCAATCAATGGTATACGGAAATTAAGAAAAGGCGTCTGTCTATCCATGACCGTTGGAAGAGAAGTGTCCCTCCCCCTCCTATCTGGGTGGGTGGGTGTGTGTGTATACATATATGCTTAACTTAGTAAATTAAAATCCCCCCCCCCCATAAACTCTTGCAGACTTACGATGAAAAGAGTACCTGTCCCCTCTGACAGATCAGAAACTGTATACTTGATAGACTGCTCCTCAAAAAAGTCCTCCAGGGCACTTCTGACTGATTCCACACCTATAATGGTATGCCCCAGGTCCCATATGCTAACAATGATTAAAAAGATAATGAAAACAAGCTAAATTTTAATACAGTGCTGAAATATTTTTAAAGGTATATACACTCGCTCTTTTTTTAATGAGGCAAACATTTTTTTATTCAACATTAATCCATATTGTATTAATTTCTACTCATTTTAAACACAAATTTAAAAAATCAAAAATATTTGGAATAAGGTTAATAGAAACTTAAAGTATATTTACATTTATTCTGAAATTGGTAATGCAGTAGTTATTATAAATATATTGTATTTAGTACTTGATAAATTAAAAAAAAAAATGTTATACTGTCTCATATCTAAGGCCTTTCCACATAACGGAAAGAAAATCTTTATATTCTCTCGGCCATTGATGAGTGTATCTTTATGCTTTTCCAATAACCTGTGAATTTAAATATATAAAAATAACATTAATCATAAAGGTAAGAAAAAATATTTTCTATGTGTGCACAGTCTTATGTTAGACAATTCTGTCATTCACCAATTCTTCCGATTTCCCGTTTCTGTGTAGTTTATGAAATATTCGCAGCAATGATAATGAATGCATGATTCATATAAATTAATAAAAACTCAATTAAATTGAAATATTTTATTATTCTCTATGTATTTTCTATATTTGTCCCTATCCCAGGCAACTTTCGTCTGCTGCACGTCATTCACTTACAGGTACATTAAACGTCGAAAAGCCAGGTGCCTCATAGTTCAATCGGTGGATAAACCTTATTTTTCTTTATCTTGCATGGTTATTGTAGAGAAAATGCTAATAGATAAGTTGTTGAAAAATAAAATCCTACTTACGTATCCACGTGTGATCTATGAAATCCGATTTTTCCTGTATCCCATTTTGTCTTCCAGAAGTCATGCGAAACTTTAGTGAATTCAGGCTCACTCATAATTAGACTGAGAATTTTTTCTGGATGTAGCCAAATATGTAAGTAATATGTTGCCGTAATTATCTTTTAACTTAATTATATAATTTTCAATTACATATATTATGTTTGATGTGTTGTCTGCATGTATATAAATATTGTTATCATACTGCAAATTCTGAATTAAAACTCAAAACTTACAATAATATCATATTTCACATATTAGCTTCTCTATTTTTCTCTCCGACATATCACTGCAGATAAACTTTTAATATTTCTATCTTATTCTCTAGGAATAAAGAACTTTCCACAAGGTATCCTTGGGTCATGGAGATTTGGACTTGTTGAAATATAGGTCAAGCCCAAGAGATGGTAATTCAGAAATTATAGTGAAGATACATAAGGTTTTAAAAAAACAAATATCCAGAAAAGTAGAAACATGTAAAGTTTCCTCAAATACGCTAACAAGATTTGGTGTGGGCTACAAAAGAATTCCAAATATTTCTGTTTAATCTTTTAAAATTCTGATGTCGATAAAACCAGGGCTACTGTCTGTAAAATTACTATAAAAAGCAGATTCAACTTTGGTTTTCTAAGACCCTCTTGAACCATGAGGAATCAGAATATAGGTTTTTAAATTACTATTAATGTACTTACAGAACAACAGGGCTAAAATTGCATGCACGTCCATACAGTGCATACGTGTATATAAGTCCCATATACCAAGGACGCAACCACAAAATTTTAAACAGAGATAATCAAAGATTATACAGAGCTCACTTCAACGAATGTTATCTTTACGTAAGGCAAGTTCCACGCTAAACTAATAATCTAATACCTCGGTAGTGCGCATCCCTAGGTGCAACATATATGCAATTTTGGTCTGATAGGACTTGCAATTACTTGATAATGAACTCGTTCTAAAACTTAAAACTAGACACTCATTAAGAAAATGTAAGTCAATTCCAGCATCTGAGGCGAGTTTGATAGTGTTCATCCCTTGCTCATGCAAGTTTAGTCTAGGTAGGGCTTTAAGTTACTCTAAAATGAGTCTACTCAAAAAACTTAAACCTGGTCACTCATCTGGAAAATGCAGATCAAAACCAGCAGCTGAAGCAAGTTTCGTGGTAGGTCCCCTGATGCATCATCCATGCAAGTTTGATTCAGGAGGCCTTACAGTTTCTTAGTAATGGATCTACTCCAAAATCGTTAACCAAGTCACTCGTCTGGAAAATGCTGGTCAAATCCTGCATCCAAAGTCCAGTAGTGTACATCATTAGATATATCATCCATGCAAAGTCGGTCAACATAGGACTTATAGTTACTTTAGAATGAACCTTCTGCAAAAACTTCAACCTGGTCACTCATCCAAAAAATGTAGGTCAGATCCGACATCCGAACAAAGTGTAGTATTGTGTATCCTTAGATGTACCATTCATTCAAGTTTGGTTAATATAGGACTTATAGTTACTTGGAAATGAGACCTGCTCGCCTCCAAAAACTTTAACCTGCTTCAAAAACATTAATTTGGACACTCTTTAGCTGAGACTGAAGCATCTGAAACCTTGACTGGTTCAATGAAACATACTAGAGCATCATTCATGCATCTCTGATTAAAATAGGGCAAAGAAGTACTTGAAAAGAAAACTGCTTCAAAAACTTTAACCTGAGAACGGCGACGCAAACTCCGACGCCGAGGGTATTATACAACTCCTCCCAACTTCGTTGAGATTAGCTAGATATTCAAAATATACGTTTGTTTGTTTGTTTGTATGTTGTTTAACGTCCCTCTCGAGAATTTTTCACTCATATGGAGACGCCACCACTTTCCGGTGGAGAGCTGCAAATTCAGTCCTATACTCGGCACTTACGACCATTGAGCAGTGAGGGATCTTTTTCGTGCCAGCACCTACTGCGACACGGGACCTCGGTTTATACGGTCTCATCCGAAGGACCGGTCTCCACGTCCCACAGTGGGATTCGAACCCGCGACGTAAGGATCAACTCCTTACTTCGCGACTCTAGAGCAGACGCTCTAACCACTGCGCCACGCGGGCGACCAAAATATACGTATTAGACTCATTGAAAACAATCAAATTAAGAGAATTGCGGTTCCCCGCTTTCGGGGTCTATTTGTTGGGGGTGCAATGATTTATAGCATATTAAATTTGATTTAATTTGTCTATCATAGTAAAAAAAAAGAGTTATTTTTTTAAGTAATGTGTTCTGATGTAAAAGAAAAAGCAATAATTAAAGCCTTTGAAAGTCAAACTTCAAGGTCTAGGTCAGGAGGTCAATTTTCACATTACATTCAGAAAGGTCTTATCACAGGTAAGTAATAAACAAGTTTAAAAAATGTAAAAGTCTTATCTCCGGTTGCAAAAGCTATGGTCAAGGAAAAAAATGTTTTGAAAAAACTTCAAGGTCAAGACCATAAGGTGAAAAATCATAACATATTCAGAAATGTATAGGCACAGGTACATGTGGAATATGAAAGCCCTATCTTCTCTCATTCAAGTTATTACAAAAGTTAAAGTTCTTGAAAAGTGTCAAAAATGATAGTATATTCCGAAAGGTCTTGACACAGGTAATACACATGTGAAACATTAAACCCCAAACTTTTCTCATGTAAAGTCAATTGGTTTAAAAGTAGGTAAATTTTCAAGGCCAAAGTCATGAGATCAAGAGACAAAGTATATATTTTGAAAAATCTTATCACTGGTAATGCAAGTTTTTGTTACAGACAGACAGAAGGATAGACGGACAAATGAGATTGAATGTCACCGCTCTTTTGCGAAAGCGGCAAACAACAACAAATCTATAGATGGCAAATAATACGAGCATGAACCACTGTTACATGCAGTTTGACTCAGTTAGGGGGACCTGAAAGAAGAGAAATCATTGATATTTGGAGAGAGAAAGAGAGATCTAACTCGCAATGGTTGAGTCTTTGTATGTATAGCCTTGTGTGTGTGGAAGGGGGGGGGGGGGATAAAGGATGTCACTTTATACAATATTTATACCTTTATAATGCAGAAGCTTCCAAGCCTTCTGTCTTATTCTGTTCATTCACTGCATCAAAAAAATTAAATTAAATTATTGTCTGCATTGGTTTAAATTTCTTACAACTTTATTTAATTACGTTTGATAACAAGCTTTATAATTATTTAGTAATGATAAAATAGAATATTTCTAAAAATTCATCACAGATGGAGTTAGATAACTGTGCTGAGTTTAATTTAGACTTTTTGATTTTTTCACCTTGACCTTTTAGTCAATGAGCACATATAAATACCAGTAAATACATCTACATACAAAGACAAATATTTTTTTTCCCTTTAACCATCCTTAATTTAAAAAAGAGGGTAAGTCATGATTGGAGGAAGAATGTGAATTACTGGATCAAGTAAATGTAGGAAGGGTGAGGTCAATAATATATCAATAATATACAAATATAGCCTTTTGCTGAGGTCAGTCCCTAGATATATAGACATAAGAGAAAGCATGTTGACCGAGCACGAAGTTCAAGGTCAATATGCTTTTCTCTAAGGTCTACATGTCTAGGGATTGTGCTGAATCAAAAGGCTACATTTGTTTTATTATTATATATGTATCAGTTAATGAAAAATATTTTAAAATCCATGTTTCTTATAAGTGCAATAGTATCTCGTATAAGGCATTGATAAGTCCTACTCATTATGATGTCATAATTATAAATGGGAGCTGAAGTATCTGTTTTTAGAAACCAGGGGCGTAGCTTGACTTTAAATTCTAGTGAGGCAAAACCATACATGTACAGTAGCAGAAAGAAGTCTGGGGCTGCCTTAAGCCCCCAGCAGGTTCCGGGTAGTGTCATTCGAGGGGTCACTCCGACAGAAAATGGAGTTGGGGGTTTTAAAATGCAATGAAATTTCATTTGTTGTACTGGTTTCTTTATTTAAGACTTCAGCATGATACTACGTATTGTAAAAGAATGTAGAAGAGTTTATATGTTTACTAAACTTTTTGAAACATTTAAAGGTGAAAGCGCATCTTATTAAACTTTGCTATTATTTCTTTAAAACTTCAATTCAACATTATAGAACTGCTTAAAATGTTAAAAGAAATGCCATTAGTTGTACGTATTATCTACAGTGTACTGTTGATCATGTAAAGGGATGGTGGTGGTGAAAAATCTAGTGAGGCAGTTGCCTCATTGCCACAGTGGAAGCTACGCCCCTGGAAACATGACTATTGAGACACCATCATTACTGTTTCTTCACAGAAGATGTTTCCAATATTAGAAACATCAGATTTATAAGCTTTTTAGGAGCTTAAAATAGAAACACACAGTTTTTATGGTGTTTTTTTTATTCTTAATCATGATATCCAATTTGAACCAATCAGAAAACTGGGAACGATTGAGAACAATTATTAAAGTTATTAAGTCAATAAGTGTTAAAAGACATGTCAATAATCTCGACTTTGACCTTCGTTGCAGTGACATCAAAATCTAGGTGTATTTTTTAAAACCATATTCAGCGTAACGAATACAAAAAATGGAAGTTAATTAGTGAAAATGCACCGCCTATATGTGACCTTGAAAATACTGACATAAATAATATTACCCTTTTAAATTTGAACTTTGAGAGACCTCAAAACTATGACTTGTCCTTTTTAAACCATTTTATCTTCACAGTAAGTGAATACGAAGTCTCTAAAATTAGGCTTATGATCTCATCAAGTCATATATAAATGTTGACAGACGAATGGATAGTTTGATTGTTTAGGGCATCTACCTCTGAAATTAATGACCCAAGTAAACTGTCGAGCACGCGATCAGGAGTTGTCTTACCATGATGGCCAATTCAAGAGAAAAATGCTAGGAATTCAGTTTAGATGCATATTTCTCCTAGTCGGTAGCTTGCTTAAAGCTATATATGGTGTATCTGAGCTAAAAAAAAAAAAAATAAAAATACGAGATTGAGTGTAGATAAACATGATATATGGTATTAACGTTCAAATTAAAATTTTCACCGATTTTGAATTTGAATAACCTCATGTTTTCATAGTAAAAAGGATTTTAAACTGTGTCTGTTAATTAAATGCGGAGTCGGTAAATAAATCGGTTATTGTTTTAAATTTCTAATTCTTTAAAACTTGATTGATTTAAATTGTTTAATTTACAGGAAAGTCCTATATGTATATAAAGTAATAAAACAAGTAGAAAATCTTTTTAATTTTAGTTGTCTGAACTTATAAAAAATACGCCATATATGACGTGCGTTTAATCTAGTAACTAAGATATCCTTTACTTATACATAGCGTTTAATTCTGTCAAAATTGCCAACATGTTACTATATTCAACTATACTAAGTTTTCTTATAATGAAATGAAAGTGTGATCTGCGACAGAAAAAAACCTTTTTTTTTCATTTAACTCTTGCTTTTGGTGGTTGTATGTTTTAAATATCTTTATATATTACTAGGTATAGACAACTAAAACATGTTCGTTGTATATAATACCAGCACGTACATTGCAATGAAAACTAAGTGAAAACGTTTTATTTTTGTTCAGGAGCGGTCTTGTCTGTTTTTGGTAGATTTTTTTTAAAATGTTTAGGAACGGTCTCCTGTTCTTATCGTTTTTGGTTTCGGACTTAACATCGTAGACAAGAAGTTCTTGGTCACAGTGAAAGAAGGATACAGATTTCTTATAACATGTCGTCTAAGGTAATTTTTAGATTTCAGTTGCTTCCTAAATTGGTCGCAAATTATTAAATTCTCTCTGAAAGAGACGTAGCCCGCGTGGCGCAATGGTTAGAGCGTCTGCTCTGGAGTCGCGGAGTAAGGAGCTGATCCTTACGTCGCGGGTTTGAATCCACTGCGGGACGTGGAGACCGGTCCTTCAGAGGAGACCGTATAAACCGAAGTCCCGTGTCGCAGTAGGTGTTGGCACGAAAAAGATCCCTCACTATTCAATGGCCCTGAGTGCCGAGTATAGGTATAAATTTGTAGCCCTCCGCCGGCAAGTGGCGGCTTCTATATATGAATGAAAAATTCTCGAGAGGGACGTTAAACAACAAACAAATCAAATATGGTTTCTTTGTTTGTTTGTTGTTGTTTAACGTCCCTCTCGAGAATTGTTCACTCATATGGAAACGTTACAACTTGCAGGCGGAAAGCAGATGCTGAAAATTTTGACCTACATGTATACTCGGCACTCAGGGCCATTGAGCAGTGAGGGATCTTTTTCGTTCCAGTTTACTTGGGCCATTAATAGTGACAAACAGTTGGGTATATAATAAAAATCCATATCATTATTCGTAGGGAAAGTAGTCCCGAAGAATTGACACTGTATAGGGTATGGTTTCAAATGTATTGTGGTTTTGAAGAGGCGGATCTAAGTTAAAGTGAATGAGGTATTTACACAACTGCATGTGCTCGCCGCAACGGTCGCACTGCAACATATTAATCACATTAACATTTAAAAAGCATACTTTACGAATTGAAAATTATCATACATGTAAAAAAGACACTAATGCATTAACATATTCCAGATCCTACTTTGGGGAATTTTTTTATAATGACAAGCATATATCGGTGATGGCCTTATGCAACGTAAAATAGCCGACGGGGAATCGGAATGGGGGTAAAATCCATTAAAATTAGGTAAAAGCAAGTGATTAAAGGTCCCACTGCTTTGGTCGTTTATTCTATTCATATCAATCTGTTTATGCAAAAGAATCTCGGTCGATTGCTTTATATATTCGCATTGACCCTAATCGGCCTCCGTAGATAAAAAACAAGAATCTGGAGAGGTCAGCGTGTAGACTCAGTATAGTAATAACTACCGTCTGGATATTGAAATTTGAAATACTTTTGATGCATTAAGTTATTCTATTGCGGAGACATTATTATATAAAGTGATAACTTAATATTAAGATTTTCTCTTAAATTTTCTTACCTAATTAGTCTATGGTCCGGTGTACGTTGTGCACGACCTACTCAAGCCTTAAACTTGGATAGTCTAACAAGAAAGACAACTCTGTAAATTGAGTTGTAAAGTAGAATTAATACCAATAGCAGAAGAAATGAAATGAATGTTGAAGAGGAGGGATTAACAATCGCTAAAGAAGTCGTTCAAGGAAGAGTATTTGGACATAAGAGATTTGAAAATATAATACAAACGGTGAGTGTCTCTTTTTTCACTGTCTGACGATCTGATTTTTGACACGCCGCTGTTTTTGAAAGTGCACTTAAGGCTCGGCCAGTGCACACACTGCAATTAATCCCATGCAATTAATGGGATAAATTGCAGCATGTGTACCAAGTAAATATACTAGTTGCATGCAACAGTTTCGATTATTAACTTGTTTCTGGAATAGAGCTTAGTTCTATTTTAAGACTGTATGGTTAAGTTTTATTCTCTTTAGAGAAGTGGACAGGTTTTCGCCTACGTGGATGTAGGCGAAAGCCTGTCCACTTCTCTAAAGAGAATAGGTTAAGTTTCACTTGGATGCAGTCTTCAAAACAACTTTGTTAATGTACAGTTTTGGAATAGAAAATAGAAGATATGTATGCAGTTACAATGTAGTTGTAGTGAGTGTCCAGACTCCAGAGAATTTAAAACAAAAAAAATGCAAGAGGTTAATTGCATGGGATTCATTGCAGGGTGTGCACTGGCTTTTAAGGATATGATCGATCCTTCTCCCTAACCTGCATGACTGTCGAAAATTAATTTTATATACGTCATACTATCAAATATATTTGTTATAACCGTCTATCGTTTGTCATTTGCAAACATTTCTCATTTTTTAATTTTTTTATTTCTACTTTAAAACTTTGTACAATATATGAAGTACAAAGTAAAACGAAATGATACTGCAGACGCGTCGTCCAATATAAAAAGGCCTCACCCTTTTGAGTCTATAAGGGACACAGACTCAGAGTTCAATTGGTGTCCCTCGGATAATCCTCCGGGACATTAGATATATGACATATGTGCAGTCTTTAGATGCCCAATTTAGGTATAAAACCAACAATTCGTACAAAACATTGAATGGATGCATATGTAAAGTTTCTATTTGAGATATATTTTCAAAAATCCCTTTTAATTTCGACCCCATGAAAAACGAACAGTAATGAAGATCAAAAGTCAATTGGAACAATATAAATTTGGAGCAGAGCAAACATGGACCTTTAAAAACATCAGAGGTGGGATCAGGTGCCATGAAGGAATAAGGGAGATTAATACTTTATTTAAGTTATATGGTGTCTCCATCATTTGAAATTTTACTATGGAGCAGACTATATACGCGAATCGCATATTCGCAGTATTTTCGCTACCAAATTCGTGATAAAACCATATTAATTGTTAATGTTACTAGTAATTGACAAAAAAGAGGAGTACAACGAGAAAAAAAAAGAAAATCATAGAAAAGATTGTCTGTTTAAGCCATAGTATCCAGAGACAGAATGGATTTCTATGCCTTAATTTTGTTGTAACAGTGACGAGACTTTTTTAAATTCTGTCTTATCTTATAATGATATTCACTATTCAGAATACTATATCGTAAAATGATATGACCAAGTTGATTTTTTTTTTTTTGGGGGGGGGGGGGAGGGGGAGGGGGTGATGGTGGTATGTTTGTTTGTTGGTTTATTTGTTGTTGTTTATTTCCCGCTCTTATATATCTCAACTATAGGGTTTTCTGAATTATGAACCTTTTATATGTAAGGTATCAAAGCGATATCAAATATTGGTGAATACTTCAGATCTCTGTTGTGGCAGGAGGCGGGGGAAATATAACATGTGAGTTTGAGGTAACAGAAGAACACAGGAATAGTCACGGGACTTTACACGGGGGTATGATGTCACTGTTAGTAGATGCCGTCACTTCCTGGGCTCTCCACACCAAAGTCAGGGACAGAAATAGTGCTAGTATTGACCTATCACTACGGTAATATTCTTCGGCTCGTGGCAAAATTGTTTCTGTTAATTTTAAATATCAGCAGTGGCAACAGTATTCTTTTCTACTTAAACTACCGATAAACCTAGTATACAAATTTGTGAAATTCTTTGAAAATTTCATCTTACTTTACAATATCTTACCTTAAACTTGATTTGACAAAAAGACGCATTTTCAGTTAGATTTGCTGCTAAAGTTTGCATTAAATATACTGTTTACCATAATGTTATTATATAAAGATTCATAAAGCCTGCTAGAGTCGGAGAAACAATTGTGATTGATGCAAAGACAGTGAAATGTGGTCGGCGTGTGGCCTTCTTATCCGCAGAAATCCGCTCTGAAAATGGCGACTTGTTGGCACAGGGAAATCACACCAAACTCATTATGGGTAAGTAGAAAATATACTTGTCTATATTATATTACTCACTTTAATACTTACATTTATCTTATCAATTTTGATGGTTTACAACAAAAAGTGTCTGTCGTTGTATTACTTTAAATGTTTTCGCAGCTGTATTTATGTACATGTCTTTTCTTTTGTAGAGCCAGGATCCAAGCTATGAGTACAAAAGCAAGCATACTTGTAGCAGTCAAATTGAATTCAATCAGATTGTGGAATAATTCTGATGTGATAATACGGTGTATTTAGAAGATAATATACTCATTTTGTATGTACTAATTACACAAAATTGAATAAATAAAAATATGCCTGAAATTGTTTTTCATTATCTGACCCCAGCAATTCAAAATTCAAAATGTTTATGTACATGTATGTCAACTTTTAGCGGACTGGTGTCATTTTAGTCTAGAAAATAACCAGCTACAGGTAACAGTAAGAATTCCTTACAAAACAAGTTTACGTTGAGGAATTGTAAATTGCAAAACAAGCTTACAATGAAGAATTGTAAATTACAAAACAAGCTTACATTGAGAAATTGTAAATTACAAAACAAGTTTACGTTGAAGAATCGTAAATTACAAAAACTGTGTGCACTGGATAACTCCAAATATAATTATACTTTGTGGGGCATATATTGAAATGACAATGGATAACTTTCAACTTTTTGCTGATAGGAACTATACAAATGCGTCAGTCCAAATGGGATGGAAAAATTCTTACAATTTTATTATGTTGAAATGGTCACGTATGGGCTATAATATAATTATTGTGGTCAACCCAACCTTATCATAAGCTCCATATCTTTGTGATAAGAACAGTGCATTACCCTTTCCTGTAGACAATAGCAGAAATGGCGGATGTTCTGAGGATTTTGTACATTCTGATCCTGCCTGCTGTGATACATTCTGGTAGGAACAATGCTGATTTCCTCCTAAGTTGACTATACACTGTAACTGTACTGAAAAAGGATGTCACAGTTCGCAGAATCTATATTTGTATCTCAGCAACTTTGGCTACTTTGGTGCAAAACTGACTTTCCCCCTTTGCTTTAAATTCATTAATTTTGTGTTTAACAATAACATTTGCCTTACGAATGACTGTGACTGCAGTCAACACGTGTACTTAAAAAAAGAGACCAAAGCAACGATTTCTGAATTAAGATGACCAAAGTCTAATCAAGGTTTACCTATACGTTCAAATTATCTTATAGCAAAATCTATGACAAATGTATCCTCTGGCTACGCGTGGAAATTAATATTTTTTTTCTAAACGAAATTGTTTTCAAGGTAATTTTTTAACTGCCATACCTAAGATATTTTACATTCATAGTACACACTAACCTCACCATGAAAAGTAGGAAGTAGAACAATTATTAGGTCAGAATAGATAAACATTACATCATATCTGACTGACTTTTCACACGTCATGAAGAATAATGATATCTCGAATTGTAGCAAACTTAAGAAGCAAATTTAAGGATTTGACATTTTAAATGTAATCTTAACAGTAACAAAGCAATTATAACAAAGTTTCATCTACCTGGTATCAGCTCTTTATAACGATAGTGTGTGTTTATCTTCAAATCTGCATTTTGACCAATGTTATCGGAATTTTGAGATTGATATTGGTTTTCCCTTTTCCCCTGCAATTCTCACTTGCCCTTTAGAGTTATAGAATGTCAGATTCTACCCCCAGATTCTGGAAGCTCCCACGGTTGTGGTGGCCATGGTTATCTGACAACCAATAACGGTCTGATTAACAGCCAGTCTCAGGGGTCTAGGTACCACAATAACGCGGATTGTACGTGGCGGATCCATGCTCCTGTAGGGAAGGTTATCAGACTTACTTCTACATACTTTAACCTGGAGGCAGATGATTCGTAAGTTTTCGCTACAGTTGGCTTTGTTCTGTTTCCTTCACCAAATTTTCATTTTCAACTTTTTTTTCTCATTTTTTCCCGGCTGGTGAAACTAAATTTAATAGCTTAAATTTCATTTCTCTCACTTTTATGATAGAAATATGTTATCATAACATAAAAAACATTCAGCAAGCAGAGGGCATTTCTTTTTGAATTATTTTCATTTTCACGGGTAAAGAAGTGTTGAAGGATTTTGTTTTAAATAAACAGATGCAGTTATGACTACCTGAATGTATATGATGGGTCAAATACAAATGCAAAACTGCTTGGAGAATTTTGTGGACATAGATCAATAAACCTTGTGTCTTCTGGTCAAAACTTATACTTAGAATTCATAACAGATGACAGCGACGTATTCAGAGGATTTGAATTATCATACAGATTCATTCAAAGAACAGGTAGGTAGAAAGTTATATATTATTGATTTATCATACCACCTCTTGAAAAACGGGGGTATATAGTGATAGGGGTACCCATTTCTTATCCCCAACTCCTCCTGTACCACTGAGTAAAATTTATTGAGATTTCACAGAATCTTTTTTACATCTTGACATAGTGCACCTCCTATTTATTTTTCGTTTCAACTGGCCAAAACATTTTTTTTCCATGGCAAACATGGACACTGCCATTCTTTCTATAACATTGAGGGTACCCATCTCTTAACCGTATCTCTTCCTATACCACTGAAAAAAATTTAACGAGACTTTCACAGGATCTTTATTGCATTGTGCCATTGTGCACCTATTATTTTTCGTTTCGATCGAACAGATATTTGGGGTTTTTCATAGCAAAACATGGACACTGCCATTCTTTCTATAACATTGGAGGTATCGATCTCTTATCTGCAACTCCTCCTATATCACGGAATAAAATTTAATGAGACTTTCACAGAATCTTTCGAACATAGTGCCATTGTGCTGCTCCTACAATTTTTTTTATTTCGATCGGACAGATATTTGAGGTTTCCATAGCAAATCATGGTCACTGCCATTCTTTCTATACCATTGAGGGTACCCATCTCTTATCCGCAGCTCCTCCTATACCACTTCAATAAAATTTAATGAGACTTTCACAGAATCTTTATTACATTTTGCCATTGTGCACCTTTTATTTTTCGTTTCGATCGAACAGATACTAAACCGATCGATACCAGAAGCGATCTAAGCTCATTTCAAGTTGGTTGTTTAACGTCCCTTCAAGAACTTTCACTAATATTGAGATGCCACCACTTACCGGTGGAGGGCTGCAAATTTAGATATGTACTCGGCATTTGCGGCCTTTCAGCAGTGAGGAATCTTTTTTGTGTCATCATATTAATAATAATAACTTTTATTTATTAAAGATAGCTGTGGTGGTCAAGATTTCCAATGTCAAAACCACAAGTGTGTAGACTACTCTTGGGTATGTGATGGTGATAATGACTGCGGAGACGGAAGTGACGAAAGAACTTGTACCACAACCACTACCCCGATTTCCGGATCTGGTACAGCCCATCCTATTTCCTCAGGTAAGGAAAGGGTGAATAAATACATGTAATCAAATATCGTTTTTTTTTTTTGTTGTTTTTGTTTTTGATGAAGGTGTGATAATAAATCTAGACTCTCATTAAATTAATGCTAGGGGTTTGCCAGACGGACGAGTTTTCTTGCCCTGACCACACGTGTATCCCACAGATCTGGCGATGTGATGGTGACAATGATTGTGGAGATAACAGCGACGAACGGAATTGTGGAGGTTTGGCAGGAACTACCGTCTCTCCAGCTCTCTCATCCGGATGTGGAAGTCCAGGCACACAGACTGGCATGCTGGGAAGTTTCCACAGTTTGAATTATCCTTCAAATTACGATAGTGACATGAACTGTCGATGGGAAATCAACGTGCCTACAGGCATGGTGAGTTTTAACGTCATTTTAAATGTATACAGTGTATGTAAAGATCAAAAACATTTTAACCAAATATGCTTTTCTGAACTAAGGCACATTTAGGACGAACATTGCTACGAAAAAAAGGCGCAAACAAAAGATATGGTGAATTTTGCCTTTAAAATATTTAAATTAAGTTTCCACCAGGATTGTTTCTCGGCCACGTTAGTGTGGAAAATGCATTGCGCTTGAGAAACATTCTCGTGCTCATCAGAAAGACATAAGTTCCATGTGTGCTTGTTTAGTATTTCCTAGAAAACTATTTTTATATATTATTCAACAGCATGTCATTACTAAAAAACACTAGAGAGTTTCTGAGAGAAAATGTAGTTTCTACACTTTTATTGTCCTGGAACATGCCCGGACTCAAATCCATACAAAAACATGTTGGGTCATGTAAAAAAGACCTATACTTAATCAAAACATGCCAACCATTTGTGAATTAAAAGATATATGGAAAGTACTCTAACTCAATTCATAAAATTTTTTTTATCTATTAATAATTTATTGAGGCTGTTATTCGTGCAAAAAGGGGAGCATGTTAGTACTACAAAGTAAATTATCAATCGTAAATATAAAAACTGTAATGAAATTGCTTTGTTAAGTAGCAATACATGTATATTTATTTCTAAAATCTGCATTTAATTAGTTCACAAAAGCAATGTAAATTTAAATTTTTTTTTTTTTTGAGCTACTGATAAATACAATAATGATAATCTTTTTATTTCTGTTTAGCACATTAAATTGATTTTCGCTGATAAATTTGGATTAGAAGACGCCCAAAACTGCGATTATGATCGAGTCACAATTTATAATGGAAATCAAAATAATCTAATCGGTGAGTTCTTTTTTTTTCTTTTTTTTTTTTAAATTCCTATGAATATTTCTGTTCACTTTTTACCTTGGCAGTGTCTGTGTGCCAAAAACTTATTTTTGGGTTCAATTTCGGATTTTAAGGAAGATACTGTGGTTCACAACACCCCACCACCATGGTTCTGTCTAGTAATCACGTTATTGTTCAGTTCCTCAGTGATGGAAGTAATGAGGAAATGGGATTTCTCTTACACTGGTCAGCGACGAACGGTAATGGTTAAACAGAAATCTTAACAAGTAAAATATATTATTGTATTCAATTTGTACAATTTCTTAGATTTTAGACATTTGTAATGTTAAGTTATCTTACGAACACAAAGATACACTTAGAAATGTGAAGATATCGAACAGTGATAAAGCTCAAAAGTCCATTAGAACAATACAATTGGGAGCAGAAGACCTCTAAAAACATCAAACTATTTACTAACTGCTTTTTCTGTAGCATCTGTTGTGGTACCTGGGGATTCCCACACCACTCCATCACCGACCGGCTTGAACTGCACCAGAGACATATACATCAACGGTAGTACATCGGGGACGATCTCCTCTCCTAACTTTGGGGTTGGCCTCCAATATCCACCAAGATCTGGATGTATATGGAGATTTTTTGCACCATTTGGTTATGCTATACGCTTGGCATACACGCAATTCGGTGTTGAGGGTGGTCGATCATGTCCATTTGATTCTGTTACCGTATTTGATGGACAAAGTTCAACCGGAAAAATGATAGCAAAAAATTGTGGAAACACACTTCCTGCCCCTGTTGTGTCCAAAACCAATAATATGTATGTCAGTTTTGTCAGTGATGGAAGCACACAAGACATTGGATTTACAGCCACTTATTCAGCCGTCAAATTAAATGGTAAATATTGTATTGTCTCAATGAAAACCTGTATGCCGAAAAAAAAAGCTATGTATCTGATTTAACTTTCACTTCTTTTGCAGTATCAACACAAGCTGTTAATACGGACCAAGCTTGTCATGGAAGCACGCCACTTGTCCTTAACAGGACTTCCGGCTTCATCTATTCTGAGAAATTTACGTTGGGAATGAATTACCCGGATAATCTAAACTGCAGATGGCACATTAAGGCACCTGCAGACAAAGTCATCACTCTCCAATTTAACGTAATTTATATTTTACTTCTTAGACTTTTCCAGATTTACCTTAGTTTTAATTTATAAAGTATGTCAAGACTTGTTTTTTCTTCAGACTTTTTACCTTGAGAAAGATCGTGCATGCCAATACGACAACCTACAGGTGCTGGACGGACCATTTGCTAGATCGCCACTCATCGGAAAGTACTGTGGAATTAATTATCCACAAAAACTGACTTCTACAGCATCAGACCTCTATATTCGATTTCAAACCGATGAAAGTGAAAACGAGATAGGGTTCAACATTACATACACAATCCATGATCCAATTCGTAAGTTGTTTAGATGATGACAAAGACAACCAAAGAATTACTGTACTCATTACTTCTAAAAGAACATCCCATCTATACTTCTCTGTAGCGTACTATTTCTCTTTCTTGAATTGAATAATAAAAGAATTTGTGATAATCATATCCTTGGGAAAAGAGCAGTCTAGAAATGCTCTACGTATTTTTTGTAGCTACGTGCTCACCAAATGATTTCACATGTAGTGACGGAACATGTATAGACAGAAGCTCCGTTTGCGATGGAAGAAATGATTGTGCAAGTGGCAATGACGAAGTGTTGTGCAGTAAGTAGGAAGAATGAATACTGACTTATAATTCAGCAAGTTGTATCCTTTAAAATTCACATAGCCTCCTCTTTCATGCAGGTTCCAGCTGTGGGGTACCACCTATAACGCCATCTTTGGGTAACTCGAAAATTGTTGGAGGTAAAGAAGCTACCCCGGGCAGCTGGCCTTGGCAAGCCTCCCTGCAGTATGGCTCGTTCAGAGACCACATGTGTGGAGGTACCCTGATCTCCCCACAGTGGGTCATGACAGCAGGACACTGTTTTGAGGAGTGTGTTCAAAATTATATCTTTAATCCATTGGAATTACGATCTCTCGTTTAAGCAAATATTCATTTTGAAGTTAACAAATTTGATATCATCGATTTGAAAAACTAAATTTCGTAATTATAATAGAAAAAAATGAATCATTGTTTCCAAAAATAATTAATGTGAACTGAAAGAATGATTTAAAATCTAGTGACAGATCTCCGTCGAAATGGCACGTGTTATTGGGAAATCACCACATGAATAAACAAGATGCACACCAGGTGGAAGTGGGTGTTTCAAAGATTATTGTCCATGAAAATTACGATGAAGATACTACAGAAAATGACATCACTCTCCTGAAGTTGCAAACCCCTGTGACGTTAAATAATTACGTCAATCTCGTCTGCTTACCTAAGCGAACTGTGTCCAATGGACAGCACTGCTACATAACAGGATTTGGAGACACCATGGGTATATTTTTTAGTTTTATATTGAAAGAAATAGACTATTTGTATTTATACATAGTAATAAGAACGTTGAGTTACACCTTTCATATTTATCTCATGGCAAGCAATATACTTAATAATGAAAAAGAGAAAAAATGCACATTTGAAATTGGAATGTACACAAGGTGTGCAATATTAAACAGGAACTTGCTGTCGTAATGTGTTAAAGCAAGCAGAAATCCCTATCATTGATGTGGGAAAATGTAACAGCACTAGATACACAGACGGCCAGATTTTTAGCACCAATATCTGTGCTGGATACGACAAAGGAGGGATTGATACCTGCCAGGTAACATGCTGTTCTCCATGTATTTACTTGATCTCTGAACTGGAGATAATCGATTATAATATACGAATTTGTCTTAATCTTGTTAGCTGTCGATCTTAATTTTTTGAAAACTTCCAAAAAATTTATCTTGAAATGTTGAATAATTTAAATATAAAAATATTTTTATTGAATTATATTTAGCTTTAATTAATTACATTCTAAAGGAATTGTAAAATAAAAATATTTTTAACAACATTAAGTTCTCTTTAAGGGTGATAGTGGCGGTCCGTTGGTTTGTAACATAGACGGCAAGTGGCAGATAGAGGGAATTACGTCATGGGGAGTAGGCTGTGCAGGTACTTGTATATATTATGTATTTATTTGTGTATCTGTCGATTACTTTTTTCTGATAATATGAGTCAATTAGGGATAATTAATTTTTTTTTTTAAATAAAGATCAATTGTTTCTTTTTCCAGATCCAATGTCGCCTGGGGTGTACACTAAAGTGTACGATTACTTAAACTGGATACAAAAAACTATTGTTCAAAATTAAAACTGAACAACTGCACTATGGTATATTTCTTTTCAATAAGGATGTATGTTATTTATGTTTTTTTGCTCACACACTAAAATAAATATATTTTTAAAGCAAACATGTTGCTTTGTTTTATTGCGTGCATTTTCGTTGAGAAATATATGTACTGCATGTTAACAAAAAAAATGTATGTATTACAGTTCCTTATCTTTGACTTGAATTTTAACATTTTATTCCTTACCGTATCCTGGGCTTCCGAATTCGGGGGGGGGGGGGGGGGGGGGGCTGTTCAAACTCAAAGATCGAGCTTCATAAGTAAATTATTAACTGCAGCTAAGGGGAAACTTTAAACATACTTTGCTACAGTATATTCTAAAAGTGGTGTAAAGCAGATATGGATTCTCAAAAACTCCGAAGAACTTTTAGCAAATTTAAAATTACCGAATTTTTCAAATGTCAGTAACATCAAAACTAACGACTTTTCTATGCTTTAAGCGACTATTTTTCGTGATAAATTAAAACAAGGCTTCCTGACATAATAGGCAACTGCTTCTTTAAAAAAAAATGGAAGTCGAAAATTTTCGTGTCATGTGATTGGTCATCAACAAAATCACTCTGATTCTACACACAAGTACATTAAAGTTGATATTAAGAGGATGTTGGAGTTCATCATCGACAACATTTTTGTAGCCTTCGGAGACCAGGTCTTCCAACAAACTTTTGGAATACCGAAGGGTACTAATTGTGCCCCTTTATTCGCCGACCTGTTTTTATATTCCTATGAAGCAGAATTTGTTCAAAAACATCTATATGAAAATAAAACACTCACTGTTTTTAACTCGACATTTAGATGTATCGACGACCTTTTATCAATTAACCTATCATTGGGTCGTATTTTGGCTGAGATGTCTTATACGAATTGTAAGACCTTTGTTTTTATACTAAATTTTTCTATGGAATATTCCGTCTCCTTGATCAGTACATTGGTCTAACTGGGGACACTTTCTCTTCCTAGGCATCTGATCCCACCTCTGAAATTTCCATGTTTGATGTCCTGTTCACAGATTTGTATTGTTTGTAGAATGCTTTTAGATCTATTACTGTTCTTTATCTTCATCTTTTTTCACTTTGACTTGAATTTTAACACTTCATTATATACTGTATCCTGGGGGGAGGCAAAGGACCTGTCAAGCTCAAATATCGTGTTTCACAAGTTCACTTAATCAGTTTTTAAGATAAAATTTACTCCACCATGACATGTCATTTTAAGACAATTTCCTGTTTTTTTTTAATGGTCAAAAACTGATAAATCCTTCGTTTCAATAAATACTATATTCTTCTCAAAAGAAAATCAATGAATTTCGATTGTTTTTCTTTAAAAATAGTATTGCTTTTCTCAATTTTTAAATGGAATGTTACAGCACATTCATATGTAATATAAAACTAGGGAGAATATCAAAGTCGGAGTTTTTCAAGCAAGTACCACTGCCACTGACCTTCGGGGATATGTATCTTTAAAACAGAATATTTTAAACAAACGTTAAACATGTTATAATTTAAAATTTATTTTAGGTTCGCTTCACACTGAACGAAGACTCCGCTACGTTCTTTGTTCAGCTCCTGATCAAACTGAAATATTCAGTCATTGATTGGTTGTACATGCATGAGCCACGTCGTAAGATCGTACCGCAGTCATTATGGTTGTTGTGAAAGCGGCCACAAAACATAAAACACGTAATATGGACGTAACAGTGACGTAGCTGGCGCTAATAAGTCGCCGTGAGAGCGTGAAATGATTTAAACCCCAGTCACACTGTCACGGCTGCACGCACAGATTGCAACGCTTCACCCCGATTTTATAGACCGTATGAGATCGTTATGCATACACGATTTTTTTAGCATGAAAAACAAACGAAACGGTTGTTTGAAGATTATATAACGGTTCCTCAAGGTTACAGCGTTAACACAGTTCCATTAAGGACCATGTTTGTCACACCACGGACACTTAACGGACAAGCACGGTATCCCGTGATGAAACCGTATAATGCGACGGTCTCACCAGGGATTGCCAATCTACGGTTACAATCAAGCACGATAATGCTACAACGTCTCACGGCTCTTATATGAGCATGCCACGAATGACGAAGATTTTTAAGACGTCGCTACGCCTAAGCAAGTAAAGGAAATTAGGAAATAATGTGATCGAACGTTCAATCTTCAAGCAAGCTTCAATACATATCAAAATACTGATATATATAGAGGAATGAGAAATCAGATGTCATTCTTTCAATTTAAAAAAAAAACAAAGAAAAAAAACGAAAAGGTGTTTCTATCCCTGAAAAATCGTAAATTACTAGTATCTCATATCACCCGTAATTTTACCGTTAAAACAAGTGGTTATCCGTTAAAACTTTTACTGCTGCCTTATTTATAACGTAAGAAAAAATGGTTCACCACCATTATTTGTGAGTGTCTGTTTTGTTTCCTTGACTTTATCCTACAACAACGCTGGGCTTGGGGTTATTTACGGATTGTTCTTTCTATCCGTACGTTTATATTACTGTAACCTTCATACTCCTCGAGTATCCTTAGATCAATTGTGTCACGAATGACCCCGAAACACCAGGAAAGTCTATACGGTGGTTTCACGGTGATGGTAGGATAACAGTTGTTGGCGTGTACGATGTCCCAGAAACAAAGAAGGATCCCGGTATTCCACGACTGTTTTTAAAACAGTCGTAGCGATTTACGGCTCATTCAGGATTTATTATCCGAGTTATCAGGGCTTACCACGACACTAACAACGAACGGACTGCGGATATCTAAGAATACATGCGGAACCCTTAACCGTAGTTTTCCGTGATCTGAAAACGTAACAGTGCGACTTGGGCTTTACGATCAAGCCAAGCTTTCACTACGACTTAACTACAAAGCAACCGCTGTTACTACGTACTATCCTTCTGCGACTTTGTTCACTACCATCATTAAAAATCACAACCTCATTCCGTTAATTTTGAGCATGTGCAGAATTGTCTGCCATTCCACGATATACCTCAATGTACCACGATCCCATTGCGTTCTTCATAAGACCGTGAAGACCTTGACACGACCCTAAGAAACCTTTCACGATTTAAGTAGATTTTAAAGTGGTAGCGCGGTTTTCGTCCATTGTTAAGGGAATTTATAAAATTGTAAGGACATGGTAAAAAAGACTTCTTAATGGAGCAGAGAATTGACATCCAGTCCCTAAAGGCACACAAAGAAGCACGACTCAAACAATCAGTGCCCGCCCTGGTGGAAGTATTGCTAGTGCACTGCAAAACAACCCTGCACCCACGCAGACTACCACTTATAAACCACCACCGCCTTAGGTAACAGTACTTCTGCAACCCTACAATGGTCTGATATCGCCAATCCAATGATGGATGACATATATGTCATATGTCAGTCTGTATGCTCTTATTGGCAGACAGGACATATTTGTTAAATACTACCGAAATGGTGAAACACTCGTTTCTTACTCTTGGAGATCAGTTTAAAGTAAACTTGATACGCATATTTCCAAAGATTCAGACAGGATGACTGTGAATCTGACCTAGACAATATCAAACAAAATGATCTGAAGAAGTGATTTGGACTTAAGCGAGACAAACTTACTGGTAGTTGGCAGAGCTATCAAAAACCTAAAACAATTAATTTGAGGTCAGATTTACATTCTGAAGCTAAAAAAGGAGGCCTAACAATTGGAATAAAAACGTTAGCCAAAATACGACCCAGTGATAGGTTATATTTGCTACCAAGTATTTTATAACGATCACATGATTGGCAAAAGCCGACTTTAAAAGAGGTTGGTGAAATTCCTGTAATATCAACTTATTTGTCAGTTGATCGCCCCGGTTTAAAAATTGATCCTACTCAGAGCATGCCATATGCAGGTGATGTTGGAATATTACTACATTGATATGAAAGGAAAGTTGACGATAGAAAGGCCAAAGTCATCCCGTTTGTAATTACAGTTTAATTTTCAGTTGGTCATTATAATCTAAAGTCAGTAAAACAACCCAATATGTAACAGATGTAGCAGAGTCTGTAGTGTCTTTTATTTCGAGTTCACTTGGATATTTCGAGTCTGCATATGAATGAGAATAAATATTTTTAATTGATAATACGCCATCGATAGATCTTAATGTGGAGTTGAGGCCGCAGTATTTTCTTCTTCTCATGAAGAAGTTTTTAAATAAACACTGCTTCATATGAATATAAAAACAGGTAGACTAATATAAAAGCCCAATTAGTGCCTATCGGTATTCAATCAAATTGTAGGAAGAGTTTCATGGATATTGTCAATGAGGAACTCAGGCATCTTTTTAATATTAACTTCAGTGTACTTGTAGGTAGAATCAAATTGATTCTTAACAAAGTAATTTTGTTGATGACCAAATACAAAGCATGAAAAATAATTGTCTACTTAAGTATAAAAGCGTCGCTATTTGATCGTGCGTTCGAATCACGGCCGCGACTGACCTAAGTCGATAAAAAAATAGGTTGCAACTGTTCCTACGCCATTAAATACAACCTGCAAAGTAAATTTTGTGCATGCTCACAATATATGTTTTTTTCTCAAGCTCAAGATCCATCTGCGTTTCCAAAAAGCTCCCATATTCTGCAAAGAATTTTCACGATCTAGATAGATTTTCAAGTAGTGCAATCTTTGTCCGCTGTGAAATGTGGTGATGCATCATATCAAAGTCGTGGAAGAATCGTACGTAGTAGCAAAGTTGTTTCATGGCAAAGTCGTAGCTAAAACTGGTCTTACAATCATTGTACGATCCATCCACACCCCTTAGGGTTATAGTAAGTGAGGTAAGGAAACGTAGTGCACGTATCGAGGACGCAGTAATGACGTTATTGGATGCACAGATAAACATCACCTTTGCACCAGAACCTTTCCGTTGCAGTTACATCATTACTACGTCCATCCTACGTGCCCTACATTTCTTTACCGCGATTGGTACGATCTCACAATGACTGTGGCCTTTACGACCAACTTTGTTTTCCCGACATGACTATTAATACCAGTCAGTTCAGTCTTTCGCTATGCAAATTTTGTACATTCTCAAAACTGTTGTACGTGTATTTCTTTCACGACCTACCATGCACAATGATGATCCCACTCATTTTTCAACAAGCTCTCTTTCTCTTTTTTAATGCAATAAAACGTAAATGCTTGAGCATGTACACTGTCGGGTGATTTCAATTTTGAATTAAATTCTTCGACTTGATTTATAAGAAAATGTGTCACAACGCATGAATATTTTTCCTCACAAGTGAAAGTTTTGATTTCTTTCTAAATTTAAAAAACATCAGATATGAAGGCTTTATATACTCGTGTTGCGTAATGCTAGCATGATATACGATCTGCTACTGGGTAGCTGCACGAAGTTGTGCAATAGCAGACTCATACCGTGGCATGATATGGAAGGATTCTAGTGGGAACGTACTATATATATATATATATATATATATATATATATATATATATATATATATATATATATATATATATATATATATAGGACGTGGTTTAAGAACGTGTTTGAGACGCGGAAAATATGAAGAAAACCCCGATTTTCCGCGTATTAGGATCGTAGCAGCATCCTAAATGTCTTCACATAGAAAGTAGTTTTTTTTTCCTACCTTACCACGATCCAGTCGCATTCATAAGGGAGGTCGTAGAAAGTTTTCATTCAGTCAAATGGGCACCTTTACACTTTATTGATCACATTGTGCATGTTTAATAATAGAGAAACATAAACAGTTTTATTTTTTAATGATATTTTTGTTGTATGATTGGATTTGTTCTTTTACTATTTGCTGGGAAGTGGTGAGGTGGATTAAGATCTTCAAAAATTCTTTATCACATTCAAATTAACAAAGATAATTTTTATTGTTATCCCAATTTGAAATTCATTGAGAGTTATTTGCCTGTTGTTTGTTGTGATACTCTTTTAACTTTGATATTAATTACTTTCCGAGTCAAAAGGTTGGGAAACCAATCTTAAAAAGTGTTTTTACCCTATATGTAGTATTACACCTCATGGACTTAAAAGTTAAATCGTTCACCGATCACATGGACTTAATCAAGCACTCTTCCAATTCAGTGATGTCTTTTTTGAAAACGTGTGAGAATGCAAAACCTTATTCAGATTTTTGCAAAAAAATAGAATTCCTTCTATATAGCAATGAAACATGAAGATAACGAACAGTATTCAGTCTCGAAAGTCCAATGAAACGATACAAATTTGGAGCAGAGCAAACACGGACTTCAAAATTTAGAGGTGGGATCAGGTGCCATGGAGGAGTGGGCATCCCCCGCCGTGTGCTCCTTGACATGATCGGGAAAAAGACAGTTCAGTGTATAAATAATGGTCTAAGAATTAGTATGAAAAACGTCAGTCAGCATTTGACTCAATGATAGGTTGTATGTGCTGACAAAATTCTTTATATATTACAAGTCTTCAGAAACAAAATACATTTAATAAAACAATAAATACAAAATCAATAAATAAAATGCTTTAAATGAAGAAAAAATGTCTGCTATTGAGATTCTTTTGTTAAGGAATGTGCGTATAAAATTATACAGTACACTTGTATTAACTGAGTACATTTTATAAAATTTCATCGACCAAACAATGAGTTTAAGAGAGGCTTAGCTGGAGCAGCTGTCGATGGCGCTGTTTTCCCTAATAAGGTATCTGTTATCCATTGTAAGTAGGGCTTAGCCCTTGTGTACACGCCTGGTTTCATCACCTGGGCACACCCATTGCCCCACGAGATCACTCCGCCCACTTCCCAGCGACCATTTCGTCTACAGCTTAATGGACCTCCGGAATCGCCCTAAAAATAAACTTGTCATCTTTGATACAATCTCTAACATTCGTTATAATGCTTGGATTTTCCTAAGCGACTCACTGTTTAGCCATAAGGATAGGGAGATAGGGGATTTTTTACCTGTCCTGTATAAAAAAAAATGTTTAATCTACGGTACATTTTCAAATTTTGCACTTTAAATATATACCGGGATGTGTATATTTACAATTTAACACTGAACAATTATAAAATCTGGAGAGCCTTTTCGGATGCATTTTTTGAAGGTAGCAAAGGACAAATAGCAAAAATTACATGAATAATTTACGTCTAAACTATCTACTCTTATTCAGCATTCGTTGGAAAATGGAAGGTGTGTCGAACGATACAGGTGTATTACTGTATACCTAGGTCACATTTAAGCCAATGGTCGGGCGACCAAGTTCTTCTCGTAACGTCGGCTGAAAAAACATAATCGGCCGACACTAGTATCAGGCGACGCAGAAAAGTCACATTAATTCCTAAGAACACCGATGCCTTTAAAAGTTAAAATTCTTGTAAGTCGGCTAACCTTCGCCCGATCATCTTTCGCTGAGCCGCAGTTTGATTTTCACCGTCGGCCGACATTTACCAAAACCCTATCCCTAAATGTCGACCGACCGACGACTGACTTAATAAACTGCCCGTCGATGGTCAGACGATGATCTAAGGTTGGTCGACGGACTATTCAACAACTGCTTCAATTGAAGAAATCGGGCACAGACGCAGAAAAAATAAAACTTGGCCCGACGAACACAAATTTGGTCGGCCGACGAAAAGAGAGGCCAAAATCGGGCAAGAGAACGTCCCATGAACTGGCGAATGTCGACCAAAGAATCCTGTTTTTGCCTCAAAAACATCGGCTATTGGTCGTTTTTGGAAATGTAACTGGGGTTTTACAAATGCTTGTCGTAGTTTTGAACGCGTTTCCACACTTTCACCCTCGTTAGTTCTGTTGTATTTCCGTTTTTTGCCCCTCCCCCTTGTCTACAGGGTTTGTACATCCGAAACCCCCAGAATCACAGGAATTCCCCACTGAAGCACTAGGATTGGCATATCAAACCAGCAAAATACATTTTTTGGAGGTGAGTATGCTTAAAGCCAAGTTGCTATCTCTGAGATGAAGGCAGGTTTTCTTATGTCTAAACTTTTTTACAACAGTGAAAAAGTGTTATTACATATATTATAACTGAAATGACCACAATTTGCCATACCTGACAAGTATCTATTCCACCGAACACATATCCCCCACACATCATATTGTCTGTAAGCTGCCTGTATATACTTTTGCATACATCATTTCCTAGTAATGGTATTTTTGCTTCTTGTAACACCATGGTCTTTGATGCATCTGTTGAACCTATTATGATTATTGAAATATTTTTTATCATTTTCAAACGTCCTGAATCTACATGAAAAACAATGATACTTTTTTCACGTTTTACTAAACAACTGTTTTGTAAAGAAATTAAGTTACGCGTTTCAATGTTGTTTAGACTAAACAACTATTTTGAAAAGCATTTTAAGTTGCAACACATTTTTTTTTTCAAAATTCGATAAATTAATTTTATAACCTCTTCCAGTATAACAGTATAACACTTCAAAATTTACATTTTCGAGGTAAAACAAAAACTAATCATAGCAGATAAATCTCTGTTTGTGTTACCTGTATTCCCCCAACCTGCTACAAAACAGTAATCATTTTCGAAATTTTCCTCTGAAGCCAGAGGCAAACAGATATTGTTGACGTATTCAGTGCTGGTATCTGCCGGCCTGTTCAGTTTTATCAATGCAATATCAAAGTCGTGAGAGGCCTTGGTATACAATGGGTGGAGATACAGCTCTGTTACATTGAATGTTTGTTCTGATGGATCACGACGGCGAAGGTTATACTCTCCTAATCGAACACGAATGTCTCTCTTATCTGTTGTTCTAAAAATCAATCATTAATTTCTACTTAATCTTCTACTTTGCTTGAGATATCAAATTCAGGTGTAAAACATTAATCAATCAATCAATCAAATTCAGGTGTGCAAAGCGACTTTTCTAAAAATGTTTTATATGTACTTTAGAGTCATTTTTTTAAAAAGTTATTTCTTACAAATTTATTTTGTATCTTTATATCGGTAGAGAAACTTTATTAACATTTGTTTTCCTCTAAGCTTTACTATTTTTAGGAAGTCAATTATACATTTTAAGTGTATAAGAAAATCTAGATAAATAATAATACATAATGATAAATGAAACATTTCCTCTCTTATCCATGATTACAAATTACGGTTCATATCACTCTTAGCTTTTAATTTCATAACTTAAAACATGTTCAGCTATATGACATGCCTGTATAATACCTATCAAAGCAGTGAGCAGCAGTTAGAATCCACTCGTCGTTCACCAGACTTCCGGCGCAGAATTGTTCCTGACTCATCGGCGGAATGTGGAGGAATATACTGGCTATCCAGGGCCAATTTCCGCGTATGGACGAGTGTCCACCAACAATTCGTCGAATTTTGGGTTCTATCTTTGGCACACCACAACCTGTGGGCAAAAACAGAGGGATTTAAACAACTCTCTATTGCAACATATGAACAAAAACCACACACAAACAGCCATTGGATAAATTAGAAAAAAAGAAACTCATCGAGATGCATTAAACATACCCTCTGGATTTGGTGAGGTTTTGCAGACCAGGCCAACATCCTCAGCATGCGTGCAGTCATGAGCAGCAAAGCTGAAGCATGACGAAAATTAAATGTAGCGCATAAAATTTGAAAAATGTAGAATTAAATTTTCTTCTAATTGCAGGCTCAAATTAAAGGTGTCATTCAAAAGATAAAATGCGGTCTGTAATTTTGCAAATTTTGTTTTATGCAAGAGAAGTAAAAACTAGAGATACGGTGAACAAGCTCAGAAAATAATACCACCGCTATATTTTTTAAAAGTCCTAAATTCAATGTTCCAAATGTGACCTTGACCTTGCCAAAACGACCTTGGTTAAAAATACATATCACATTGTCATAAATAATCTAGGAGTGAAAACAAAATCCTCGTAAGTGTTCTTCTTCTTCCTCTTCTTTCAGCTTTAGTCCAGCTGGGCACATCATTACTGGTGATTTAAGTATAGTTCAAAATGACTACCTAAATTAGTCCAGCTGGGCACATCATTAATGGTGATTTAAGTATAGTTCAAAATGACTAACTAAATTAGTCCAGCTGGGTACATCATTAATGGTGATTTAAGTATAGTTCAAAATGACTACCTAAATTAGTCCAGCTGGGTACATCATTAATGGTGATTTAAGTATAGTTCAAAATGACTACCTAAAAGTTAATATTTTAAAATGTCTAAAATTCATGGAGCCCTGATCTTTCAAATGGTGAGAGAACTTCATTTCTATTACGATTTCCATCCTGGAGAATGCTACACGATGGGCTACATATGAAGGGGAAGATCTTGTTGCTTTGTCCGAATGGATAAAGCGTTTTAGATAAATATTAAACAATCGCATTAGAAAATTAAAGGGCAAAATGAAAATATCAATCCTTCCATTTTCAGTAGACCGGAAGTGATAAAGTCAGAAAGACTACAAGAAAAATAAGATTGGTTCCAGCTGACAAAGCTTGTAACAATATAGTCTTTGTAAGACTCATTATTAAAACATTTTAGGAGAACTCCAACCTATATTCACAGTTCCCTTTCAAAAGATGAAATTCTTCAAAATCACCATTTAGTTTTAAATACTTTTAACATTCCTATCAATGGGAGTGAGTTTGATTAAGCGTACCTATACTGGATTCCAAAGCTTCATAAAAATTCTTACAAGCAAATATATATACAGGGTCTATCAAATGTTCAACCAAGCCCCTATTCTTTCTTCTCACCAAAATATTAACTGCAGTGATGGAGAAACTTCAGAAGTATTGTGCAACTACATATTCAAGACGTGGAGTAATTCAAAAACACTCCAAAGAACTTTTGGAAAATTTAAAATCTCAAAACTTTTCAAACATCAATACCATCAAAACATATTACTTTTCTACGCTTTATACAACCATTCCTCATGAGAAATTAAATAGAAGGTTTTTTGATATCAACTATTTCATCAATAAAAATGGAACACGTAAATTTTCATATCTGGTGGCTAGTCATCTACAAAATTACTTTGTCAAAAAGCATTCTGTTTCTACATACAGGTACTCTGAAGGAAGGTGGAGTTCCTCATTGACAATATCTATGTTTTCTTTGGAGACCAGGTCTTCCAACAATCTGTTGGACTTTCATTAGGCACTAACTGTGTTTCTTTATTAGCCGACTTGTTTTTATATTCCTACACTTCTTGTGGCCTTCAACTCGACATTTTGATATATCGACGACGTATTACCAATTAACATTAGTTACTTGCATTCACATGTCAACTGATAATTAACTGTATTACAAACGGTATGACTTCAGCTTTTCCATCGTCAACTTCCCTTATTTATGTAGTAATATTCCAACAATTCTGCAAATGGTGTTTATGTCTTCCAAATGGATATGCAAGACCATGCTCTGGGTACGAACATTTTTAAGCCGAGGCAAGCTACTGACAAATGAGTTATGTTACAAGGATATTACACCCCGTGTAAAGTCAGATTTTTGCCAATATTACTGTCTTTATAATGACGTTGTTAAATACAACCTATAGTTGGGTCATATGTTGTCTGACATGTTTCATATTGTTTGTTAGGACATTACATTGATACTAAATAAAGTAAGGAGAACTCCGTGTACCTGATATACATAGGGCCCACGGCGGTTGTGACTGGTTTAAAGGGGATGCTCACTCCTCCTAGACACCTGATCCCACTCTGGTGTTTCCAGGAGTCTGTGTTTTTTCCCTGTTCGCGATTTGTTTTGTTTACTGTTTTAATGATATTGATCACTGTTCGTTATCTTCACCTTTTAAATGAGTTATGGACCTCCAATGTTTCTCCATCAGAATATGAACCTGACATGAATTTGACACTTTTCTCATTGGTATAATGACCTTGGGTCAAGTTATGACATACCCTCAGCTCACATATGTTTTTGTTTGAAGTTTCAACCTCCAATACTTATCTACTAGAAAATAATGAACTGGATCCAAATTGATACTTTTTCTGCCAGTAACCTTGAACTTGCCGGAATAACCTTGGATCAAGATCATGAAACACTTCTAGGACTTAAGTATTATTTTTTAAATATGAATTTGCAATCATCAATGTTTTCCATTACAAAGTTACACACTCAGTGTATAAGAATTTTACAATATTTCCTCCAGTGACATTTAACTTACAAAAATGACCTTAGGTCATTTTTTAGCATCAACTTCAAGTATCAACTTTTAATAAGACTCCGTTTGAGAGGTATAGACCAGACACGAATAATGCACTTTTTCTACCAGTGAGTTTGAACTTGCTAAAATGGCCTTGGGTCAGGGTCAATACATATCCTCAGGTCACAAGGGTAATATTTGTGATAAGTATGAGCCTCTAATGTTCTTTGGGTAAGGACTTGACACCCTTTGAAGTCATAAGCAATCTTTTGTGAGGTGTGTTCTAATTCTCCAAAAGGAAGTTGAAGTTTGGCCACAAATATTATACGTTTTCTGCAAGTGACCTAGAACTTGCTCGAAAGACCTTGAGTTAATTATAAGACCATAACACACCCTCAGATCATAAACATCCTCGTACCATGCACATGTATGAACTTCCAATGATTCTCCATAAGTCATAGCCCGGACAAGATTGCAAAGACAGATGGACAAAGTGATTCTTATATAACCCACCTACCCTCTACCTCCAACTTTGTTTGCGGGGGGTATAAATATGATGCATGTATAAATTAGAAATTATTTTATTTATATACTGAGAGGCACCATAAATCGCAATAACATGTTTGTAAAGATTTCATAAATATTTATCATTAAATGGCTCCAAATGACCATACATGACACCATTAAAGTTAGGAACCATACTGATCTAAAAGAATTTCCAGTCTACTAGCACTATAATCAAAGTAACTATCAAAACCCGGGTTCCTACTCACTAACAAATTCAAAACACAAAAAGAAAACGATAACTGCTTCATCTTTTCATTTTTTCCAAAACTCACAAAATCGATTCAATAATTTATAACACAATCAATCAGGAATTATTTCATTGAATAAGTATACTATCTTTATACAGAACTTACTTATTCCTTCTGCATTCTAATATTGACGTCTCATTTCCAAGACAACTGATTTCGTCAATCCATATTTGTCCATTGCCTCCGCCAAAGCTCTTCACTTTTTCAGCACCATAGCTACACAAAATAAAGTTACTGCTTCTTTAATTAAATGAAAGATTTTTTTTAAACATTCGGTGTGTGTTTTTATTTCATTCGCCACAATAATTATCTAATAATTTTTTACATAGTCCAGAAAAAGCATTGAGCTCTTCTTTACTGAAAGATGATTACGCTATGTAAACTTAATCCTCTTAATTAGAAATCCTCTCACATTATGGTCTATGTCCCTAATCATAATTCATTACCTTCTATACTTCATAACAATTACCTGCTTAGGTAAGATTTTTACTTACGGAAAACCCAGTTGCTTACAAGCGATGTTCGCAGCCACAATATCGAAGCCGTCGTCACAGACGGTGCCCCACTGATTAGCCAGGTTAAACTGTAATATCCCCTCATTCTGTTGTCCAGTAACGCTCAAGAGTCGCAGATAATTGGAAGTCAGGGGAATGTCGGTCGATGCTGTAAGATTTACAGTTTGATGAAAACACATAAAATATTGCTGTACAGAAAAAATAAAAAGGTATTAACTTATCAAAACGTCCTGATGATACGTAGCCATAATGTCAACGGAAATAAACCTATTTTTACGAAAAAAAGAATTGTTCCAAAAGTGAATAAACAAAGGTCAAATTAAACAATCCGTCCCATCAGAAAACTTTTGATGTATATCGGGAATCTTACGTGTACAGCTCACTTCATCTGCGCCGTCGCTACAATCGGACACATAGTCACATCGCCAGCGTGAGGGAATGCATTTGTTTTCACTCATACATAGGAACTGTCTATCGGAGCAATTCGCGGGATCTACGAACAGAAATATTTAATAAATATTTCATTCTTTAGCATCTAGACATTTTGAATCATTCATTTTAAATATATGCTCCTTGCATTTGTTTCCAGTTTAATTAGTGAATCTAGTTCTCATTCAGCAGATAAATCCTAAATGTCTACAGATATGAATACGTACGGCCTTTTACTCCTCGTGGTTTGGCACAGACTAAAAATGCTTCTCTGTTTGTGCTGCAACTGTTCGCTGGAATATAAACATGATATGATTATAAATTTATAATATAAGAAACTTGTTACATAACGGAATGGATTATTTGGGGATGTTTACCTTACCAATCACAGACTGGCACTGTTCCAAGCTATCCTCGGAACCTTTGCATTGCAACATCGAAAAATGTTCTTCGTTTTGTTGAATCCCCTAAATATGAAACATGTAAATATTAGTTGCATCTTTCATTAAATTAATCTTGCAATTATTTTCAAAATTTCACTTTTACTCACCCTCCCTTTGGCCCTTGCAGTTCCTTCAAATCCCAAATGACGGCATGCTACTGCAGCCACTTGTGGGGTCCAGAAATGGTCAGCACATACTTTGTTCCACGATCCATCCCTCTGCTTCAGCTCTACAACTCCAGCAAATGATCTGCCAACAAGTCGGATATCGTCCCAAACTAAGAAAATATTTGTTTATTACTAATTACATCATGGATTCTTGGATATCTAAAATGGTTTATTATATTTTTTCCTGTATATTTCACTACCTTGACGACGGGGAACACATTCGGTAAAATGTATAAGAATTTGGAAAATGATAACTTTTTGCACTGACATCTTTTGACAACATTGAATATAAAATGACCATCTCTTAGCACTGACGCTTCGTTTTATCTTTGTTGAGTCTGTTTGTAGGGCAGAATTCTTGAACCGATTGCCCCCTCTTGGTTGACCTTTAGGAAACAAGTGGGTATTAGGGGATGTGTTATTCTATCTTGTAATTTACTCTGAGGAGGCGCAGTTGATAATTCGTGCTCTGGATCTGTGAATAGAGCCGGTTGTTTGGCTACCCTGATTCATTGACAAGGACAGGTTTTTGACGTAGATCCGTACAGGCGGGTTTGGTTAGAAGTTATGAAATTGAGTCACCATTTTAAATAATCGATTGCCTTTTTAAATGGATCACTCGGTATCCAAGAAATTTGATAGAATATGTCTCCTCGGTTTTCATTTTGGAAATGAATCCATCTACTTTACGGGGAAAATATGTTCCACAATAAAGCATAAGATAATGTTGACGATCATGATACCGCATGTAACCATACCGTTATTTTTGAAATGACTTCACATAATTATACTAATGATGCATAAAACATTAAAGTGCAGGTGCTGTATGCATGTGAAATAGCCGCTCAAGAATACAGAACCGTGATGAGCATCTTAAGGTAGTATCCATGATACGTACTACATTAGTATATAACGTGTCCAGCGAACACAGGTATTCTTGGAATCCTGATGGGAGGATCCAGGTATCATGCATTGACATGATTATCTACACGCGATTTTAACCTGGCCGTGTGTTAATGTCCTAAAAGAGCCACGTGTTTGATCCTGGAAAGGACAAAAAAATCACGTGGTTTAGTTTACTTGACTTTGACAACGCTGGGGTCTTGAGATTGACAATATACTAGACTTATTCCAAAAGCAGAAATCTTCAAACCGATGTCTTGAACTGATTTTTAACGGTCATAAGAGCTCATATCAGTAGAAGACATTTAAAGTAGACTACAAGGGGCCGAACTGGGTTTTCATTGCGCAATTCTTTGAGTAGCATAGTGAAATAAAGCGTATTTACACGTTTAAAACAATTATTTTAACACAATTTATCAAATTTAACGAAATTAAGAATTCCCAAATTAAAAAAAAAGTTTAATTGCATTTTAAAGATTTTATTTTTTAACGATTTCTCAACTGATCGGTAGATGGAGTCAATGAAAAATATATAAAATACATGTGAATTATATGCTCTTAAACGGAATTTGAAACTGTCACAATTATTTAACAGTCATTTTCTGTATGAAGCCTTAGGATCTATTAATTTGTAGTATTCAATTAAAAAAAAAGAAATTTCGTAAATACAATATTATAAAATAAAGTATTACTCATCACATATATATTAGAAATGAGCAAAAAGTTTATTGAAGTATTTTTATATACATGTAATTTGCTTTGAAGTGAAAAAAAGCCATATAGCCGTTTAGTAAATGCAAGTGCATTTTTAGATGGTTCCTAAAAATACAGTCGGCGTCCTTAAGGATCATGTTTAGTCAAAATTGAATTCAATATTTGGATTCCTTTACAAAAAAATTATCAATCGTTATATTTACATCTATAAAGTGTTTCCTATATATTGCAATGTGCTTCATTTCAGCTATAACATCGTGTCACATGGATGTTCTTTGATTTTTAGCATTGATACATATTCCAATCTTTGAACAGCGTTACTTTTCCTGGGGCTTCAGGGTGAAGATTAAAAGTTGCTTAAAACATTGTTCATCAAAGTGTAATTAAAATTAAACAATTATTATTCCTTGTTTTCAAATATGATGAATTTTTTTAACTACACATTTTTTTCCTTATTTATCGAAATTACAAGGAAATACTTTGTAAATGTTAATTCGAGAACTCACATATTTGGCATAGCGATAGTTCTGTAAATTTACATTTTTTTTTTTTTTTTTTTTGAAACATTTTAAAGAAAAGGTGAACATATATCAAATACAAACAATAAAGGAAAATTTTTATAATGCGTCATATACCGGTAATTTTCGTACAATTATGACAACCCGTCAAATCCCCTATGATAACCAAAACAAACAAATATACAAATAACAAACTTCATTGGTTAATCCATTACTATCTTTCAGACTAATTTTTGTGTTTATTTAAAAGAAAACTAAAAGATATTTGGAGTAATTCATTTTGATTGTGAACAATAAAGTGTCATTGAGGTAAAATAGGTAAACTCGTAATAAATAAATCTCAAAAATCCTGTAAATAATACAAAACATGAACCGTGAAAATACCAGAGGTGGGATCAGGTGCCTAAGAGGAGTCAGGATCCCCTGTCGACTAGTCACACCCGCCATGTACAGGTAAACGGAGTAATCAAAATTAGTAAAAACAAAAAAACAAAAAACAATGCTCAAGCACAGATATGAAACATGCCAGGCAAATTATGACCGAACGATAGGTATTTGCAAACAAAATCATTAATCATAAATCCTACCAAACGCTTACTTACAGAAATATCGGCAATATAAGCTTATTTGTCAGTAGCCTGCCTTGGCTTAAAATTTGATTGTACTCATTTCAAGTTTGAAAAACATAAACACTATATGCAGGAGTGAGAGGAATATAACTACATAATTAGATGAAGTTGGAGATGAAAAAGTCTGAAGTAATCCCATTCCTTTAAATACTTGAAGTTTAGTTGTAAGTTAACCATGTACGTCTGTAATCAGTTTATATTTCAAAAATTTTATTGTATAAAACTAAATGTACATTACCAAATTCATACTATATGAAACAAAATTATATTTAAAAAATATTTATATAACTGTTACTATAGGGCTTGAAATTGTTAAGGTCTATATTTGAGTATTTTGATGGAATGCAAATATACTTGGATTTTCAGATATTTTTTAGTCCAGGTTATGATGTTTCTGGTGAGCCTTTGGTTACAAGGGAAATAGAAATCCTTTATTTTTCATCCTCCATTTACAATGTAAAACACACCTCTATTGACGGGTATAAGTAACCTCATTCTATCAAATATCTTTAGTTAGTTTTTTTAAAGTTAAAAGTGTTAAATTTGCTTTGTTTACATTATTGCTTTTGAAATTTAATTTTTTTTTAATTACTACACATCACACATTAATTAATAATCTGTCAAGACAGGGAGGCAAAATATAAAAAAGAGGTTCTTGGTCAAATAAGATATTTTTTTAAACAAATAATCACAGAATAAAGCATTTTAAAAAGATAGAAAACCAAATCAGTTAAAGAGAATTTTTGGAAGATTTTAGGATCTAATCAGTTTGAAACGTGTATAAAATACTCGTGCCCCAGCTCAAACAATATTTTTAAAGAGGCATTGTCCCTAATCAAGACAAAAACAGAAAAACAATAATTCCGTGACCAGATTTTCTTTGTCAATTAATTCCCTTCGTGCCAACGCCCAGAGCCTAAGATACTTACACAGGATGTAGGGCTGGAAGGCTGGTTAGGATATAAATACGGTAGAAGTCGTCTCCTTCCTCGTGGTTTCAAACAGTACTCACATCATCTCTATACTGGGAACAACCATGGCCAGTAAGTAAACACATACTCGGTTTTACATTTTGGAATTTCACTTACTTTTACTTACAAAAAATGTATATTGTACATCTTGCACTATTTTGTATTTTTCTCTGATGTAAAAAAGTTTTTTTTTTGTATACGTGTAAAGAGCAATATTAATTTGAGAAGAATGTTTTCTGAAACTTTAATTTTTTTAATAATTTGTAAGGGGTTTGCTGTTGATAAAATGAATTTTTTGGTAACGTTAATCAAGTGCCTGATTTTAAATATACTCACCTGGTTAAAAGTTAAGTTGTCTTAAAATTGGAGAAAGATGCAACAATTTGGATAAATGAATACTATATATATAGCACTGAATCTGATTCTTTTTACGTCCAAGTTACGTACACTTTATATCAAATAAACATCAGAATGGCATGGACATATTATTTCGCCTTCTAACCTGTGTAATTATAACTAATAAGCTCGGTTCTTATACCGCCTAGAACATTGTCAGAGGCTTAAAAACTCATTATTTTATCTGATCAACTTTTGCACGAAATACGTAACATTGGAGTTGCGGTTCTTAATCTGCTTTTTGATGCAAATTAATCTGAATTTACTAGAAACGACAATTGGCGAATCTTACAAGATAACTATATATCTTACTTTACGTGTGTTAAATAACTCTAATCAATAAAAAAATCCTAGCAAATTGATGATGAAAAATGGTCTAGAAAAATAGGACAAATACTATAAAAAGACACATGTTAAACTCGCCAAAAAAAGAAGAAGACATTTTTTTTTGTTTTTCAAAGGAGGGTCCTAGTAAATATTCTACAAATAACAAGATTTAAATGGATTTGATGCCAAACTTCAAAATATAGCAAAATAGAGATGCTTACTTTCTTGCATTTTCTCTTTGTAGCAACAGCCATCTTTTCGCCATCTGCTGCGGTTACTGACGTTTTTGAGAATGAGACGACTACACACGTCTTTGATACTTATAATTTCTTCGTTCATCCTCACTGGTACCAGTTCCCTCTGGTCTCTGACACGTGGCATTATGCCATTGGTGTATTCATCTCAATTGTCGGCATCGTTGGAATTTTTGGAAATGCCACCGTCATATATATTTTCAGCACGTACGTATAATACGTAATTCAGAAATTCCGAGTATTTGTACTAATTAATTTCATATAGTTTGTTTGTTTTTCCATAACCAACTCGGTCAATCTAGCTACAATATATTTTTAAACGCCTGGTTTTAACATAAGCATGGACTTATTGATAGACCTGACAAATAAATTTCATTTTATTTAGCACCAAAAACTTGAAGACGCCATCCAACATGTTCATTGTAAATTTGGCGCTGAGCGACCTGATATTTTCCTTGGTGATGGGATTTCCTCTTCTAACCATATCGTCATTCAACAAAAAATGGATCTGGGGAAATACAGGTACTAAGCAAATATTATAAGTACCTTTGTACGTTGTAGATCTTCATGCTCTTGAAAACTGAAATCCTTATAATGAATGAGATAAATTTATATTTTGTAGCGTGTGAGCTCTATGGACTTATTGGTGGTATATTTGGTCTTATGTCCATTACCACGCTGTCCGCCATCAGTGTCGATCGATACTATGCCATTGCACATCCTCTCCAAGCAGCCCATAATATGACAAGGAGGAAAGCTTTCACCATGATTTGTTTGGTCTGGGTATGGTCTCTATGCGCCTCTTTGCCACCTCTCTTTGGCTGGGGTGCGTACGTAGCGGAAGGATTTCAAACGTCCTGCACTTTCGATTACCTCACCACAACTCCAAGCAATAGGACATACATATTTTTCCTATATCTCTTTGGATTTGCCGCTCCTGTATTTGTAATTGCAATGTCGTATATTTTGATCCTCAGAGCTTTGAGAAAACACGAACAAAAAATGCAGAAAATGGCAGCCAAAATGAAGGTTGATGACATTAAAGCAAATCAAGAGAAAACCAAAGCTGAGGTAAAAATTGCAAAGATCGCCATTATGATTGTGGCCTTGTTCCTGTTGTCATGGAGTCCATATGCTACTGTGGCTTTGATTGGTCAATTTGGTCCAACAGAATGGGTCACCCCTTTCCTCTCTGAGCTGCCTGTCATGTTGGCAAAGGCTAGCGCCATGCATAATCCAATCGTCTATGCTCTAAGCCATCCTAAATTCAGAGAGGCTTTGTACAACAAAGCCCCAAGAATTTTCAGTTGCTGCAAACCTCCAGGCAAATCAACACCTTCAGCATCAAGAGCAACAAATGTAAGCCGAACCATGAGTGGACTCAGTGACACTGTGGGAGGTGGTGCCAGTGACGTCTCTAGCTGTGTAAGTAACCTTAGTGATGTACACGACAACGCCATCCAAATGCGCAGAACCGGAAAAGGCTCAGACAACCAAGGCACAGACAACAGTTCGACACAGCTGATTCAGAGTCTAGTGCAAGCACTCGTTGGCGTAACAAACCAGCAAAACAGACAAGTGGTATATCTTCCAAGCGCAACACAGAGTTCGCAAAGTGCTCAGGGTGCGGATCCAAATGGCGTGTTCATGGTCGACAACGGAGGACAGAAGATCGATATAAAGACTTATTTACAAGAAATAATGGCTGCTGAAAAGATTGCAGCAGCTGTGGATGATTCCAAGAAAGATAATGTCGAGATCAAAGACGAGACCAACGCATCAAACGAGAAAGAAGTGGAGAAAATAGCAACTCAGGCAGTATGAATAGTTCGAGTAACAGCGAATAGAAGAATTATATCTACCTTTTGATACAATTTGCATGCTGAAGGGTTCGTATTGTTAAAAATGAATATGCTGAAAAATCGACAATGAATAAAAAACCACTATGAATTTTCTTGGTGTTTTCGACACTTTTTTTTCTCTTGCGAAAGGAACCCATAGTTTATCATCATTTCAGTACGGAAAAAAAGATTGTGGCCAAATCTTACACTACTATATAATGTATAACAATCTTTTTCAGATATGTTTCCGTTACTTATAATAATTTTTGTTGTTAGCGTCCATCTTACTGATTTCGCAATGGTACTAATTTTAAAAAGTGATTTGTTATGTCATCTTGAAATTACTGTATCATTCTATCGCCTTGAGTACATGCTAGAATATGTTGATACTTTCGTGAAAATGTATAATAATTTGTGCTTTTAATATTTTTCATATAGCATAAGCTCTTTAATTGGAGAATGTTTTGGTTATGCAATAAGAGAGGGCAGTGACAAACTACTTGTAGTTGTTTCTCATTATCTTTATGTTGCATTTTTAACGGATTTCTATTTTTGACCGTCAACAAGGTATCGTTGCTTTTACGTGGCATTCATCAGTGTGTCCAGGTTGGATATTTTTTCTATATTTAGCGATCTACCTGCGTGTTCGATAATTAATACCTGTATTCATGCAATGTTTTAGACTTTAAATATTTATTTTTGAAACTTCATCTTGTTATATAATTTTTGGAAAATGATACATTTGAAAAATCATTTATTGTACAAGTTTAATGTTTCTGTAATAAAGTTGTCTTTATTTTTGTTTCCTTTGTTTTCTTTGCATATTAAATACACAACACTCCAAAAAGAGTATTCACCTATCTAAACGATTTTTTCAATGTGATACCGGTATCTGGTTTCGCCAATGCCGATTTCCATAAAACAATAAAAAAAAGACACTTAATATTGTTATTCAATGAAAAAGAAACAGGATATTATGGAATTTTCGATATAGTGATTAAGTCAATAATAAAAATGGATTTGAATAAACAGATTCTCAGCACAAAGGGAGGAATTGTACATAAAGGTTAAATAACTACCGAAAATAAAACATCCTGATATAGGTAATCAGGTGATCCGCCAAGGTGTTAGACGCCCACGGATGTAAGAAAGATCTTCTCAGATAGGTATGCAAAGTCTTTAAATCCATTTAAAGTTAAATGATATCTATAAGGTAATCTGGGCCCTTTCCATATCAAACAAGCCTAACGTTAAGGTTTGACTTATATATCTAGGTAAATAGACGAAATTCAATCAAATCCCTCATTTGAGCAGTTTACGCAAATCAACATGTTTTAAAGTTGGCAAGAATTTTAACCAAAATTTAAAATCTGTTGCAGAATTTTCTTTTCAGAAATGCTGATACATGTATAGCAAGTGGCAAAAGTTAGTGTATTTTTAAAATTTTTGAAACCACTGGTATAAGTTAATGAGCTCACTGTAGTGACCCGGTGATCTAAAAAACATTTATTCTTACACGATTAATTAAAGCTAGATTAAATCGTAGTTTGGCAGCTATCATTAAAATGGGAGAAAGCTATTAAATGTAGATTAGCCCACTTCACCTAACAGTGACCATTAAAGTTCTATGACCTTTGCTCTCACGATTGTCCATTTCGAGAAACAGAGAATATACGTTCTAAAGAATGAATACAGGTTCTTCTTGTCAAGAAATATAAAAAAAACTATTTAAGAAAACACATTAAAATATTTAAAGATTCTACGGGGTATAATAAAAATTATCTCAATTAAAAAAAAATTCAACTAAATACACCCCATACATTATCTTAAAAATGGTGTCACTGAAATGACGTTTTTCATTTATCCTTCAATAAATTTACATCAATAGAACAGTGTATTATTTAGATACAAGTTTTCAATACAGAATTTTATTCTTAACTGTACAAATACATTTGATCAAATGATTTTTTTCTTGTCCAAATTTAGGTACCTATATCATTACTAGTCATGTTAAACAAACTCAGACTATTTGTATCAAGGAATACGGAAATATTGAGACTTAAAACAATTTCTTCAAGGCAGATGAAAATTGGTGTCATTAAAGAATGTCATTAATGGGTGAATGTGATTAAGTCCTGATTGCCTTCTTGCTTCCAGTGGAGATTCCTGTTTTTGCGGAACATCTCTTCTTCCTTCCATGGTTCTTCTCATTTCCTCTTTTCTTACCAAATATACTGGCGAACGTGGAGTCTTTCTTGGTGCGCATACGCGGCATTTCTACATTATGCGGACTTTCTACTATAGTGGGTCGGTAAGATGAAGTGTTTTGCTCTGCTAGAACTTTCATAAAAGATCCTATGGTGGCATTATGACCAGGTTTGGGTGGTTTTGTTTCGACCTTCGATAAATCGGGTTGACTTTTGTGGAATTTCTCTGGCTCTTTTATCCTTGCCCCTGGGGTTAAAGAAAGCAATGATAAAGTTTGATTAGGATGAATCCTGGGGGTCTCCTGTGGCGTTTCCTGTAGACTCTGAGGGTGTGACCTAAAAGCTTTTGTAGGTTCAGATTTAGAAAATGGAGGTGCGGTATGGTGTCCTCGTATTTGCTGTGGTTGTAAGCGCAATGGTGGGTCCTTTTTCACAACAAAATACGTTGTCTTGTTATCGTCTTCTGTGACCGCTTCCGCCACGGGGGCGGATACATGTATAATAGGTGTTTCGTAGTAATTGTGATGTAGCCTTAACAATCTGCTGCTGCCTAGAATGGCAGCTCGTTCGTAGTTAGATTTCCGTCTAAGGTTATACTGTTTTTCCTTCATTGATTGGCCTATTTCGGACCACTCCTCAGCACTTCTGAAGGTGTAACTGTCGGACTGACCTGGGCAGGCCCTGCCCTCCTTTTGAAGAATGTCAGTGATCTCTTTGTATCCTAGTCTTTTGGCATGAAGGTATGGTGTAAGTCCTAAGTTGTCAGAAACGTCAACAGACAACCGAAAACGACGAAACTCTTCCACTAATCTTCTAACTATTGTAACGTGACCACCTTGAGTGGCGTGGTGGAGGACCGTCATTCCCTCTGTATCCTTATCGGTGAGGTCATGGTCACCGTTCAGTATCTCTAGCAACAGGTCGACCTGTTCTGCACGACCTAGAATAGCAGCCCATGAGAGCAAAGACCTTTTGTGCTTGCAGTCTTTATGCTTTGGATCTGCTCCTTTTGATGTCAGATAGCGAAACATTTTTCTACGTTTTTCGTCACAATCTATGTGAAGGGCACCAACAAGAACACTGTAGCCGTAATTATTTCTGCTGTTAATTTTGTATCCTCCATCAAGAATCAGCTTTACTTTTCTGAATCTTCCCTTGACTGCCGAATGAAAGAGATTATTGGCCATGCATGCGTTTACCCTGTCCACTCCAGAAGATCTGGATGATTGGCTAGAGGTCCGACTTCTTGTACGAGTCATTTCCGGTGATCTATTCTTTATCGTCTCCGATCCGAGCACTTCCCTGACCTGGTTCACATCCCCTACTTTCTCCATCTGATTCACCAATGATTTCACTTCAATAACCGTTTCCTCTCTGAGAACCATTTTGGAAAACGTTGTCGTGTCTCTATATCCTTCTATTTCTTCCCTGACGACAGTTCGCCTTTTTCGACTATATTTGACATGAATATGTCATATTAAAGAAATGAATATATAAATCTTCTTAAAATCCCTTAGACGTAGCAGACATTAATAAAGTTTCAGAAATCCATATCACCATGCAACATACTCAATACACACTTTCAATGAACATCCTTAGTCCACCGTATAAACGACTGCCCGACAGCCCTTTCACTTCCACAGAACCTGTTAAACTACACAGTTATTTTCTTTCATAAAGTTCTCATCTCGATAAAGTCTACATTGCTCAAATCCTCTTACATTCATTTTTCTTTGGTATTTAAAATCCGTCGAAACGCCGTTCAGGGTCTGTGTTTGATATGTAAAATTTTCACGTATCGAATACTCTCCATAATAATAGAGCTTTTAACAGCACCTTGATTAGGTAGACTGAAAACTCTGTGAACTGTTGAAGTGTTACATCAACCTCGCCATATTGAGAGGTCAATACTTTCACCTGATCATGGAAATTAACATGTTCTCTTCAGAGAAAAATAGCTTAAAGTTCCGGGCAGATTTTCAAAATAATTAGCTAATTACAGGTATCCATTACAAAAAATACGAGTGCCAGAAGTAGCAAAACGTGTTTTCTGATCGACTAGTTAAAATGTAGAGGTTATGGCCTTTAAAAGCAATAACCAAACTTGCATGAAATATTCAATCTGCGATTTTACTTTTAAAATATGATCTTGTTAAATGGCTGCGTTATTGCTGAGCTGAAGTTTCTAATTTACGATACAGTGCTTCTAAAATAACCTTTGGTCCTGTTATTGATTCAAACCATTCGTGATGATTATTTGTGAAAACAAAGTTCAATACGCTATTCAATGCAGTTATCGATAAGTCCGTATATTAAAGTAGATAATTTCCCTGGTGTTAAGGCTGTTTTTGCTTCATTAAACTTTATTAACAGAGCGGAGCAGAGAAACGGAAACAAAGTATCGAGAAGCCAATGTCATCATCGAAAGAAAAAGCCAAATTTATACATATACGTATTGGCTAAATGTTTTGCGTAGATAAGAACTGGAAAAAAATAGACAAAAATCACTAGTACAGCTTTATCCTTAGACCTATTTTGGTAAGATCTTCTATGTATCGTCTGAGGCAAAGGCAGAAATATCAGTTACTACGTGAACAAAAATATATGTATATGAAAAAACAAAAAAGCCAGTTCATTCTTTCTTTGATTATCTAAAGTATAATTTAGGCATATTTTGTGCGAGGTTTTGTCACTTTATTTTAGTTTGATGGGACTTTCTCCCCAGAATGTTCAAAGATCTACAAAGGGCTCTCTTGCAGCGCTTACCCGGTGGAAAATGTCGCTTTCAAAACGATGATAAATGTCCCGATTATATTCGATTTGCCAGACCGAGATAAGACTTGATTTACTCTCCAGATATTAGATTATGTTTTGTTGCAATATCTAAAAATGAACTTGTTGATTATTTAACGGACACCAGAGTTTACACAATCATTTAAATTTTCACAAGTTATGGTGGCACTAATCAATAAATGAACATGTACACAAAGGAAGGGCTCGACATATATTCTCAGTATTATACGCTGTTTTAATATGATATGTAACTATTTTCTTATTTGAAATTTTGGAAGTCAGTGATTACAATTAATATCAAAAGAAAGATAAAATATGCATTGTAAAAAGAATATAACACTAAAATTCTAGCAAAAAATGTCATCATGTAATCTATATGAAATAAATGTACAGACTTTATATTCCAACATCAGGAAAAAGTCTGAAGTATTATTTTCACATTATACGTCTCTTTTGTGGAGATATTTCCTCTGCAATATATATGCAGTATAGAGGAATTGTTTGAATATAAAGGCAAAATATTTGTGACAGTAATTTTGTTTTAATTTCTTTTTCAATAAAGAATTAGATAACTTTATTCTCTCTTGCAATGAGAATTTTTTTTCTGGCTCACATAGGTTATTAGTCCCCTACCGGTGAAACCGGAGGGGACTATAGGTTTCCTCTGAGTCTGTCCGTCCGTCTGTCTGTCTAGCTGTCTAGCTGTCTGTCTGTCCCTCTGTCTGCCTGTCAGTCTGTCCCACTTGGTTTTTCCGCACTTTTTTTCCTAAACGCTTGCAGATATTGAGCTGATTTTTGGTATGAGAGTGTATCTTGATGAGTTACAGATCGAGTTAGCATTTCGTTCCGCTTCATTGATTTTTGACGGAATTACGGCCTTTTCAATTTTTAAGGGTTTTCCGCAATTTTCTCTTAAACGCTTCCAGATATTGAGCTGATTTTTGGTATGTGACTTTACCTTGATTAGTTATAGAAAAAGTTTGCATTTCGTCCTGCTTCATTGATTTTTGACGGAATTATGGCATTTTCAATTCTTAACGGGAACCAGATTACACTTGCCGGTAGGGGACTAGTATTGCTAATGCAATACTCTCAGAATGCTTGTTATCTTAGGTACACAATTATCTTCTAGAAAGAAAAAAACGTTTCTATTTAAAAAAGATACCTGTTGTTTTTTTTTAACAGATAACTCTCTTTTCATTCAGAGGCTCATCTTGTACATAAATATTTCGCTACTCGAGGATTTAAATATGAATAAATAATTTTATATATCCTAAATCACAGACATATTTTTGGGGAAGAACTCTCCTTAATGGGTATGCGATTGACTTATCTACTAGTATTAGAATCAAGATGTCTCTGATTAGTGAAGATGAAGTAGCTTTAATATACATTATCATCAGCAATAAATAGTGATATGGCCTCTTGCGAGTTTGTTTTTGAATATTTATCAGTATTTGACGTATGTCTTTCTTCGTTGGTTAATGTCCATGAATAAGAATTTAATTGAACGTGCATGTCTAAAATATTTTTTCCTGTCACCAAAAGTCCATAACGTTGTCAGCAAAAGATTAATAGAAATTGTTGATGAAAAATTTTAAAAGATTTCATATATGATTATGAAGGTCAGAGTACAAGTTGCTTTCCTTCAACCATTTAGTTTCTGTCCGATTGACAGTTATTACTATTTAAAATCAATCATAGGTTCTATTCAAATTTCGTAAATTACAACATGCCATTTTTAAACTGCACTTTAGACATACTTAAACCCCGGGTAATAACTTTATGACTTTTTGTGGTTTTTATTTTTTAAATCGTCAAAAAAATATAACGTCTTTTAAAATTTGATTTTATTTGTATGAACCCATCCTAAACATGCTGAATGGCAAAATAAACAGATCTGCGTATTTGAGCTCTATTTTTCTGGGGACCATAGAATTCATTTGGACCAGACGATATCATGAACGACATTTCTCAGGTTTAAAGTAAATTAATGACTGAGTCTCTGTTTGACAGATAAACAGATATTGTAAACAAAATGGCGAGATTTCCATCGCCTAACTCCAAAAGTAAACAATTTTTTACGATTTAAGTCAGTCACTGATACACGGCTGTTGTCATACTTCAAAGGAAGGTATTTACTTGGATTGGTTCATTCAAAGTCAGTGTTTGCTATAACCAATTAGTGACTGTTACAGGATTAAATTTCATTTAATTTTTTTTATCTTTTTTTTTAATCTGTAAAAGAAATTTGAAAAGTAGTTAACCCCTTTTGTCTTATCTTTAATTACTTTGTAATAATTCATCTCTTCTGATGCACACCAGGTTAAGATCTGTGTAAACAGAAGACACTTTGACCTGTAATTTCATTAGTTGCATCAGAGTACTAAGGAATACTGAAAGCGATACCTTGGCCCTGAGAGCCCCCCCCCCCCAATTTTTCCGCCGAGACGTTCTTTTACTCTTTGATAAGAGACATAACTCTCACTGCAATTTAAATTTCCCTTGTAATTCAATGGTGATTCCTGTCTGCACCACAAGGTTTACTGAAATTGTTTGCAATTCAATTTTAGTATATCTTGCGTGCAAAATTTAAAAAATGAAACTTTATCTCACTTAATATCCACATATGTGGATTTTATAATAAGTGCTTGAACAAGAGGCCCATGGTCCACAAGGCTCATATAAGCCTCCTTGGTCCTTTTGTTCTTCAAAAGATTTTTCCCTCTATATTTTCCATGAAAAATATTTATCCCAAATGGCCAATTTGTGGTGCCACTCTAGTCCCAAGGGGTTCTGATAAAAATTTTAAATGGTCAAAATTTAATTCACATTGTTCCTGAGAAGAATTTTAAAAACTTTTCATATTGCATATAAAACTTTGATTCTCTATGGTCGTCCCACCCTACCCGTGATTTGAAAAAAAAAAAAACGAATGAATCTACACTACCTAAGAATGCTTGCATCTTTATATGATAAATCATAACTTTGGTGTTCTTGTGAAGGTATTTAAAACTATAGTAAAATATTTCAAATTGAAAACATCGATTTCGGCTATTTTGGCTCCGGTCCGCCCTACCCCCTGAGGTCATGATTTGAACAAACCTGTTCTTGAGAAGAATTTTTTAAAATGATTTTCTTCTATATTTACCCGTTAAACTTTGATTCCCTAGTGTGACCCCACCCTACCTCCGTGGGCACAATTTGAACAAACTTAAATCTACACAAACTGAGGATGCTTACATATTACTTCCACTAACCATTGCCTTCATTTTTCAAGGATTTTTTCCCTATAACTGTGATGCACTATTGAGGTCCCACCCTACCCTCAGGGGCATTGTTTCAAACATATTTGAATCTGCACTACCTGGGGGTGCTTGAAAGTACGGTAATTCATGGCTATGCTGTTCTTTAAGAGGAGGTTTAATGATTTTCCTCTCATATTTTCCCTTGTAAAACATGATTCCATATTGCGGTCCCATCCTATCCCCTGGGGTCATGATTTGAACAAATCTGAATGTGCACTCCCTGAGGATACTTGCATATTGATATGACTAACCATTGCCCTGCTCTTCTAGAGAAGGTTTTTAAAGATTTTTTTCCTTTGTATATACATGTAAAACTTTGATGACCTGTTGCGGCCCCACCCTGACTTGAACAAACTTGAATGTGCACTATGCCTATAGAAAGCTTCCAAATAATTTCATCTTTTCTGGCCCTGCATGTGGTTCTTGAGAAAGATGTTTAAAATGACCCCAACCTATTTTTGTCTTTTCTTAATTATCTACCCTTGGAAGACGGCCTCGCCCATCATTTAAATAAATCTCAATTCACATTACCCAGTAATGCTTTTTGTCAAGTTTGGTTAAATTTGGCCCAGTGGTTCTGGAGAAAAAGTCGAAAATATTAAAGTTAACAGACGACAGGTGATCAAAATAGCTTAATTGAATCTCCGGTTCAGGTGAGCTAAAATGTTATTTTGAAATGTAGGTCATATCCGAAAATTTATAGTTTTATCCACAGGCCTTTAGATAGCTTTCATCTTGCGGACAAACTTGGAGTAAAAAGAAAGAACAACCCTAGTTTGTCAGTTAGATATAAGCGATCTAAAGGCCTGTTGTTTTAACCCTAATGCAACCTACGTGCAACTTTAGTCATTGCTTAAACTTACTTTGGAATGAAAATAAATCTTTCAGAAATCTTTAATCTGTTCTCTCATCTGAATAATACAAGTCACATGGAACATCTGGAGAATCATTTAAAGAAATATACATCCTCATCTGGAGCATATATGTAAGTTTGGTGAAAGAAAAACTTGTTTCAAAATTCAAATGTTCCAGTTTCTACAACATCCGAAGCCAAATATTCATCCTTAATGATGTTCATTTAAGTTAAACTAAACTTATAGCCACAAACTTAGAATTGACCTGTTCCAACGGCGTTTATATCTAATAATACATTGGTAAATGTATGCAGCATCGGAAGCATTTGAAGTATCCATGCAACACGCTATAGACTAGTAATGCTTCTGAATGGAAGTACATGTACTGAAAAAAACCCATCTATTGGCTCAGTGAGAATTTAAGTCACATACATTAAACCTCTGACTGGTAGATACAACATAGATCTATATGCATTTTGCATTAGTCACAGTATGACTTACAGTAATCTGGGAGTTGAATGCTTCAAAAAGATCCAGGTGATCATATGTCACATGGAACATTAAAACCACGACAGAAATATAGTCCTGATTACTCATCCATAAAATATAGGTCATATGTAAAATCCAAATCAAACTTCAAAGATATAAGCAGTATACATCCTTATTGATACTGTAATTATTCATGCAAGTTCAGCATAGAATTATGGCTGCTTGGGAATTTAAAGGACTTTGAACCTGAACACTCATCGGGATTTACAGCATCTGAAGCCCGATAACTTTTATATGGACCAAGCCCTTCTGAACCATAAAAAGCCCAGTGGAAGAGATGAAAAAGCCAAGATTTTCCTGCACTCCTACTTGTCATTGTCAACGAAAAAATAAATCTTTTGATACCACTTATAATGTAGAACGAGGTCTGATGAGAAGCTTAATTTTTAGACTATTCTTTTTAATACTCCCCTGTGCCATAACTGAAGTTTCCAACTCCATGATACATGTACATATACTACATGACTAATCATATGCAAAAAGAATTTTTGGCAGCCTCCAAAAATGTAGCTGTTCTAATACAAGAAAGAGTGACAGGAGGATGGACAGAATGAATAGTTCTGCTCAAAGTGAAAGTACAACTGAAATATGGAAAGATTTTAAAGAAGTTGTATAACAAAACCTCAACACGTAGATACATATGTTTATCATTCTTAAATATTTATTCAAATCATCAAATACTTTTGGAAAATTCTATTGTTGATTCCATAATTTTATATTTTTAACTCTTAGTACCCCCCCCCCTTTATTTTGAAAGAAGAAAAAGCATTCTAATTGAGGTTTTATCAAAGTCACAATACATATATTAGATTTTCAAAACATTGTTGGCTTTGTGTTTAAAACTTCGGATTCAGTATAATATATGTACTTAATTCGAGTTTAACAAAGAAGTTTGTTTATTGACTTTGTAGTTTGATATTGCAAAGGGGAAAACTAATCGTAATTAGGAAGATATCGACTCACACACACACACACACACACACACTTACACACACACACACACACACAAGAGGCCCAACGGCCTTAATGGTTATATAGGAATAATACAACACTGTAAAGGATTCAAAGAAGTATGAAATAAAACAAGATAAACTGATAGAGGAACACTTTGCCCAAAAGCAAGGATGTACATGGATGGACAAAATAGTTACCGCTAGTCTAGTGCTCAGTACTAAATCTTAAGTAGATCAATTCACTTGCCCATACTTGCCGGTGCTAATACACTCTCATTTTCATTATCACCATGCAGACTTCGCTTGGTTTTTGAAGAATATTTAACGTACAAAGAAAAAGTATTTTTGTCTCATTTTTATTTATCTATTATTTACAAGTTTACCTGGCCATTAAAAATATGGAAGTTCTTTTTTGTATTATTCTTCAATTTTTTGTATAATTCTTGTATTCAGTTGACCTAACAATTACATTATTTTTAGTGATTAATTATCATAGTTGAATAGCAAAGGGGAATAACTCTCTCAGTGCAGTACAAATATCCCTACAAGATAATAAAACCCTGCCCAACACCAGAACAGTTAGTCCAGTGGTCCAGTAATTCACAAATCTGGTAAAAACACCCTTGCTCGTTTCAACTTTGTACTCCGTTTGCCTCCTAAATGCCCAGGAGCAGAGAAGATTTTCGAAGACTTAATCCATTATCACTAAATAATCAACATAAGAACCCCTTACCCAGGGGCCATGAAATTCACAAATTTGGAAGAGGCACCTTTGCTCATCATAACCAGGCACTTCGTTTGCTAAATACAAAGGGACAGACATGAAGATTTTCAAAAAAAAAATAATGTATTTTCACTATATAATTAACAGAACACCACCCTAACACTAGAACCCCTGGCTAAGGAGCCATGAAATTCATAATTTTGGAACAGGCACCCTTGCTTACCATAACCATGCACTTAGTTTGTCTGCTAAATATACAGGAGAGAGAGAAGATAAACTTTTTGAAGAATTTATGCATTTTCACTACATGATCAATAGAGCCCCGCCCTAAATCAGGAACCTTTGATCCTGGGGTCATGAATTTCACAAATTTGGTAGATCGAGGGCTTAATGCTTATTACAATTATGCCAACAATTTGACTGCTTTATGTCAAGGTGTAGAGAAGATTTTAAAGACTGCATTAATTTTGAAGGTGTTAGCCCCCACCACTCAAGCCCGAGGGGATGGGGGAAGAAATTCTAAATTTTTGTAACCCCTTACCCATAGGTACTTTATGCCGAAATTGGTTGAAATTAGTTTTGCGGTTCCAGAGAAGAAGCTGGAAATGTTTAAACTGATTAACTGTCATTTGATTAAAAAAAAATAAATATTCTAATTCTCCTGCAGCATAAAAAAAAAATCACAACAAAACAAACAACAAACAAAAATATGGGATCAACGCAGGATTTTCTGCAAACTTGTTCGTAAATACTATAATTCACTCATGATTATAATTGGAAGATAATCATTTTAAATTAAGCAAGTATTGTCAGTTGCATTTATCTGTTACAACTTACAAGTGAACTTTTTATAATGTTTACAGACTCATCAGTTGCTCTGAAACAGGACGAGTGGCATGATCGTGACCTTGAAGAAAAAAGTTAAAAAAAATTAAATATACAAAGAGAATTATTTGCACAAATAAAATATCGAGTTTCGTCCTCGGGTAGATTGAATGGGGTCGTATGTTAGCGGTAGCTCAGTGCGCTGGATCGAGGCAAACTCGTGGTTTTAACTAGAAACTAGGATTCATAGTACAAAAGCCTTCAGAAGCAGTGACAATTATATACATCAGTTTTGACAGCTGTTAGGAAAAAAATACAAGGTGGTTGTTTGCTGCTGATACTGCATGAACATTTGGTGTAAATGAACGATTTTATTGTTAGAGGATCCGTACAAGAACTTGGAAGAAAGTCGTAAAATGGGAAAGAAATCCGACAGTGAAATAAAACATTTTCTGTTCGAAAACCTCACTTTACTCTTGATTTTCACTGCATTGTCGCTGTTATGTCAGCTCACAACCATTGCGACACCGGGATGGATGAAGTTCCATTTGGAGTTCTACGATGACGTCATAGAGTCGTCTGCGACAAACGGGTCCACTGGTACTATATCTGACCTGTCGGCAGAAGTATCGGCTGGACTTTGGTTTTTTTCATTCTGCTTTGAAGGACAATACCAAAACGGAACTGAATTAGCCTGTTTTACAGAAACCTTTGTTGATTATGATAACAAACACCTATCTAAGTTTCACGTCCAACATCTTGAATTACTCAAAGAATTTTGCTGTAAGTAATTTCTTGTACTTTATATACCATTTCTTATTTGTTTTATAGTCTATGAATGCCCTTTTATGCTAATTTTACTTTTTCCAGTCAATGCATTAAGTGGCCTTTTGGAGTACCAGATTGAGGCATCCATTAGCATAGCCTGCCTCATGATAGGGTTAGTGTCGTTTCTTCTGTACTACAGACCGAAGGTTATAAGACGGGGATTTGGCATTGTAGCATGCGCTTGTTTTGCAGTTTCAGGTGGGGAATTTAATATTTTGCTGGGTGAAAAACCAAGTTTTCAATATACCGACGCATTAATCATAAAGACTTTGTACACTTTTTCAGCTATCATGCTATGGGTAGTTGTTGGTAAGATAACTACCATCACCCTCCAGATGAAGAAGACTTTCCAGTTCCCTGCAGCGGCGAGTCACGTGACTATTACCGTCCTTATCCCCTGGTGTCTGATTGTGGCTGGAGCAGCCGCCTTGATGACGTCATTCTCTACCATAACTTTTCTTGTCTATCTGGCCCAGGACAAAACACCAGATAATAAATACCACAAGACAGAAATTCGAGAGCCTATTTTACAGGACGACCATCTGCCGTGCTGTTCTCATAACAATAACCATTCAATACCCATGACACGTTTTAAGTAAACTTTAGATCACTTAAGGCTGCAACATTGGAAAATTTTAGTAAAAGAAATGCACTTAAACCGTTTACAATTTCTTTTTAACGACTTCTTTAACCAAGCAGACTTAATATCCACTTAAGAATGAATTCTTTAGTGAAAGAATTGGTATCCAAATTGATTCAATTGGAGATGACCTTGAAAAACGTCTGTATTTGTCCTTTGTGGCAACACATTTTTCATTCAGATAAAAGTACTGAAGCGTTACTATCTTTCTTAATCTGTGACGGGATTTTAAAGACATCAGATAGATTTTTCACTAATTAAAGAAAAGCATTGTGTACATAGTGATAAGTGAAATCGTGTATATAAATTTTATTAAAGTTGTATATTGCACTGTACAATAAATCATGTTTCATGTAATATGAATGCAACAACCCATGATGAATAAAACAAAACCAAAAAGGTTTTTCCTTAATACATTAATTGTAGCTGCTATTAGAGTATACACATGTACATATAAGTACTTTAAAAAAACTGAACGGAAGGACATACTCTAACATCATATGAAAATGGTTAAAGTCAAATTGTCATAAATTCCAAAGTGTCAAATCTGTTTGATACATGTCTTATTCAACCTTAGAAATGATAAATCATATTATCATACCATACAACTCAGATCATCACACTGTCTACTGCATGGACACTGGCAAGGCTAACTTTTCTTGAAATTTGAGTTAATTTGCGGTACATGTAAAGAGAGATATTTATAGTTCATTAACAAACTAGAATTAGGCTGTGTTGTATTAAAATGAATTGCTTAAACAGGTTATTGAGAGGATTGTAGTGCATATTATTAAAAAAAAATTCCCAAAAGTCAATTTCTGTTACTGTTGCTACAAAACATGACTATGGTTTACCAAACTAAAATTTACTGATGTTTTCAATACAGAGAAAACTTGCTCTGATTTAATCCCCATATTTGGCACTATTTGACATAACAAATGGTATCTGATTTCAATGTGAGCAATGCATAAAGAGTAGACTGAAATGGATTTTGAACCTTAATGTCACATACATGTCAAATGGAGAAAAAAAGTCTCTTCTTGTACAAAACCAGTGCTACAAGGACAAAGAATACTGTGCCCCATAAGTCCATAAAGAGTAGAGCAAAATGTTCAGAAGACACTTTCCAGCTGATTGGAAAATGACGATGTAAAACTTCATGTCCCATGTACAACAGAATAGGGTTCATACCTGGAAAAGGAAAATTTTTATACATTAATATTCCATTTATGCTGCTATTGAATAACTTACTCAGTCTTTTCATGAGTTACCAGGTATACACAAATTTGTATTAAACATGTTCACTTTGCAAAACTTTTGATCCAAATCACTTGAAAAGTGCAAGTGTACTTTGTTAATTTCTTGTTTGTCAACAATTTTTCTAATAATTAAAAAAAAAGCATGTCTTGAAATAAATTGAATACCTTAACAAAATTATGTAACTGAGGATTTAGAGAAGTTCTGCCTTTTATTTTACAAGGAAAAAATTTAAATGGTAAGCATTATTGGGTAATTTAAGCTGCACTGTATTGCAGATAAAAAATGAAACTGCTAGTTGTATTTTTTTCCAAAGCAGTGCACATCTGTGTCATGATATCATTAACATCAGATGAAATAAAGAACAGTGAAAACCCTTGTTTTCTGGCTTAATTCCAGAGTGGATTATAAACATAATGCCCATAAGACAATGCTCACCTGAGTCACATTAATCATCAAGAATTAAAGCTTTTTAAATGGGCATGCAGATCTTTTTGATAACTATACCATTTTTCAACATAGCAATCAAAAACTTTAGTTTTAAAAGTAGAAAATGTTTTGTTTGGGGTCTCCATAGGACTTCAAACCAGTTTGTGATTTTAGCATGAAGCCAACCTGGAGAAGACTGAAATCTATTTCAAAAAGACTGAAAACTTTAGTTTACAAGGAATTTCAAAAAGTTAACAAATGACAAGACTTTTTTAATTAAACTGTTAGAAACGGAAGTGACTTGGCTGAAGCTGAAAATGAATCTCTCAACAAGACTGTAATGCCTAGCTTGGAATTACACACTTCTCAAAATCAGAAGCATCACGTTGGGATTTTAACCAATTCCTTTAGAAAGTAACAAGAAGTCTCCATATTCTGCATTTATATGTATATCAATGTACAAAATTTACACATTTGAATATAGAGAAATGTTAAAAAGTGCACCATTCAGAAAGACAACAAAAACTTTGATTGTATAAACTCCGCTTAATTTAGGTAAAAAGCAAATGCAAGGTATAATTATGGTACTTAGTGTTTGAGTGATACATAAAGCAGCATATCTTAAGGGCTGTATTCATAACAGATTTCAATATAAACCTGTCATTCAAAAGATATTTCTACATTTTTATGCTAAATTTTCTTTCTTGCAATTTAACTAGCCTTTCTTATGTAAGATTGGTACACTGCAATGATAAAAATTGCATTTGATTTCAGGAAAATGGGATGTTCAGTTTTGGGATTTGCTAGGGAGAGTTATATAATTGCAATTCTCACATATTAGTTTTCAAATGGCGATGTAAATCTTTTTACAATGCATCATGTAGGTAAAGAGACAAAAGAAGGCTGGGCCCCACAAGTGTAGTGCCAGAAGCTGCCAGTGGTTTTCATCCACCTTCCAACCAACAGGGAAAAAATTCTGATACGTAGTGTGGGCAATGTACATAAAAATGGAGTTCATGCCTGTCAAAGGACAAGTACCACAGAGCATTTTATCTAAATACTGTGTCATCAACAGCATATCTTATAAGATACATTTTATTTAATTAACTCCATATTTAAACTTCCAATTATATGTACAGTTAATAATTTTTTTGAGTATAAACTGATGTCACTATGTACATATATGTGTATATCAAGTATTTAATATAAGCATGTATATGTTAAAAAAAAATATCTTTATCTTTTAACAATGACTGTATCCCTCTTTTTTTTTTTTATTTATCTTTGAAATAAACATCTTCTCTTAATTTTAGTAATATATCAAAACAGCAATATTCTTGTGTAGTTGAAAAAAAGTGAATAAAATCTCTCTTTGTTGTACGTCTAACTCACTGATCTAATTGATAAAACTCAGAAGTTATTGTTGATGATTTACTTTTTACATTAATGTGTAATTAATGAAGATAATAGAAGAGGTGTTTAGCACCTTACCTGGGAAATAAAATGGTGCCCCACTCCACACTTTATAAACATCTATGGTAAGGTAACAAAATGCTAACAAGAAAAAGGCAAAGCCTGCCATGCACAGAACAAAAGATAATGACCTGTAAAAAATAGAAGTATAAATGAACTAGAAAAATCTTTTCAGATAATAATCATTGTTTGGTTATTTTCAATAATTCTGAATATGTTTTTTTTCAAAATTAATTCTAATGTCATTTTCATAAATCATCCATATTGCATGCACAATGATAAAAGCACAGATAATATATTAATGATATAAACTGAGATTCAGTCTTTTTATATGATGTCTTACCATAAATTTTTATTGATTGGAATTGCTCCTCCATCTTTTTTAAATTCACATAAAGCACCGGCAATTATACACTACAAAACACCATAAACATACATGTACATGTTGAATTCATGTCCCATAAAATGTATCATGAATCTCTTCATGAAGTGTTAAAACATTAATATAACCTGATTTCTAGTGTAATTCACATTCTCCACAGCTGCATCCATTTGCAAAGTTTTTTTGATTCTAGGCCTTAAAACTACATAAGTCCAGAAGGAATTTGACGTACTTGAACATATCATCTTAATTAAAGATCACAGCCACCTTAAAGTGTGTGACACGCCTACCTAAGATGCATTAACTAACCAGTTTGATTATTCTATGCCAAATAATTTTCCAATTAAGAACCAGAAGGTTTTGCCATATTTGACCTTAACACCATTATTTGTCACAGAGACTTATATTTCAAGTGTGACACACATTCCACCAAAAATGCATCAGTTGAAAAAATTTGATGATTCTAAGCCACATAATATTTAAGTTACAAAGCTAACAGATGAATAAGGATGGACATGCATGCCATACATACACCCCATTTAAAGGTACATGTATAAAATTTGAAAGGGAACGTTATCTACACTTACCAAAATTACCCCCCAAATTATAAATCTCTTCACTCGGGCTGCTGGCTCTTTATATGTCATCAAAATTTTACCAGCCTATATAAAACAAAAATATCATTTATTGTTGTAAGAGCAATGTAATTATAGTTTCAAAGCTGGTATAAATGTTTTTTTTTATTCCAAATTTGATGAATAGTTTTTTAATTTAACATAACTAATATCTATAACCAAATAAAGTTGAATTTATTTAACATACTAAAAATCATGCACCTGTAGTCTCTTACCTGTAACCCTAAAAAACACAAAAATATGGAATTCAGTGTTCCTAAAAGCCCCTCTGGATCATAAGGCACTGTGGTTTTATATATCTCCTGTAAATCAAGAGATAGATTGTTATCAGAAAACTTGATCCAACTTAACATCATTTAATACACTAAGAAATATATCTGTTCTTCAAACCTTGCATGTAGGGCTTTGGTAGATGTGTCCTTCCCCAAACACTTTTCTATCAATGTAGCCTGCAGCACCACCTGTACAGTTCATATGTTGTCCATTTTCATGTAGACCACCAGGTCCTACATATCCTCTGAAAGAAAACACAAGAATAACTTAAAACATCAATAAACACAACAAAGGAAGATTCTTACTTTAGAAAACAGACAGCAGTGTTCAAAATATTGTATAAAAACTGAAAAAAATTTCACTGTATAATTCTGTGGCCTTGATGCTTTATAATTGTCCTGGCAATGACACAACTCATGTTACAAGACACATTTACTCTAAACAATTCACGACCATGCTACATCTTCCCATCAAACACCTTAGTCCTACTTTTGATACATTATATAACAGCTTTTAATGATTTACATTTCCAAATTCTCAGCTTGTCAGGAAGCAGGCCAGACATATACAGTAAACCACAGTTGTATGTAGCAAACATGAATTTACACTTACAGGGAAGTGATTTTCATTTCAGTTTTAAGATGTGTTGTGAACAGATATATAGAATTACATTTGTAATGAATCAAAATTGTTAGTCCCTGGCACTTCACTATATTAAAAAGTTTTGCTGTATGCTGATCATGATCAAGGCATGAGAAACATGATTTTTTAAAATCCATTAACAAAAAAGCTCATGATTAATATACAACATTGCTCTCCTCTCTCTCTCTTTCTATCTTACTTGGGACAGCCCGGTACATCTAATACGAAGGTGATAACAATATGGGCAGTCACAAAAACGAGATAAAATATCCATTCCAGCCAATAATCCACAATGTCTCGGATAAAGCCCCAGTAGGTGTACTGAAAGTAAGGAATTAAAATTATCAGTTTGATGACTGCTTTATTTTTTACAAACAGGTTAATTCTTCACACTGAATGGATCCATCCTTTGTCCATATGATAAATATTTCTTATTCAAGTACCTTGTTTATCAGTTGAGTTTGAAAATCAGAACAAATGCTTAATTAAGGGAATAGCAAATTCTAGAAATAATAACTTAAAAAAAGCATATACATGTACATGTATACATATAGCTCTTTGGTACACTGTAAGCTGATATAAATAATTTTGAATCAACTGAGTCCAAAATAATAGGTACCAGTATTTTGCTTTAACCATCCTCTACCTGTATATAAATATGAAATCATTCATTAAACCGAGAAAACCTTGTGGATGTGATTCATATGATTATTTTGTTTCAAACTACTTCAAGACATATCATTTATTTTATTCTTTAACTTTGACCCTTGCTTTTGATTACAAATCTTCATTTAATATTCCCCTATGTGTGACTTGGGAATGGAGTCAACAGGCAAGATTTTGGTTATTGAGAGATATCAATGATACAGACATATGACTTTAATGATAAATCAATTGATATAAAAATACACTGTCATCTGCAGGGACCTTTACTCTCCCTGACAGGCAGACAGACAGATAAAGTGATGTCTATATATCCGCCATGCACGGGTGACACAAATAACATATGAAATTTGAGATTCCTTTTATTTTAAGTATAAATATTGCTGTTTCTTAAATAAATTCCACCTTGAAAGCTTTTATTTATCAATGTTTTAGTTTTACTATGCGAAACAATCATTTTTACTTTTTTATCAAGCCTTCTAAATTTCAAGCGTATGTCTCAGTACATCTTGCAAGACCTGCTGAAGAAGATGACTGGTTAACACACAGTTGTATTTTACCTTGTGCTAATGTATAAATTAAGAGCTAGGTTGTTGTTAATGAATAAAAATTCCATCTTATTCAAATTAAGTCAAATGCAAAAGCAATTTATTTTGCCCAAAGTGGCCCATGTCAAAAAAAATATATATTTATGGAGATCCTGTTGAATAGTAGCCCTCTCTTGAAAACATCAAATTAAAAATATCGGAGAGGGCTATATTGTTGAAGCTAATTTATGTATATCTAATCATCGGGCTCCAAAACTCAGCAAACCAACTTAACTTCAAAATCAAATTTGAAAGAACAAAACAAAACTTACTGCATACCTACCATGCTAACATCCACTGTTTTGGCAAAAAACATGTGAATGGATGCCACGACAAAGTATGTTCCAGCGAACCTCTGTAATACGCCAGGTATTCTCAGCTTAGTAAGAGCAGTAGCTGTCAAAACAAATAAAAACTGTAGATTATGATAAAAAAAAAACCCACAAAGTGTAGATTTTAACTTGGACCTAAGTTATATATGTCTCTAAATAAAATGTGTTTACCTTGTGAAGTGTCATTCAATATATACACATGTTAAAGATTTTATTCTTTGTTTAATTTTTTTTTCCTTTTTCACATGGGATTGATAGAATATTTACATCCAATGAATATTATGTCCTTTATTTCTTAAGAAAACCATTGCTGTTTATCTGTCAGTAAACAGCAATAAGCATATCACCTGTACAGATTTCTTGAGCAGTGGCTGTTCCATCAATGAAACTTACAATGACATATATATCAACAATACACTATTTCATCTACTAAATCCTACTTTCAATGATTATTTGTACAGATATAAGTATAAACAATAAAATGTCTTTCTTTGTTTGTTAGTATGGGAAATAACTATGCAGCTATTGCAGAAAAAAATTACATATGCATTTTTTCTGCAACAGCTGCAACATTAATTCCCATACTAACAACCAAAGAAAGCATTTTATTGTTTAAATAATTTTACTTCATATACATGTATATGCAAATTTTCTATAATTCAAGGCTAAAAATACTAGAAAGCTTAAGCATTTACTGAGAAAAGATTGTCAACACAAAGAAAAATTTCCTCTGTAATAAATTCCTACATAAGAAGTCTGTACAATGTAAGTTAGACCTTGCTAATTTGCTATGATTGTTTTAATGCAGATACATACCCTCACATCCTCCCGTGTTTATCAGTAAACCCAACACAAACAAAATGCAGCTCCTCTTAAATATTTTCCAGAAAATTTTGTGTTTGGGGGTGACTCTTCTTAACAGTCCTGTAAATGAGTACACCATGGCTGTGCCCATAATCCAAATAAACCTGCAATGTTACACAATCCAAAAATGGACTTTCAAATCTGCAACGCTTCCAAACTATGTTTAGCAAAGTATACTCATTTATTACAAAAAAATATGTAAATTTATTATTCATACAAAATCAAAATTAAATTCCCATATAAAAATCGAAACTTATTATTTTGCATGTTTTCTAACTTTATTTTAAATTCCTTGAGGGAATTAATTAAAAATATTGTAAATTACAAGAAAGAAAACAATCCTTTGACCTACACAATGCTGTTAAATGTAGCAAACAATATGCACCAATGTTTAGTAAATAGAAAGTGCAGCAAAACAGAAGATCAGTGAGAGGTACTTACTCAGTGATAGCGAGTATATATAGGGTAAGTAAAATACGAGTGAATTACCATGGAAACACAAGATCTGCCACAGTCAGACCATTCCAGTCAGAGTGGTCAAAAAACCAGTAGCCACCACCCCCATAGTTCACAAAATTCATGATGGTCAAACTGATTCTACAAGCACCACATGCAGACAAGAAAATTCCATGTATATTTACTGCTAATGAATCTAAATACTAGTGATGGCATAAAGGCTTTTACCGGTTAGTTAATAGAGAATAAAACAACAACTCAATGATGCAAGCTGTACTTGGTGAAACAAAAGCAATCACTGAATAATAAAAACATAAAAATACATAAGAGTGATTGTTTTATTAGTAGATTATAAATTGATATTTCTTAATCACTTCCAAAGCACTGTAGATTCCTAAATGTACGTTAAGAATTTATAAACACGTAATTTTGTGAGAAGCACATCTTGCGAAATAAAATTACTTGACAATACTTTTATTTTTCTATGGATGAAATGAATGTAAACAAGAGGCCCATGGTGACATTGCTCACCTGAGCACTTCGGCTACAAAAAAAATGAAATTAGTTCAGTACTAAAAAATTTTAATATAAAAGTGTTGCCCCACCCTACCTCGGGGGTCATGATTTGAAAAAACTTGATTCTACACTACCTGAAGATGCTTTTATGTAAAAATGACCAATCATGGCTTAGCTGTTATTAACAGTAAGACTTAAAAGATTTTCCTTATGTATTCCTATGTAAAAATTGGGTCACCCACTGTGGCCCCTCCCTACACCGGGGGTCATGGTTTGAACAAACTTGCTTCTACACTATCTGAAGATGCTTTTATGTAAATATGACCAATCATGGCTTTGCTGTTCTTGAGAAGAAGAATTTTAAAAATTTTTCCTATGTATTCCTATGTAAAACTTTTATCACCCATTGTGGGGGGTTCATGATTTGAATAAACTTGAATCTTTACTACCTCAGGATGATTCCACAAAAGTTTCATAAATTCTAGCACAGTAGTTCTTGAGGAGAAGATTTTTAAATGATGCCATAAATTTTCACAAATTTATAATTATCTCCCCTTGAAACAAGGCAAGGCCCTTCAAACTTGAATCTCCTTTACCCATGGATACTTTGTGGCAAGTTTAGTTGAAACTGGCCCAGTGGTTCTTCAGAAGAAGATGAAAATGTGTTTTAAGTTTACATCGATGACAACAGCCAATGGACAAATTTTGATCAGAATAGCTCACTTGAGCCTTCAGCTCAGGTGAGCTAAAAACTCAACATCAACAGTCCTCTTACAATTTCATATTCTCACGATTTGACATTTATGAGTCATTTCACAAAATTAAGTCCTCGCAAAAAATAAGGAATTTACAGTATAATGTAAGTTCAAAAGACTTGTATTAAAATGAAGTGCTCTCATACATCTCATCATATATGAAATCTGACACATTTACTTCAAAGTAATACTTCATTAGCATGTAGAAAATAATATAAAATACAGTAACATAAATCAAACACAGACTGTTAGTAAATGCAAGTCAGAGGAGATTGAAAATGATTGCTAATTCGGTAGCTATATATAGTCACATCAACACCAAAGCAAAGAATGACATCATGCATGTCTCACCATGGAAACACAAGGTCAGCAAATGTTAAACCATTCCATCGACTATGACGGAAAAACCAGTATCCCCCTCCGCCGTAATTAACAAATATCATAACGATTATACTAATCCTGAAAGTCAAAATTGTCTGATTATAAAATTAAAAGCCCTTTGTGGTCACCTATGTATCATTTTCTTAGCATTCTCCCTATACATATATCACTTTCATGTCACCAAAAAAATTATAATATAAAATCATAAATACAATGTATTTGTAGACACCATAGTTTAAACTTTTCCTTATTACCGGTAGTCAGAAAGGTACATTTATTAACTACCATGGTACTACTTTGGTATTTCTCCAAAGGATAAAAGATCGATAAAGACAAAATGGAGGTAAATCCCTGTACACTAGCTATTAGACCTAGATAATGAGTGTATTTGCTAACAAACTATTTTATCAACATGTATATATATAATTTATTTACATGTAGATTTACATGTAGAGTTTATAGTTTCATTGCTTTGACTTTTAATCTGACTTAAGGGCAATCCAGACACAAAAGGAAAGTAACATTATTTATAGTTATAATAAATAAACAGAAATAATAGGAATTCAGTTTTCCTAAATATTCATATAAAAATTAAAGCCACTTTACAATATTTTGCTTGAATGTGATGTTTTATAAATATTGGATTATGTGCAATTTGTGCACAAAAATAGCTTTTAAAATAGCTGTTGAATGATATTGTATGACTTCAAACAGGTCAAATTTTACACCTTATCTGGTACAGCAATTCATTGCTGACTCAGCAGCCAAAACAGAAAATGTATCATTCTAGCTACTTAAAAAATAAACTTCTTTGACATCATTATGAATATTAATAAGTTTTATGCACTTGAAATAAAGAAATCAAGATAAAAATAACAGACATGTAATTCATACCCTCTGAATGTATCTAATGACTTGAGTCTCTCTTTCTTTGGTCTGTTGTCTTGTTCATCTGCTGGGTTTATTGTTGTCTGCATCACGCCCAGATCTTCTGATGTGTAGGCCCCCTGTAAAGTCATACCAACATTTATATGTCATCACTCTAACAGTTAACTGGTCTTAGACATAAACAAGAATATCATTAACTTCAGAGAAAACTTAATCAAAGAAACTTTTGCCAACACAAGATCAGAGTTATTTCAAAAAGACATGGACATAAGCATACATTTGTATGTTTAAAACAGGATATAAAAGAAAGCTTTGTCTTGAGAGCTGTGACTTTTTTCAATGAAATAAACTGTTATGTACTATTACTTCCATCTATATTCTTCACTCAAGCTTTGTGCTTACAAATTGGAAAGGAAACTATTCTTCTGAAAGTTGACTTATTCTAAAATTCAAATTCTGAGGATATGAACCCTGGATGACAGTTTTTTGAACACAGACTTACCGAGTCCCCACCAGATATATCAGCAGATCGTGTCTGCTTTTTAGTTGTCTTACGCTGCCTAAGAGTTGTGCGTGGGGTGGGTTTGAATGGGGAATCGGGACTCTCGTCTGCTAACTCAGACTTTTTCTGTCAAAAGAAGGGGAGACAAATGGCAACGCAGATTGCTTCCTCTCGTATTCGCATTTTTTTTTTTTTTTTACATACATCTACATCTATGCAATTTCTGTCATTTTTATTGTTTAGACTTTCTTTTAAAACGAGTGTGACCTCTTATGTCAATAAAGCAAGACTGCTGTAAGTATAAATTCATATCGCTAAATGTAGCTATTTTATCCTTGAGAAGATTTTTCAAGATTTTTTTCCCCATATAAATTCCTATACAAAATATATTTGACTCCCTATTGTAACCAATCCCTATACCCAGTGACAATGATTTGCACAAATCAAATTCTTGACTACATGAGCATGTTTAATTACAAATATGATTAATGGTTACTTAGCCCCTCTGTTTTTAAAAGAATAATCTTTAAAAAACCCCATTTTTGTATTTCCATGACAGACTTTGGCCCCTTTTTTTGTGGCACTACCCTGGGCCTGGGGGCCATGATTTGAACAAACTTGAATTTTCACGAGGAAATACTGGTATTTTAATATCACTAATTTTAGACCTTCTTTTACTGATCAGATTTTTAGAAAGATTCCAACATGTTCCTATGTTAAACTTTGAAACGCTGTTGTAGGCCACTCATCCTCCAATCCCAGCAGCCAAGATTTGAACAAACTTGAAATCTAGACTAAATGCGGATGCTTGTATATTAATATGACTAAGTGTACCCATGTTGTTGTTGAGAAGAAGATTTTTTTTCTGTATATATCCCTATGTTAATTTTTGACCACCTATTGTGGCTTCACTCAAGGCCCAGGGGCCACAGTTTGAAGAAATATGAATTATCATTCATGAGAATATTTATATAATAATATATCAATTTGTAGCTCTTCTGTTCTTAAGGAGAATTTGAAAATATCTTTTCCTATATACATGTACAATGTAACTTTGACCCTCCTCCTCCCCCATTATTGCTTCACTCTAGGTCTGGGGTCATGATTTAAACAAATTTTAATCTTCACTACATGGAGATATGTGTATATTATTAATATGACTAATTGTACCTATTCTGTTGTTAAAAAACACTTATAATTTGGAAGATATTTCCCCCTTTAAATCCCAATTTAAAAATTTGACCTCAGGTACTACCCTAGCTCTTGATGCATTTATTTCACCAATCTTGAATTTGTACTCAGTGAGGAAGTTTTGAATTTAGTTTTGCATTTTTATGATTAAGTGATTCCTTACACATGCCTTAGGAATTATATTTTCTGATAATCTCAATGATTTTCACAATTTAATAATTATCTCCCCTAGAAAATGGATGCAGCCCTTCATTAGGGCTATTCCAGGAAAAATTGTATAGGGGGGTTGGAAGGCACTTTTATTTTTACCCCACCACCCATACAATTTTAATTACCTTCTACCCTACCCCCCATCAATTTAAAATTGCTGTTGATACAACCACCCATCTAAATTAAAAAAAAATGTGTCATATATATATATATATATATATATATATATATATATATATATATATATATATATATATATATATATATATACCTACAATAAAATTTTATGTACTTTTTTCAGGTATTGTAATTTATCTGACTTCGAATGAATGTTGGGTTTTGACATCTTTTCAACCAGGGCCCATTTTACAAAAGAACTTATGACTAAGATCAAAATGTTATTATGCAAATAAATTTCTTTTTTGCATTACTTTAAAAATGTTTTAAATCTTTTTGAAAAAAAATTAGATAGTTTTATGCCAACAATTTTTAAAAGAAACATAAGTTTTGTAAGATTTTACGAACAACTAAAGTTTTTAGTCTTAGTCATAAGTTTTGTTGTAACAGTTCCCCGTGTTCCTGCTACAGCTTAAAAAATTTGTTCCTTTAGGCCTATGATACAAACCACTGAAAGCCTTTATTATAGTGATTTGTATATCTGTTCTGATGCATGACTTTGTAGTCTGTAAAGCTTAGGTAAAGCTTTTACAAGTATGTATACACATGTACTAGTAGAAATGACATTCCTACAATTAATTAAAATTAATATTGTAAATTATAGCCTAGCTATCCTTAACAATTGTTGTTGACCTTGTTCATAACAAAATGATTCCTGCTTTTTTTTTTTTTTTTTTCGGGGGCGGGGGGGGGGGGGGGGGGGACTAAACTTCTGTAGGCAGTGTCTGTGAAGTGAAAACTTTGATTTAAAAAAATATATTGAATGAATTCTAAATCCCATCTAATAACTTAGAGCATTGGTGCATACAAGCTCGACAAGTTAACACTTAACAGGTTAAGGACTGGCATGTTTTTGACATAATATATTTCATATTGTTTTCAAACTCATTTCTCATCTTCCTTTTACTCTGTATGTGGTATAAAGTAAAATATTTGACTTGCAAACTCCGTAGTCATGCTCTAAAACGTTCATTATCAGATACATTTTTTCTACTTTCGGTTTAAAATAAAATGATCTTTCTGATTGTTTCTGATATCATTTAATTTACCAATGTAATCATGTTTGATTAAACAGGCGAAAAGAAACTGGACCAGGGAGTCCAAAGCACAACGAATCCGTTTTCCAATCTCCCACTGTCATTGCAGTCACATTGCACATGCTTTTATAGTTATCTGCCCTTGTTTCCGTTTTGTTCGATTCTACTTTCACTTTCAATGTAAACACACTTTACAACTGTTTAGGACGAAAATATCAGTATTTACCGATCTATAAAAAATGAGAGGAAAGAAGTAATTTGCAATTATTTGTGAGGGTAAATACAACCACCCATCTAAAAATATATCGAGTGAGGACAACCACCCATACAAATTTAATTGCTCCAGACCCACTACCCATACAAAAATATATTAAGTGCCGTCCAACCCTCCCGTACATTTTTTCCTGGAATAGCCCTTAGTATAAATTTGATCCATCACAACAAAAAAGTATACGCTGTGCCAAGTTTGGTTGAAATTGGTCCAGTGATTCTGGAGGTGAAGCTGAAAATGTGAAAAGGTATACAGACAAAAAAAACATATTTTAAGGAATGAAAAATGGATGAAAGACAAACTTAAATCAGAAAAGCTTATGTGAGCCTTGAACTCTGATCTGCCCCAATGTAAAGCATGCTGAGTAAATGAGAATAAATCAAATACATGCAAGCATTGCAAAAATACAGAAAAATGATTAATGTCTGATAATTATTGTGTTCTTACTGGGTTTATCAAGCTTTCATTTCCAGTAGTCAGAAACAGTCTGTTTAAACAATACCATCTACAAAATATTATAAAAAAACATAAACAAAAGTCATGTTGGGCAAGAAGCCCATCATCCTTATTTCATTTAAAAATCACTTAATAAGCTCATGAAATGATGCAGAGAGACTTTTTACAAAACTCAAAATCAGTTCATGTTAATTTTACAATTCAAATATCTTTCTTCTTAAGAGAGAGAGAGAGAGAGAGAGAGAGATAAAGAGAGAGAACAATCTTTTCTGTCCAATGCTTTTACCTTTTTTTGTATAGAAATTTTCCAATTGCTATGATGATAGCCACACCAGCAAAACAACCAATGGCAACATATATTGCTAAAAATAAATACAAAATAATAAAAATCTTATCAAATTCTTGAAATCAATCCAATGTTTGCTAAATATAAAAGTGTACCATAAAATCACTGACATGTAAAGAAAGAATTCTTTATAAAGCGACAATACTGGTATGTATTCTCTTCAATTTTTTTCTTTTTTGAAGTTACACATACTACATGGTATATTTAAGAAGTAGGTAAAAGAGAAAATTAAGAGTTTAAATATAAATGTGTTAAAATATTCACTGAACATGATCTTCCTGAATCGCTTTACAGTAACACTGGCTGAATCAGAGAAAGAGAAAAAAAATTGTCTCTATTTGTTTAAAATCATTAACTGGTAACCAAAAGATACAGAATAAGAAGAACTATTTAACTTACGAATGTAGGAATCATCTGGCATATTTGTCAATACTGGATCTTTACATTTAATTGAGCCATTTTGTGTTTCTTTTCCAGTGCTGGAGGGACTAAATGCCACATACAAATCATATTCCCCATATTCATGAAGTTTTCTACTTAACTTTGCCTCCCTACAAAAAAAATAAATGTCAAAACTTATAGAATAAACTACAGTATAGCCTCATTAATCTAGAACAAACTACATTAGAACCTCTTTAGTGCAGAAGCTTAGTTCTAAAAAGAATCATCCAGATAAATGAACAATCTGGATATCTAAATAGCTTGTACGAAAGCTTCTTCAGTACCAACAAACACAATAATGTATTATTAAAACAAAAGATTGATTTTAATCAGGTCTTTCAAAATCTGTCAATACCCAGAATTTTTAAATGGCTGAAATCATGATTGTAATGGCCAAAATATTTGATGGAGAAAAATTTGATAACATATTTAATTAAAATCATTTCCACCTGGTACCTTCTATTTTTGTAAAAATACCACCAGTTTCCAAACTTTTTGAAAGCTCTGATTAATGTAGGTTTGTCTTAAAAATTCATTAAGTGTGAATAAGCAGTTTATGAAGGGAAACACATCAATATAGTTATTTGGAAAAGACCCAAAGACCAACTAAGACAAAACTTAAAATTGACCATTCTGTACTATATACTCTTATTACAACTGAACACTTACAAGTGAGATTAGTCTCTATATAGCAAAAAATGGAAATTATTTTTAGAAAGTCTGAACGCTGAACAAGTTCAACTGTATATCATTGATTTTATAAGGGTTTCACTTTCCTGTTTAAAATGCTATGTATGAAATAAGTTTTTCTGAGTGTATAAAACGGCTTTCTTCTCTATATATCTAGAAATTTACTTCAAATGACTAAACCACTAGACTAATCAGCTGACTAACACAAAAGGGTTTTCTCAAAATTTTGATTTTGTAATATGTAAATTGCAGGAGAATAAAAAATGTTGTAGGATTCTGCAATTCAGTGAAAGTGTTTTCCTCTTTTACTAAATACATAAACTATAAATAACTTACAAGCAAGATTTGTCTTGTTTAACAACATCTGTGTTATTGGGTCGTATTTCTATTCTTGCTTTCCATCTTGAGTCAATCAAAATATTACATGTAGAGTTATTTGATATAACCACTTTTTTCATTAAAGGGCACTGAAAAATAGAACAACATTGTTTAGTAAATCAAATCCAATTAATAAACTCAAATCAGTAAAAACATTTAATGACTAACCTAGCAGTATTTCATGGGGAAAATCCAACATAACTGATATGTAAACTCATTCATAACTTCAGCTTAAGGTATGTCACTCGTGAAATTAGTTATATCAAGGATTTTCTGAGAAGTATATTTTAGATAAGTACTCATATAGCATGACTCAAAATTGCACAGAAAATAAGGGGTCAGTGTGCATTTTACTGAGCTACGGTACAATTAACTTGACCTTTTTGCACTTAAATTGTAACTCGTTGGTTAATCACTTTAATCTTTATCATATTTTATCAAATGTAATCATGGCAATAAATGTAATCTTATTTTACGTAAAATAGTTTGAATAATATTTATCATTGAACAAATCATGCAAATTAATGCGCATAAATTTATGTTGTGACCTTTTTGCACTAAAAAAGTATCATCTTTAGGGTATTAAAAATCTAAATAGACAATAAAATATTTTATAGTATCAAGCTTTTTATGACTTAAGTGCTGATCGGTTGGAAGTATCGTGTAGTTCAAAATAATGAAAGAAGAAGTTGGGGTCATGCAGTGATGTAAATTTTGAGATATTGGTCAAATTATGCCATTTTCAGGCAAAAAACAGTGTAAATTTTATCTTGACTTCTATAATATATCTTCATTTCTTGGCAAAGTCTGTTGAGTGAATTTGTAAAATTTGTTCTAAAAATATAAATTAAGACCTATATTTAATATTCCTAGCATATCATAACAGAAAATATTCTCTGAGTAAAAATATGTGGCGCTAAAGTTCCAAGCTATTAAATTTAACAAATGTGTAGATTTGAAGAATTTTCTTCTAAATATCCTTCCACCACAAGAAATAGTCCCTCATAAATCCTGCTTCTTTATGATTTTGTGAGCAGTTTATTAATTGAATGTTGAATAATTTGCATTGTTTAATTAAAATATGTTATAAAAATTGAATTGTAATAAATAGTTTTGAAGTTAGAGGTTCTGACTGACTTTTCTAAAAATCTGACGAGTGACATACCTTAACAAGCTGTTGTAAAATTACCATAAATATTTATAAAGATATGATACCTTAAAGCATTCTTCAGTCTGGTAATATAAGACAATGCTGTACAAATCATTTGGAGGGACACTACCAGATGTGTAGAGAATGTTCAGTCTGGCATTGTTCATCTTATCCTCAGCTGTGACACACTGTATTGGTAAATCTCTCGTCACAGCAAGACTAGGAGATATCTGACACAGAATATTTACACCTACAGAAAAGAAAACATCTTATTTATGAATACAATATCTTTCAGTTATGTACCTGTCATCTGTACAATGAAAAAATTCTTAATGTAATTTTCTATGAGCAGTCATCATATGAGTTTTATTTTACAACTCTTCAACATCATTGATGTCATTCTGAAAAGGAAATGTTCTGCTCAATTTAATCTACAACTGGTAGAACATGAAACTGTGCTCTGCTGTTGAGCAGGTATAATAATCACTCTATATAACATTTCAAAAAGACTTAAACTGGATATGCGAAAATACATGCATCCCAATCAGGCTTCATGTCAGTTGAACTTCATTATCTCAAACACTCATATCTCGAATACAAGGGATATGTTAGAGTGATTTGGCAGTCCCAACCACTTTTTTGCTTATGTTTTTTAACCTTGTTATTTCATATTCTTTGACTTCTTGAAGTTTTACCTTGGTCCCATTGAGTTTGAGAAAACAAGGTTTGCCTGTATATAAAAAGTCTACAGTAGAGTAGGTGAATAAATCTGAATTACATATTCATATGAGTATCCCAATCAGATGTATCCTGAAGATATTAAGGGTGTTGGAACTTGAAATATATGTTCTCAGACACCCCCACCATCCAACAACAAGATCTGCAGCATATCAGGGATTAGTACTACCAATCCTTGAATGAGACCCCTGGAACTCCAAGCAAATACACCAATTTGAGAAAGTGCAAAGGAAGAGTGGCACAATTGGCTACTATGAATGACTAAGATCATCATCCAGGCAGCATCACCTACATGATTAAAGATCTACACTGGGAACCACTACAAACCAGGGGCTTTAAGATCAGACTGCTTAATAAGATCCAGCATGCATTAGTGACCATATCTGCAGATCTATACAGAGCTTCTTGTGACAGAAGGACCAGAGGCAACCATATGTCGGGTTACCACACACTTAGATTGACACACACTTCTACTACTTTTTTCCAAGGAAAATTTGTGATTGGAACCATCTATCACCTGAGGTTGCCTTCATACCATCATTGCAGTACTTCAAATCCTGGCTAGACACATAAACAAGATGCCAGCTGACAACACCATCTATTAATAGAAACTATACCAGTTTTTAGCTTTTTATTGTGTAATGGTTTGGATAACTGCCAGGATAGCTCAGTCAGTAGAGCACCTGACTAGTGATGCAGGGGTCCCAGGTTTGATTCCCGGTCCAGCCATACATTTTTTTCTTTCCTGTTACATAATTTGGTGCCATTGGCCACCCTGGACTTAAAGGTGAAAGTCCTACTGGGGCAATAAGAACTTGGGTTCTGTTTTTGAGGGCAAATACAATTCAAGGAGGGGGAATGTAATGTTTGGGTCATGAATATCAGCCTGGACAACTCAGTCAGTGTAGCAACTGACTTGTGATGCAGGGGTCCCAGGTTCGACTCCCAGTCCAGCCATACATTTTCTCCTTTCCTGTTACAATTGTATATAGTGTCTTACTTAGGTTTTTTGCTCTGTCGCTACCCAAGAATAACACTCTAGCAAGAGTTTAACTCGTATGGAAGAAGAAACCACTCAGATCTGAGCAGGGGTGGTCGAAAACAATACAACAAACAAATCATGACGAGTCCTACAATCTTTCAATTTGCTGCTGCAATATACTATAAAATACACAGAACAATTGAGAAGTAATGTTGGCATTTGATATTCATATATATAACTGTTTGGATTATTACGACCTGTTGGGATGTAATACCCTAACGTGTAACACTGGGAGTACCTCATTCTCAGAGCAAACAGTGAAACAAATACAGGCACATTTGATATGGTCAGAATTAATAGAACTACCGAGTTATTCAATTTGATAGATCCCCAGTCATATATTTTAAATGTAAATCAAGAATCATTTAATCATTTAAAGCATGTAGCAAAAGAACACTTACAAAGAACATGTAAAATACATCTTCTCTTTCTACTCAAAACAGCCATGGTCATAAGACCTGTGCAATGCCGAACCCGATGGGATATTGTGTCATATCTGAATTAATTTCCCAGTAGATTAAGTGTTAAGTGCTACAGTATTTTATTTTCAGATTCAGAGAAAACATTCGGCAATTAAGAAATATTTCATTGTGTTTCTACGATAACTAAATAATCTAAAAATTTAACACACTGAGCATCGGACTCGACATTTTTTATTTCATTTCAGTTGTGGGCGTCTGCATGTGAGGTTGTTAGCGAAGATATCAGTTGGTGGACCTAAGTTTAATTTTTAAAACAGTAGAATGTCTGACGAATCACTGATACATGATTACAGATACATTTTTCAAAAGGATGTTTTAAGGTTGTCACGTTTTATTGCACATATTTTGTGTACAATTGTTTAGCAATAACATTTTGTTGATTTTGAAAGTGAAAGGACGCAAGTTATTTCTAACAGGTCCGGCACAATCTCTTGATTAAGCTATATAGCTTGATTTAGCTACTTAGCTTTATTAAGCTATTCAGAATAGCTTGATTTAGCTATTTTATCACACTTTTTTCTCAAATGTGTTATTTTCCAAGTATGCACAAAAAGTTGCACCTTGGCGCAGTGATAATATTCAACCTTGAACTCTTATGAAAATAATGCATGTAAAAATCACTCATCAAATTGCGTCTCCTTAAGAGACTTTGTATTCAAAGTTCTAAAAGTTTTGGGGCTATATAAAGCATTTGATACAGTTACTTCTTCAATGAAATCATAAAGGAGGCCAATTATGGTCAACAAGATAATTGATTGGTAATAATTCAGTACAATCATACTTATCCATGCCTTAACGCACACAAGGTAGTGTACAGTTACCCAAACAATGGAAATTCATCTTTTGCTTAAAAGTATTCAAATGCTGCAATGTTAGAACTATCTTTGATTTGGGTTGTTGAATTGATAGCCCATATTACATATATGAATAGTCAAATACTTGCGATTTTTTGTCTATTTTGTACAAATAACATTTTTGTGAAAACCTGCATATAAATAGCTTTATCAAGCTATTTTGAATAGCTTAATAAAGCTATATAGCTATTTCAAGCTATATAGCTTAATCAAGAGATTGTGCTGGACCTGTCTAACTATTTGTCTATTATAAATTTTAGAGGAAAAGTAGCATTTATAACTGGAGGTGGAACTGGAATAGGATTCACAATAGCGGAAATATTGATGAGGTAATTATTTTGGGGTTTTCCTTAAGTGTAAAGAACGCAATGTCTAATGCATAACAGAGAATGCAAACGTTACACTTTACGACATCTGATGACGACTCCCGATGTTAGTGAATATTGGATCCACCCATTCAACATTAAAGAACATCATTACATGGTGTTAGATCTAACATTTAATGGTTTCTTTCCTTTTTATTACTGTGGTCAGACATAAAAAAAATATTATAGATGATTATAATTGAACTGCTATGGTGATTCTGAATCATCAACTTAATTAATGATCTTAAAAAGAATAATGTAATATCACCCTCATCAGATCAGTCTCTATCCAGAATTATTCGTGGTCACTTATTAATTTTAATGATTGACATGGAGAAACTTGGCAGATATATTGCTGAATGCTAATAATGTAAAATTTCCTCATTTCTGAGAACTGCTGGCCCAGTTTCAACCGAACGTGTTTAACAATGCATTCATCAGTAATGAAAATTTAAAATTTGTAAAGTTTGAAGGTTATATCCTTTTCTAAAGTGTAACTGGTGAGGAGAAAAATGTGATGGCCTTAACCAGGATTTAAAATCGATAGTCAGATGCTCTATCAACTGAGCTATATATCCATTTGTGATCAAACCCATGTAATGGCCACATTCCTCCATGTAGACACCATTACAGACTCCTCCCTGGCAGATCTTTCACAGTGTCACTTACATGACATGGTCAGAGCACCAAATTCAACTTATGAGGAGAAAATGAACCAGACAAACCAGGCCAGGATTCGAACCCAGACCCCCCTGAGTTGCTGGTCAGGTGCTCTACTAGAGGTGTAACGATACAGCAATACATCCATCGTATTATCGCAAGGGCTCACGATATGTGTATCGTATAGCCATGAATGTATCGTGATACAGTACAAGATGATTTTCATTGTTTTGTTTGAAACTTCCACATACAACCTAACAAAGGACAAAGTATGGTAACGGCCGAATTTGGCCCCTTATTTGATGTAAAAATTGGAACACAGTTAAACTGTGATAGTTTGTTGTTAAGAACTTAAAATGATGCTTGTTTTAAAACCAGCACTAATTTTCTTTCAAAGCTTACATGGAGGTCACAAGAGGATGCAGAAGTAAGACATTTTCCCAAATTTTCTCAATTCTTGTGGAATTTCATCAAGTTTAAGATACTTTTCACTTCAGAAAACATAGAGCACAAGCTTGCCTATCTGAAATTATTGTACACAAGATGCATCTGATACTAATGTATGAAATATAAAAATTTAGTAGGTAGGCAAGCTTGTGCTCTATGTTTTCTGAAACAAAATGTGCTGTAAAATTGGTGAAAATTTGCCTAAAAATGAGAAAATTCAGAAATTGACATATTTTCTGACCTTCCTGTGACCTCTGTGTATCCCATAACTTGGAACCAATACTCATTCTGTGGTAGCTAGGGGTGACAACAAGTTTTCATTGATAAATTGTTGCATCATTCTAAAAGATACCCCAAACCAGGGGCCAAAAAGGGGTCTTAGCCTATCTTGTCCTTTAATGTTTTAAAATGGTTGAAAAAAAGATAGGAAAGAAAAGATACGATGTCAAAACTATAAATCCACCTTTTATTAACTTTGGTCAGGGGTATCTAGATATTCTTTTTGTATTTTCTATAACTGTAGAGGTTATCAAAGAATAATATTTTAAGATGACGGTTAATTCAATTGTTGACAGCTGTATCATGATACATGTTGTATTGCAAGACCATATCGTGGTATATGTACTGTAGATTCCTCATTTTTCGCGAGTACTTATTTTCAAGAAATGACTCTTTGACGTTAAATCGCGAGAACAATAATTCGCGGGTGGACGGTTGATCGAGAGATTTTACATTGATTTAAGCACCATAAAAATAAAAGTAATTTTATTTCGCGAGTGGTTCTCCTCACGTAATTACGTGATAATTAATTCCTTGTGTATATTTAAGGAATAACTGTCTAATTTTTTGGTTTCATGATGTGATCAATTGATTGGCTTGCGTGATAATTTGCATAAACGCCAAAGGCATTTATGCATAAAATTATCACGCAAGCCAATTGATTGGTCATCGTCATGAAACCAAAAAATCTGACAGTTATTCCTTATATTTACATGCTCTTGATTCTGCAAAGTCACGTGCTACAAGCCCCGCTTCTGTCTCTATTTGTCCCGCCCCGCACGTGATTTTTTTTTTCACCACGCCTTTTGATGAACCAGTAGATTTATGTAGAAATAAAGTATTTTTACTATTTGAAATTTTATCTCGGACAAAGACATTGGAAATGTAAATATTTAGGAATCTACAGTATCGTATCGTTAGGTATCTTGCGATACTCAGGCCTATGCTCTACCCAGTCATCTGGCTACCACCAATGGAAGATAATTTAAAGAAATACTGAAAATAGAGAAGTCATTCAATTAAAAATATATTTTAAAGAAAAGAAATAAGTGAAAGTTTCCTTTTGTAGGGAATGTTTAAATTCATTCAGTTTATGGCTGCCAGCTAGAGCAGGACTGGGGTTATAATTTTAACAGTGAAATTTACAAAAACTCATATAAAACAGATTCAAAATTGTCAAATTAATATGCACAGGTAATTGTCCAGTGTACATTCAGACTTGCTCAATTTATTGCTCCTAAGGCATCATAAGTGGGGCCAATGTTTTATACTGATTTTTTAAAAAAAATCTTTGAAAAAGAACACTTCACATTGTCAAATTAATGTATGAAAATGTCCTCATGTACAATGTAGTTTGTTTGCATTATTGCACTTTGAACCAAGTAGAGATACCCTGTGTGTTTCAAGGTTTACAAAAAGGAATACATGTAGCTAATGATAATAAATTAAAAAAAAAAAAAAATGGTTCAACATACATAATATCTCATAAAGATTGCCTTGTGACTCTTTGTAGGCTCAAGGTCATTTTGATGGTTTTTATAAAACATGTATAAGAATAAGCTAGATTATTTTTCCTTTTCTACAGACATGGATGTGACACGGTTATAGCCAGTCGCAGACTTGATGTTGTGAAAAATTCAGCTGAAAAATTGTCCAAGGGCACAGGTCAAAAATGTCTGCCGCTCCAAGTGGATGTTAGAAAGGTCAATTTTAATCCCTTACATGCATTTCTGGAAAGTCTCATAATTCAGAAAATACAATTTTGAATACTACAGTATACTTATTGTAATTTCCCAGCAATAATTAGGAAATGTGCATTAAGCAGGTACAAACTTTCATGTAAGTTAATACATATATATTATTATAACAGTAACCTTGATCAAAAGAGCTGTATCATGTTGAGTTGACAGGCGCAGATCATCAGATCAAACAAGATGCAAAGCATCAAGTTTAATCTGATGATTCGCGCATGTCAACAAGAGGTGATACAGCTCTTCGGATCAAGTTACTGTTATAATGATAAATTTATCATATACCCCTCTATAATTAGCAAAATATAATAAAAGAAAAGTTTTGGATCAATCATAAAACTTTTTCCATGAAACAAAACATTTTTCAAGGGACTCTTTGATACGCAAGAAAAAAAACGTCATGCATACTGTGCACTACACCATCAGTTTCAGAAAGGGGTGATATGGATTCAAAAAACCACTGTGTGGTGATCCTGAAAGTTAGATCACACCATCATGTGATTGTGTGAAATCAACAATAAAATTAAGTGATACACAGTTGGGTATATGATATATAATAAATGTATGTACATATATTATGTATATATTATGTATTTATAGTATGTTTACCAAGAATATACTTTATTATTTCATATGTGATTCATTTTACAGCCAGAGACTATAACAAAAGCTGTTGACGAAGCTCTTGGTCAATTCAAACATATTGACATCCTTGTCAACAGTAAGCATTCAGCATAAACTTTAAATTCAATTTCTCTCAACTTTGCATGTGTTGTTGTAAGAAACAGATCATTTGTCCTTTGGCAACTCTTGTAGGTCCAGTAAATTTTAAATGAGAAATCATTTCTGGATGCCTGTAGAGCCAAAATATTTGTGATTTACAGTACTTATTTTTTGGCCTATCTACTATTCACATAAGAGTGTTTATGAATGATTAAAAAGCACATAATTTTGTCAATTAAAAGCTCTGATAAATAATAAATGAATATTTCCTTCAACATTTGCTGATGTTGTATTATTTTTTATACCAGGATCTACAGAAACTATATACAATCTCATGTAGTAAGTATGTTTGACATTTCAGATGCAGCAGGAAACTTTCTATGTCCAGCAGAGAACCTTTCTTTTAATGCCTTCAAAACAGTTATGGAGATTGATGCTCATGGAACCTTTAATGTCTCCAAAGCTGTGTTTGACAAGTACATGAAGGTATCAAGCTACAATTAAACCAGATTCTGTATTTTATTTCATTTAATGCTGTACTAAACACAACCACTTTGTTTTAGGGGAAAAAAATGCACATTTTGAAATAAGTTACATATAAATATAGAAAACATAGCTATGTTGGTCTTATATTTAAAATACATGTGTACTTAGCATCTTTTAAAACCTTTTTAGCTCACCTCGACGAAGTCTAGATGAGCTTATGCTATACCCCCGACGTCGGTGTTAGCGTTGGCACCCCGGTTAAAGGAGCAAGTCCCATTCCCAAGTAACTATAAGCCCTACCTGGACCAAACTTGCATGGATGATGCATCTAGGGATGGACACTACCACGCCTGCTTCGGATGCTGGATCTGACCTAGATTTTCCAGATGAGTGACCAGGTTAAAGTTTTTGGAGCAGGTCCATTCCCAAGTAACTATAAGCCCTACCTGGACCAAACTTGCATGGATGATGCATCTAGGGATGGACACTACCATACCTGCTTCAGATGCTTGATCTGACCTACATTTTACTAGATTAGTGACTAGGTTAAAGTTTTTCGAGCAGGTCCATTCCCAGGTAACTATAAGCCCTATCTGGACCAAACTTGCATGAATGATGCGTTTAGGGATGGACACTACCACACTTGATTCAGATGCTGGATCTGACCTAGGTTTTCCAGATGAGTGACCAGGTTAAAGTTTTTGGAGCAGGTCCATTCCCAAGTAACTATAAGCCCTACCTGGACCAAACTTGCATGGATGATGCATCTAGGAATGGACATTATCACACTTGCTTGGGATGCTGGATCTAATATAGATTTTTCACATGTGAGACCAGATTTAGATTTTGGAGCAGTCTCATTCCCAAGTGACTATAAGCCCTACCTGGACCAAACTTTCATGGATGATGCATCTAGAGATGTACACTAACCAACCTGCTTCGGATGCTGGATCAGACCTAGATTTTCCACATGAGTGAATTTTAGCAATATTTTAACTAAATTAGCATGGATGATGTATCTAGGGATGGACACTTCCAGACTTTCTTTGGATTCTGAATCTGACTTGCATTTTCCAGATGAGTGACCAGGGTAATTTTTTTTGGAGTAGCTATATAATATTATGGCCTGTTATGATTAAACTTGCATAGATGGTGCATTTAAGGATGAAACTTCCAGACTTGCTTTGGATGTTGGAACTGACCAAAATTTTCTTGATTAGTAAACAGGTTAAAAGTTTTTTGAGCAGGTCTATTTCCAAGTAACTATAAGTCCTACTTAAACCAAACTTGCATGGATATCGATCTTGGGATGTACCCTAACTAGAAAAAAAATATGATGTGAAATTTGCCTTACTTATAGATAACATTCGTCGAGGTGAGCTTTGTAATCTTTGATTACCTATGTTTCTTTCTTGGCAGAGACAAACTGTTTTTATGATTACATGAGTAATTAAACCTAGTCCTCTACCAATGTTTTTTTTTTACTAGATAATAATAATACTTGACCTGTTCAGTTTTGTTTTCACAGACTTTTTTCGCATTTTAAAACAAAGTCCGATATCCCTTGTACGGCTAAATTATTTAGTTACTTGACTGGAAATGGGCAATTTTATAATATTCATTTCAAATGACTGAATTTTCAGAGTAATGGTGGAGTTATTATCAACATTACAGCAACACTTAGTTTTCGTGGACAGCATTTACAAACACATGCAGGATCAGCCAAAGCTGCCATTGGTAAGAATGAAGTTTAATTCTCATCTTAGTTGATTTAAAGCCAAATAGGTCTAACAAGAAAAGAGTTTCACTTAGTATTAACTTGAATATTACATGGTACACTCTTGCGAAAAAAAAAAATTCACATAGATGTCGTAATTTCAATTAAGTATTTTTGCATGTGAAATACAAGTGGAAGAATTTTAATGATTTTCATTTTGTGTCACATGAAAGTAACATCAGGCACATTTCTTTGTGTAATTATATTGATGTTTATTAGCAAAGTAATTATTCTGTCAAACCTTCATTTTAGGGAAGCTTTTTGGTTATATATATGACACAATTTGTAAATTCAAACCTATGGAATAAGCACACTTTCAAAGGTTAAAAGTGCTAATTGTCATGAAATACATGTATTAAATGATTTAATAAGATGAACATCCAGTGTGCATAAATATATACATGTACTTATTCCCTACCTGTTTTGATTTTGGTCAAGTTAATGAATGCTGCAAGTATGGGTATTAAGATATTATAAGTGCATGGGAAAAGATACATTACCTTTTCAATAACTATTTCAGAGGCTATGACTAAACACTTGGCAGTAGAGTGGGGACCCAATGGAGTAAGAATGATGTGTGTTGCTCCTGGCCCCATAGCAGACACGGAGGGAATGAGAAGACTGGGTCAGTACTCATTTGGGGCACATAGAAGATTAAACTGAGATTCTGGCATTCCACTATATTTTACATTAATTTCAAACTAGTTGGTAGGAATCATTGGTATATAATATAATTAAGTTGTGGTCAAAAAAAGTTTATCTTTATTTTCTTCTCTTGCAAGAATGCTGGAAAACTCAATTTCTTTTATTAGAGTTATCCCCCTTTTCAGCCATTTTTTTTCTTTTTTTTTCTTGTTATTAAAAAATTTTATCAGTAAATTTAGAAAAGTTTTTGAATAACATTATTTGAAAAGTTAATTAAGCATCAAATAATTTAAGATTCAATTCTATAACTTAATCTGAGATTATAGTTCAGGACTTTTAGGTCAAGATATTCAAATTTAAAGCATGGATGGGTACAGTAAAAATAAAGCACTGTTACTAATTGAAAATATTTGTTTCCTTTGCAATAATTTAAGACTTGTTTAGGTTGGGATGCCTATATTTGCACCATCTGTTGGTCTTAGAAAGAGGTCAACTTACATCGCTTATGGGGGCCACAGTCCAGGTTAAAGGATGTGGCTTTTAATGTAAAATAATAAAATTTTGCTTTCCATTCAAAAACTTGTGAGGGGGTTCATTGGAATGAGTCATGTATTTAAAAATTTATGCAAAAAGGAACACATCAGAAAAAAACAATTAATGCAAAGAAATAGGTCACATACGTGAGTACCATGTAACTGATCAGTTGCCATCAAGCCTCAGATCTCCTGACTATCAGTCTATCAATTTTTGAATATGCTTATATATTCAATTTGACTTTCTGTGTAATACTTGTAGGAGGAGATAAAATCACTGATGCCTTTATAAAGTCAATACCAGTCCAGAGACTAGGAAAACGAGAGGACATTGGTAATACTGTGTTGTACATAGTGAGCCCTGCTGCAGAGCTACTGACTGGAACCACAGTGATCCCTGATGGGGGGGAATTTCTCACCAGTCAAAACAATTACTGGGCTCTGAAAAACAACCCAGTTTTCAAACAACTGATATCTAAAATGTAAAATATACAATTTACTTGGTTTATATAGACTGTGATGGATAACATAAATTATGTGTTCCAATAACATCGAGATTTTTATCAAGTGATATTACCTCTATTCAGAATTTTTTTGTTTTTTGTTTTGTTTTTGCCTCTCAACCATAATAAAATAAACGTTATCAGAAATATTAACTATTTATGTATATCAATAGAAAAACTATAGCTTTTTAGTATACCATGTATTCTTAATTTTTTTTTCCATGTCCTTCATCATTTTAGTTCAGAATATTTAAAGCTTTTATGAATTGATTGCTTGAAAATCTTGATCCTTGTTCTCATTACCCATACCTACATGTATATATAGCGGTAAATCTGTCATTTACATCCATATACACAAGTCTATCATTCTGTGATTATTCAGTTATTGTTAGATCAGGAATTATATTATGAACAATGATTGGTGCTATTTCCTTATAATTAAATGTGAGTATTCTATACTTTAGTTTATTATAAAATTTATCACATGTTTTTGTTACTATACAGTTTTTAAAAATAAACAAATATGTATACATATACTAGTACTTCCCAATTGTTGCCATTTGTTATAGTCAGTAAAGAATATGGTATAAGCAGAATTTTTAACAAGGATTCAGTTTTGGCATTATTGGCAAGTTTGTTGAGGTGCTAAAATTGAATATTGCTAATAATTTATTCTGAGTAGGAGGTAAGACTTATCTATCATGGTAGTATATAATTGCTAAAATTACCTCTTGCTAAAATTATACAGTTGAACTTCAGTATCTAGATCACTGATATATCGAATACCATGGATATGTTAAAGTGATTTGGAAGTCCCAAGCTCTTATTTAAGTATTTTACCCTGGATACTTCAAAAACCTTGGATATCTCAAAGTTTTTTCTTGGTCCCAGCGAGTTTGAGATAGTGAGGTTTGACTGTATATAAGTTATTAAGAACAAATCACTAAATTTGCATCTCGCTAAAAATTCTACTTATATGGTAATCTCTATAGTCTCTATATAGAGAAATGGTCAACAAAATTTATATCAATAGCACCCCCGAAAAATATTGATGGTCATTTAATTCTTGGCAAGAAAAGAAACTTATGTGAAAGCTTAATTACATACTGGAGATTCAGGTTTGTTCAAATTATGACCCAGAGAGTAGGATGTGGCCACAACATGGAGTCCAAGTTTTACATGGGAATTTATAGGAAATATCTTTAAGAATCTTCTTCTCAAGAAGAGCAATGCCATCATCAGTCATATTTATATGGAAGCATCCTTGGGTAGTGTAGATTCAGATTTGTTCAGATCCTTGGTGGGGCCACAAATCAAATTTATACAGTGGACCTTCAGATATCCGGACGCCAGATATCCGTACACTTCAGTTTCCGGACGATTTTTCATGGGAACGAAATTTTTTAACGTTATTTTGTCTCGGTTAACCGGAATTCCGCGTTCCGTATCCGGGCGGTCCTTTTTCACCACAAAATGAATTTTTACGTTATATTTTGGTTCATTTATCCGGACGATAATTTTTTTAACTGGTCTGTCAAGTCTGCTCAAATTTCTTGATCTGGGTGTTAATTGTTGTAAAAACACGGATCTGGCTGTTTGTTTTTAAAAGATGATCACCTGCGACCTGTTGTCAGTGGCTTGCGGCAAGGTTAATTGTAGGTCGATAGGTACACACGAGACTCTCACTTCTCTAACATGGTTTTGATACGTATTAATTAGTGGAAATAATTTTAGAAGTTTAGGATAATTTTTTCTTTGTCGGCAAATATATTTCTTTTACTATTAGAATACAGTCGTAACATGGTTTTATGTATTTATAGACATGACATCGGAGTTTTTTTATGCACAGTATTTTGTGCTCAAAACGCATTCTCTATGATTTGATGACATTAATTTTATAAAATCACTTTCAAAATTACACAATCGTTAATAAGATCTTGCTTCGAATGATTACGATTAGCGTTCGTATACATGTGCAGATAATGTCACATTTAGCACTGATGCTAAATATTAAATAAGACTCTAACGACTGTACCGACATGGCTACTAGGAGAAGTTGATTCAATAGAAATTGGGGAGTAGAAATAATGTGACCATATAAACGCGTTTTTTCCAATGACACATGTACTTTTTTTATTTATTTAAACAAGTATTGGGTAGTACTAACTTATATTAAAGTATTTAAACAATGAAACATATTGATATAAAGCAACATTCTTTACTATTGAAACTGGAATGAAAGGCCATAAAACTAAAAATCAGCGCACTTCTATGGCACGCCAATTTCACAAAAATTAGCGAAACTTAGTTTCACAGTTGATAAACTAGGTTTATCGACCGTAAACCATAGTTTACAAACCGTGAACTATAGTTAACGAATCGTTAACTATAGTTTTCATCTGTAAAACTATATTTAACGGTTGTTAACTATAGTTTACGAATGCTAATCTAAGTTTATCTGTCTGTAATTAAACGTTAACAATAGATTTTGTTGATAAACATAGATTCACATCTGTAAACTATAATTTACAATCGTGAACTATAGTTAAGAGTTGTTAATCATAGTTTCACAAATCGTGAAACTATATTTATCAGATAAACTATGTTTTACATTCGTTAATTATAGTTTTCGGCCGTAAACTTCAGTTAACGATCATTTATACTCATAAACTATATTTAACAAACGTAAACTATAATTCACGATCGTGAACGATAGTTTTGAGAGATAAACTATTTTTTACATTTGTCAATCATAGTTTATCATGATAAACTATAATCCACATTCGTAAACTATAGTTTACAGTGGTGAAATATAGATTATGTATTAAAAAAAATCTGTTAACAATGGTTTTCAATTTGAATTCTCGAGGAACCAATCGTGAGAGGCAATACAAAATGTGCGCCATTCTAGAAAATGGCTCTTCAAAGGGAAGCACGAGCGAATTTGCCATCCGTACAAAACTGCAATAGCAGAATTAATTCTCTCCTGGATAATCTTAGAAGTCAAGCCACCAGCGAATCCTTTGATGCTAACACTGCACGGTCATCTTTGTCTGACCTACGACGTAACATAGAAAGGTTGGAGTCGGCAGGAGTAGATGTCAGTGATTTAGTCGAATGTCTAGAAAACTTAACGACAAATTTCCCAGATCCTGTTACGAATCCACATCATGCACAAGATACCCCTTGTCTTGCTGATAATAACAGTAAGTTTACTATAAATAAATATATCTACTTAATAATCACAGCACACAACTAAAACTTTTTGTGTACCTGATCTAATAAAACGTATAGGTACCGCTGTCAGATTTACCCCACCCCCCTCCTTCCCCTGAGATAAACTGAGAAATATTAGAGCGTCCTTCATCCTACGAACCCTTAACGATCGAATTCATTGGACGTGGTCTGCACTTAAGAGCAGAATAATTTCAACCTAATTCGTAAGATAAAATTTAAAAGATTTATTGAGACCAATATATATTGTGAGCTCATGAGAGCATGCAAACACACAATAAAGAGTCAATATATTGACAGTAGGAACCGTCTGCACGCGTGAAAGGTTGGGAGTAAACTGAACATATCAGCTGGTGGACCTTATATCGAAAAGAATAATGTCTGACGAACCACTAATACCTGAATACAAATACATTTTTCAGAAAGATGTATTAAGGTTACCATTTTAGATTAGTTCATTTGGTATCGTATAAAAGTTTATTTTGGCGGATTTTGAAAGTGAAACAGAGCTACACCAATATATTCTACGGTATTTCAGAGGTAAAGTGGCGTTTATTACTGGAGGTGGAACTGGAATAGGATTCACGATCGCAGAAGTGTTGATGAGGTAAGGCTTTATGTATATTTTTTTTTTTACATGCAACCAGCATGGAAAGATTCATTGGGGGTGCAAAAACTAGAACGTGACATATTTTATCACCATGTGTGCAGATGCATGGGGCGGATCCAGAAAAGTATCGGTTGTTCCCAGATCGATAATTTACGAGTTAATCTGAAAGAGCCTAAGGTTGACTTGCAGGATGTCAATTTAATTAATTCTTTCTTTTTTTTTAAATACATGCACATATGTCATTTTGAGGGAAATACTATATATACTGTAATGCTATGTAGTATAGAAAGGAGGAATTGAAAATTGATAAATACATATATTATTATAATGAAAAACATATTGCTGGACTGGGAATCAAACCCAGAACCCCTGCATTACTAGTCAGGTGCTCTAACCACTGAGCTATCATTTAACTAGGGCCAATATCCTCAGTCCAGCCTAAATTACTTGTACAGCTATATATTGTAAGCTAGTGATCTGTGTCTTCTTTTAAAATATTTCCATGCTTTTGATGATTGGGGCGCGTGTTTATATCTAGTACAAGTGGCTAGTATTAGGTTTGAATAAGGTATTTAACTATTTATAACCAATTACTTAATGAAATTAACAGTGAAAACTAATCACAACAAAGTGATCCTATTTGTGGAAAGCCTAGTAGATCAAATCTAACAATATATATAATGGAAAGAAAAATTGGGGATGTGTTAGAATTCATTTATGAACACTTTTTATTTATTTATAACAAATATTTATATATATATATCCGAGTAACTGAGTAGCAGTTTTACCAACCGATGCATCGTTCAACAGTTACATGTAACTATCTGGTTGACTGGATACTCATTGACAACACTATTATTTAGTGTTATAAGGCCTAGATAAATTATAAATTGTGCATTTCCAGTTCTCTGACTGACCCTATAGTATATATGAACCAACCCGATTTTTTTCCAGTTTGGAATAGGAGACGCACTTTGTATTTATCTAAGCCTTATTTGGATGTATTCTGCAAAAATTGTAGTCAGGGTTTGAATGGTGCACTAGCCAGAGCGTGGTACATCCAAATAATAACACTAATATAATTATTAATATTATACTGACTGTTGTTTGTATAGAACAATTTAATTAAATTCTCAATCCCAAACCTGTTGGCAGATGCTAAATCTAAATGAAAATTTTCTTGAACATAAATCTGTATCAAGCATTATATCAAAAGGCATTTTAATAATTCTGAAGTACCAGTTCATGTTACATTGCAGTTTTGATCATTGATTAATTCATATATGTGTTGTTAGAGAATTTTTCTTCAAGATCATTGTCAATGATATCAATCTTTTGGAAATGATAATTCATTTATTTCTTTTGTGTCAAATGTAGGAAAACTATACTTATAGAAAACACATTCTTTAATGTAATAGTGTTTGTGGTGTCAATGGTAGTGCATTGGACTGACATTCTTAGGATCGTGAGTTTGATCCCTAAAGTATAGGTGCCAACATATTTTCTCCAGAAAAAACAGCCATGCACCATTTCGGCATAGTGTGCTTACGCTATATAAATATTTTGCATGCTATTATGTGAAAATAGTTGGGTTTTGATTATATAGAGACAAACTGACAGGAAGCATAATAATATTGTATAATTTTATTGCACAGACATGGATGTGACACAGTCATAGCTAGCCGCAGACTGGATGTTGTGAAAAGTTCAGCTGAGAAACTGTCAAAGGGCACAGGTCAAAAATGTCTGCCACTACAAATGGATGTTAGAAAGGTTAAACATTTACTCATTTGTAGACACAATGCAATGCACAACAATGCACAATGCCATAGGTTTTGCATTTAACTAAATTTCTGAATAAAAGAAAATTTAACTAAATAAAGATATTCTTCTCATATGGTATAATTGTCAGGTTAAATTATTTTTGTATGCTATACTGTTTAAAGAGTAGGAGGGGGGTTGTTATTGTGGTTTGAAGAGACCCATGGATTCTTGTGTTCCATGAAATACTGTAAACTACTAGTATTAATTGCAATAACTTTTATTTGCAATTACTCAATTTTAAATTTATCTGTGACGACTAATTTTCGTGACAAATAAATAATTCTACATAAATACACAAAGAAATAAATAATTGATGGTGAGAAATATTCACGAGTAAACCAAGGTTGCCAAACTCAAATATATTTCTTGGCCATGAATAAAAGTTGGTTTACAGTATTAAAATTTCAAACTACAATAACACCTGTTTGTCTACCATCACATCCAATCCTCATGAACAGTTTTTTTCTTCAAACCACAAAAATTTGACCCCACCAAAAGTGATTTTACAGTACTGAGGTACTGAGTATTTTATAGTACTGAGTATTTGATTTAATATTTACAGCCAGAGACTATAACAAAAGCTATTGATGAAGCTCTGGGTCAATTCAAACATATTGACATCCTTGTCAACAGTAAGTACTTGCATGGCCAAATACACTTGAATTATATATTTTTTTCAATTAATACTAAATAGATATTTTTTCTGATAAAAAAAAAACCATTGTGGGCCTGTATATACTCAGTTGACACAAACAACATATAATTCTTATTTCTCACAGAGTACTGTTTCTTTCAGGTAGGAGTGTGAATGAAAAACTATTGTAGCAATCATTATACAGTAATTGAAAAAAAATCAAAACTAGAGGTACTGTGAGCACTGAGCTCACAAAATGATACCCCCCCCCCCCCCACATACATTTGTATATATATGTTTATAATGGCAAAGTCCATGTTTTGCTGTGGGAGACCTGAAATAAGTGTCTAATCAAAAAGTAAAATAAGAGGTGCACAATGGCATTATGTAACAAAGATTCTGTGAAAGTATCATTAAATTTTGTTCAGTGGTTTAAGAGGAGTTGCAGATAAGAGATGGGTACCCCTCAATAATATAGAAAAAATGGCAGTGTCTATGTTTTGCTATTGGAAACCCAAAATATAAGTTCAATCAAAAAGTAAAATAGGAGGTGCACAATGGCACTATGTAACAAAGATTCTGTGAAAGTACACTTATCATTAAATTCTATTCAGTGGTTTAAGAGGAGTTGCGGATAAGAGATGAATACCCCAAAGCGTAACGGACGGACACCCCCATCACTATAAACAACCCCATATGCTTTTCAAGCGGGGGGTATAATGATTATTTAATTATAATAGGTACACATGTCCATAACTGTATTGAACAAATATAAACTGGCCATTGCAGGTAGTTTATACCAGAATATTAAATACAGTGTACACTATAATACACTGTCTGGTATGTTTGACTTTTCAGATGCAGCAGGAAACTTTCTATGTCCAGCTGAGAACCTTTCTTTTAATGCCTTCAAAACAGTTATGGAGATTGATGCTCATGGAACCTTTAATGTCTCCAAAGCTGTGTTTGACAAGTACATGAAGGTATTTAACTACAATTACAGTAAAACTCGGTTATAAGAAGGTCTGGGGACCTGTGAATTTAATTCGCTATATCCATAATTCCTTATATCCTTTTAATGAATTTGTATAACTATATATAGCGAATTCACAATATGCACATTTTCCTTCAAGTATTACTACCAAATATGTTAGGGAAGCAATTATTACAAAACATACCTTGGATAACTAAGGTTTTATTTTGAATTGAATTTTATATATAAATACTTACTGAAAATAAAGTCAGTTCAATATATCAAATTTTGAGATCTTTGAAAATTCATTATAAAAGATGTCAATTTCATTATTTTTAACCTCAAAGGGACTCAAAATCAGTTTGCTATTTCTGAAAATTCATTATATCAGAGTTCGTTATAACTGTAAAATTTTACAAAGAATTGTTAAGAATTTTGCCGGTGACCCTGAAAAACTTTGCTGTATTTGTGAGTTCGCTATATCCATGTTCGTACTAAATGAGTTTTACTGTACCACTAAACCTGACTGTTTAATTCCTCAATACACGTACTGATTACTGTATTTCAATATTATTCAGTTATGGACTTTCTGGGTACTGGTAGTTAATTTAGTTTCATATTCACTAGAATAATACTAAGGCAAAGTCAAGAACAATATTGAATTCTCCTAGTGAATATAGAGGCATATTTACCCTCTGAGAGTCCATTATTGCTTTATTATACAGTGAGGTATTCATTAAAAAGAAACCCTGAAGGCTGCATAATGACAAAATTTTCATTAAAAAACTCTTGCAGATAAATTCAAAATGTGTGTGTAACAAGATACAATTTCCTTGTTATCTTTCTTGATATGTTAACATTATTTTCCATCAGTATGTCATATTAACATTATTTTCCATCAGTATGTCCAGTAATTTTGCGTCCTCTGATAGGTTGCAAAATGTTACCGTATATACTCACCTATAAGTCGGTCCGCCTATAAGTTGGTTGTATTTTTGAAGCTTATATTAGAGGGATTGGCCTTCTAAAATACCTTTCTTTTTATAACTCGCCTATAAGTCAGACGTACAGTTTTGGACCAAAGTTTAACTCCCAAAAATCCGACTTATAGGTGAGTACATGTATATACGGTAATTTCTCTTGCACAGCTGGCACCAACCACTGCAGCCATTGTTTACACTATCCTTTGTAATGTTGCAGTTGCTTCTTCCACACTGACTCTCCAGTTAATATGGCTTACAAATCCAGTAAATATTGAGATTTATAAACCATTTGTGTTGGCATATATTATTTTTAGATCACCTGAGTCACTCAGGTGACCTATTGCTACAGTATCTGTTTTTGTCCGTCATCGTGTGACATGCTTCATCCATTAACATTTGAACATTTTCAGCTTTTTTGGAACCGCTGAACAAATTTCACACAATTTTGCCATATAGCATCTATGAGTGAAAGGGGAACAAAAATTTTGAATTTGATGGCCCTTCCCCCTCCCCCCTTTGGAATCTGAGGGGTGGGGCTAAAACAATCAAAATTAATGCAATCTTTATAAATCTTCTTCTTTACTCTTTGACATTAAGCAGTTGAACTGTCATGATTGTAATAAGGATTGAGTCCTCTACCAAATTGAGACATTCAGGGGCTCTGGAGTTAGGGCAGGACTCCAATGATCATATAGTGGAAATGCATAAAATCTCTTCTTCCTCTGTATATTTAGCAGATAAACTAGATGCTTAGTTACGATGAGCAATGGTGCCTCTTCCAAAATTTATGATTCCAGGGTCAAGGGTTCTGGAGTTTTAAATGATCATATTGTGAAAATGCATTATCTCTTTGAAAATTGTTTTCTCTGCTCCTGGATGTTAAGCAGACAAACTAAGTAAATAGTTACTGTTATGGTGAGTAGGGGGTGTCTTTTCCAAAAGTGAATTTCATGGCCCCAGGGTCAGGGTTCTGGTGTTAGGGCGGGGTTCTATCGATTGTATAGTGAAAATGCATTAATTCTTTGAAAATCTTCTTCTCTGCCTCTGAGTATTAAGCAGATAAACTAAGTGCATAGTTATGATGGGCAAGGGTGCCTCTTCTAAAATTGTAAAGTTTGTGGCCCCAGGGTCAGGTGTTCTGGTATTAGGGCAGGGCTGTGTTGAATGTACTTGTGTAGTGAAAATGCATTATTTCCTTGAAAATTTTCTGCTCTGCTCCTGGGCATCTAGGAGGCAAACTGATTACAAAAATGTAATAAGCAAGGGTACATTTTGTCCCATAAGTGGGAGACACAAAATCCCTGAATTAGCTTGTTCTATAATTAATTTTATGATCAAAGTTAGTTTATTTGTTGTAGTTTAGATGAGTACATAAGTGAAATGTTTTATTATAAAACCATTTTTATTGATTTTTTAGAGTAATGGTGGAGTTATTATCAATATTACGGCAACACTTAGTTTTCGTGGACGGATTTTACAAACACATGCAGGATCAGCCAAAGCTGCCATTGGTAAGAAGAAATTATATGTTCATGGCAAGATACTTTTGACTTGGCACAGTCTGAGGTATATAAGAAGGGTAGGGATGTTTATCGATGTTTACTCATAGGAGTAACTAAGAGTAAAGTTAACATTAGAAGCAGGAAAATTTTAGATTTCAGAGTCTTATTCCATTGAAGAGTGATTTGAAGGACTCCACATCATGATTTCTTCTGCAAATACATAAAGAGCATTAATACTGTAGTTTGCAATTTTATTTGCAGTTTAATTTCATCAAGGAATCTAATTCTTAAAATAATCAAAATTTAATCCCTCCCCCAAGTATAACTGCCTCTACAGTATTTCTTTTTCCCTTAAGCTAAGTGTATTTGAGTGCACAATAAAACTGTGATCTACTTTTGTTATCATTTTCAATGTTGGCTATTATTACTGCTCCCATTCTCATTCCTTAATTTTTTTTAATTGTCAAATTACACTCAGCAAGTACTTTAATAATTACAAAATATTACAGAACTAGAGTTGGAGAAAAACTGGTAACTAACTCATACTTGTTACAGAAAAATAAGTCACAGAATAAACATACAGCATGATACTTGATAGATGTTGGAAGGATGGTATATAGTTTTGTCTATTTCAGAGGCTATGACTAAACATTTGGCAGTAGAGTGGGGACCCAATGGAGTAAGAATGATGTGTGTTGCACCTGGCCCCATAGCGGACACGGAAGGAATGAAGAGACTGGGTGAGTTCTATTTCGGGGCATATACAAATTACTGTATGTATGCTGTTTTATAGCAATTTGATTTGGAAGACTGACAAGTTTTTGTATGTTTTATACAAGAAATATAGTGGACCCAAAACAGCAATTAACTCCCTTGACAATTTGATTATACACACTGATTATGACTGATATAGGGACATGGTTATTCAAATTATTTATATTCTTTAATATTTTTAGGAGGAGAAAGAATCACTGATGCCTTTGTAAAGTCAATACCAGTCCAAAGACTTGGGAAACGAGAAGACATTGGTAATACTGTGTTGTACGTAGTAAGCCCTGCCGCAGAGCTATTGACGGGGACGACAGTGATCGCAGATGGGGGAGCATGGCTCACAAGTGAAAACAATTACTGGGCTCTGAAAAACAGCCCTGTCTTCAAAAAGATATCTAAAATGTAACAGTGACAGCTGATAAGTGTGTAAGTGTCTGTGATAGAAATGAAGACAATGCATTTTGTACACAGGGAACATAACTATATGATTGTATAGTCAGAACTAATCTTAATTATCCATGATTGTTATGTTATTGTTTATTTATATCTCTTTAGTTATCTCACATTCTACTATGGTTATTGCAAAGATCAAAGATATGCTGCGGCTATTATTCTCCAATAAATCACAAACGTCATCAACAAATTATCAATAATTTTAAATCGGTTTCCTTTAATTTTGACTGCCTTCACTAGATATAGGTATCATTTGATTGTGATACAAAATGTCAGGAAAAAATTTACTTTGGGTTTGGATTACATAGTACATGTACTTTTTCTAATCCTTGAGATACAATTAATGAACAAAGATAGCATTCAATTGTGATGTCATAAGACAACTTATGATGGCTTCCAAATATAGGAGTTTATATAGCAGAATAGAAATAATTCCCTCGTTATCAGAATTATTCGGGCTTGGTGGCTTTGCCTACAAAAATCTCTCAACTATCAGGGTATATTTTCCAACATTTCCTCTGACCTAGGAATTATTTCTTAATTATACATATTATTCAAATTGATGATTTTGTATTAACTAGAGCGAGCTCGTTGCAAAGCAACGAATAGGTCTTCCGTTGGAGCTGCGGAAGGAAGAAGTGACCTTGAGTCAAGGTCATGCCACATTCTAAAGTTATACATGTAAGCAATCTTGTAAGGGGAAGCAACTTACAATATTTCGCTAGGAAAAACTGTAAAGGAATGTACGTGACCTTGAACATTCCAAATGCCTTGCGTCAAACCATGACACACTCTCGTCATAAAACCCAATCTGTGTGTTACCGACTTGAAAAGTTCACATTGACACTTCATGTTCTTTTAGTCCATACATACAGTCAAAACATCTTATCCTTAGTAACCTTGAACTTGAGTCAAGGCCATATCACACTCTGCATGATACCAGCAATGTTTCACTAGTACAAATACGGTAGCGAAATGACCTTGCATCAAGGCCATAACACACACTGGTTAAAAGCAATACCAGTCTGTGAGTTTCTGAATGGATAAGTTCAGCCATGTTTTTTCAGATCATACAGCGAGTCGGAATAATTTGTTAGGTTCAACATAATGATTAAAAAATTCATTGAGAATGTTTTATGCCCAGTTTGGATAAGTAGTAAAACGTGGAGATTGGTCCTTTGGATGAGACCGTATAAGGTCTCGTGTCGGGGTAAGTGCTAGCGTGAAAAGGATCTCTCATGCTATAAAGGTTGAATTTACCGGGTGGCAGTAAATACTGACAACCGGTAAGTTCAAAATTTACAACATGACAGATCCATGGCACTTGATTCTACCTCTGATTTCAAAAGATTTGCACTGTTCCTGATTTGTATTGTTTGAATGGTCTTTTAAGCTTGAATGCTGCACAGGTGCTTGTGGACAGGAACCCCCCCCCCCCCCAATATTCACCCCGGGGTCCAAGAATATTTTTATTCGTCTTTTTCCATAAATTAATCTTCTAGTACACATTTACAATGTATTCCATATGAAAAATCCATAAAAATAACGTAGAATTAACCTTTTATTAAAAAATCATACCCGCGGTATTATGAAATAGAGAAGGTAAGTCACTTCCATTTGTTAACACTGGACCCCTCTTGGATATCGGGCCTAAAATATCATATACATGTACCTACCACATGTCACCAAAATATGTTATTATATCTTGTTTCATCGTCGCAAGCCACGGGTTTTGTGTCCATTCTATTTCCACAAACCCGTGGCTGCCTCCTTCTAATTTCTCTTGTTCTCATGAATATTAATAACGTACATTCAACCAATGGAATAACATCTGACGCTTCAAGTCAGAACCAATGAAAATGATCAGTCTATCTTGTATTTGGATGTAACCATAACCACGAGCTGTACATCAACTTCGGTTCGAATTTCCTTTCTTAACGAGTAACGCTATTCAGCGTTCTCACACAACGTCTACATTCGAAACCCTGTATTTTAATGTAAAACTTTGTAAGTATTTTAGAATATACGTTACTCACATCTGTTCTTCAGGATCTATCGTATTTTTTTTCAATAAATCTGCCACGCATAGCGAACATGATTTCATTATAGGCGCCGCCATTTAAGCGTACCAAAAATTGCTACAGAGTGAGTTCATTGGTCAGGGTAAATCTGGCGTCACTTTATAAATATTCAATGATTCAGTCGCGAGATCGAGAGAATTTGGTAGGAGGCAGCCACGGGTTTGTGGAAATAGAATGGACACAAAACCCGTGGCTTGCGACGATGATCTTGTTTCGGTAGATATTTTTGTCTTTAATCGTCCTATTTAAACGAAAGACCTTAAATAGTGTCTGTGGCTGTCACTATTTCGGTGTTTTTCAGAAACTTGATCGTAGAATTAGTCAAAGTCCACAACTGGACAATAAACTGATAAATCGGCTACAGTATATTATCTGTTCACAGAAACGACATATTGAAACTGGAAAAAAAAAATAATCCAGAAGCAATTCATTTCATTGAAATTCTATCATGAATATTTTGTTTTAATCGATGGACCCGATAAATCAATAAACTGACCGAAGGAAAAACGTTGCACGTGCCGTAACATTCTGTACGTTTTTTTTTTATTTTACATTCTACTTGCATAATACATGCACATGTACATGTACATATATATTAAACAGAAACATAAATACCAAGCCCGTCGTCATTTAAAAAAAAAGTAATAAAACATAATTTGATTTGATTTATTTTATTTCATTTAAACTCTATTAATTTGTTTTAAAAGTATGATTGATCTTTTTCCTTTTAATATACACTCAGGGTAAAAAAAAAGTATATATTGACTCGCGTAACTTTCATGGTTGTAGTTACATTTGAAAATGAAGAAATAATGAAATAATGAAACGTTGAAGGGACTGGTGTGTTGTATGGCTAGACAACGCCTTGCACATGCAGAGAAATTTACCACAGGTACCCTAGGACAGGTGTGAAACCCCTAGGGCATGCCGTTTCCTGCTCTTGCTCTGCTAATCCCTATACACAGGAAATTATCGCGACTAATACTTAATACACAAAGAAACAGAATATATTCAAGTAAACTTGGCATTGATTTTTTTTTTCTTGAGTATTATTGAGAATAATAAGTTTTAGTGATATAACCCCCCCCCCCCCCCCGTTTTAATTGTTTTGTGAAGTTCATCACCATGCACATTCCATCTTCTGCAATTGGAGAAATGTTTAAATTAAAAACAAACCACTGTTTACAAAAGAAGTAAATACCGAGGGAAAAAAAATGTTATATTTTATTGATATCTTTTATAACGTTCACGCGCCCACTCACTGCAAACGCTCACCATCGAATATTACAGCTTTCCGGTCATTCGACAATTTCAGGGAAATCCTTGCACATTAATACAGTAAAGTGAAATTATTTAAATGAATTATATTGTTCTAAAATTGGTTAAAAAAAACATGAACGGTATATAGATATATTTTTTTCCTCATAGGAATGCTGAAAACTGTTAATCGGAACTCGCACTGACTATTGTTTAGCACGTGTATGTAACATTGCAGTTCGCATATAATTTGAAGAGAGAAGTTATTAGAATTTATATTTCCGACATTAAAATTTGTCACGTTAAACTCTCAAATGACTCAGCTTATAAATAGTTTTCTTGATACTATTTAAAAAAAGATGTCGCTTTAGTATTGATATATAACTTAACAAAATTAATAATAATAAATAAAATTAAAAAAACAAAAAAAAAAAAAAAAACAAAAAAAAAAAAACCGATTAAATATATTCTGCTTTACATTTTTTTTTTGTTCATTCATTATTTTCATCTTTTGCGAAATACAAGAAAATACTTTCATAAATATACATACACTGCGGGATTTTAATTTGTTTTTTTTTTTAAAGAGGGAATTTCGCAAAATTCCTGTTCGGGGAGATAACTCCCGTTTGTTTACGATACTAGTTGATCGATGCTTTAACCGCGGCGGGGACAGGTAGGTGATGAATTTCCCGCGGAGGGAACGCGGTTTACCTGTCTCACCTGGCCAAATCCCGCGTTGTGTTTATACCGCGACGGGACGCGGGAAATACGGGATCCGCTTTGCCTGTACTGTACATGTATAGTCAATCAGATTAGAAATACAGCGACTATCAGAATTTCGGGCCGTAAAAAAGATCTGATTTTGATTAGATTTCAGGTGTAGGCGAATGTGTGTGTACTGAGGGGTTAGTTAATTCATTCAAGATTTATTATATTGTTCGTTTGGACGAAGGCTTCATAAAAATATACACACTGCTTGTACAGGTACACATCAATGAATGTTCAGATTAATTCAAAAATCGGCGGACATTAATTTATTTTAGTTATCTAAAGGCAATGTTATTTCCAGAGACATTTATATTTTCTGTTTTTTGTCTCAGATTTTTCTCTTTTTTTGTGATTTACCGGTTTACAAAGGCCTGTGATTTAACAGCTGTTCATAAACGCTGTCAATTAATATATATGATCAGAGAAAACGAGACATCTCCCGGTAATTCATTTCTTATGGAAAATATATGGATTGACATCTTAGTATTTACCTGTGTAATTACGATGTTACAAACCGTGACGATGACTGGCCAGAAGGACTACCCGTTATAAAAACAACTCATGATCAACTCAGCGGACCTATAATTGACTTTAATATATGCTGTAAATCAATAAAATCATTTCAGTTTAACCGATATTTTATTGCAAAGATAATGGGAAAAAAAGACTTGGGATTTAGAATTTTTCTGAATTTCAAACGCTCGATATGCATATATTTGGGGCGCTCTTGCATATGCACTTATAAAACGTGCATGTTCTGTACTTGCATGCGTGTACATTGTATGTATCCGTAAAACCTTAAGAGAGCTGATAAATGTGTTCTGATTTTCAGAAAAAATAATGGGAACCTATAAATAATTACATGTTTATCATTTTGTTCGCATAACAAGTTTAGTAGAAAAAAATAATTTGTTCAAGGTTAGGTGTCTAATAAATTTGTAATAATAAGTTTCAACAGTTCCATTACTAGTAGGAATTAATTAAGGTTACATATTTTGAATTTTATTATGAATAAAACAGACAATTAACTCGATATCGAGAAATAAATTGTTTATAAAAATAACTATGCAACTTT